TCCAGCAACCCGTGCGCATTGGCGACCTCCCAGTAAGTGGCATAAATCTCGCCGGCGCCTGGATTCGTGCAGAGATGATTGAAGTTGGTCGCTCTTCCGGCATGCAGGAGCAAAAGACGCAAGCAGTAACGATTGCGATCCACGCTGTTCGTAGAGTTTGGGGCCGCGTAGTGCAGTCGGTCGATGGGTAACGCATCTAAATCCAATGCGCTATGCCGGCGATTGTAAGCGGCAATTAAATCAGCGTGCCTGGCGAGAGGTATAAGCTCATCCCATAAAAAAAAAAAAAAAAAAAAGCCTGCCTTTCGAGCGTGTTCTGGGGCTCTCAGGACAGTCCTTGAAGGTGATTTTGGAGTAGCCAAATTGACCAAATTTACATGCTCGAGGTGCTTGGACAGGTCCAGCAGCAGGACTATAGATTCGATAAATTCGTGCCAAGTCAGCATGGAGACCAATGTCGATATAATAGGTAACAAAGGCGCACTTCACATACACTTGGCTGCACGCTGTGACCATGTTCTCGATAGTTAATGTACGAGGGATGCAGTGGTTGGGGAGGAGCAAAGGGAATGGCTTTGAGTGGTAAGGCTCAAGCAGCGAATGTGAAAGGGTGAAGGGGGTGTTTGGCAGTAGTGGATGTGGGAGGGAGTTTATTTTTGGCGAAGCGAAAATTGTGTTGGCATCAAGAAAGAGTATTGCAAAGGGCTATCGATCCATGAGTCATCGAGAACTTAACATCGTATGTTTATCAAAGAAATAGCACTGATTTATTAGATGTGTAAAATAGTCTTGACTAACCCGTCGAAGTCATCGAGGGGGATGCTCATGGAACCCTCTACTGGCTGCCTCACTTTGGGCTTGGGATCCCATGCAGTGACGGAATCATCCGTGAAGACGCTTTCGTCGATGTTCTCCAGGCCATCAAAGTCATCCGCAAGGATACTCACATTATCCTCCATTGGCTGCTTCACCCCGAGAGGCAATTCCCATTCTCAAGACTTGCATGTGTATCTGCACTTGGGCATGTAGTAAGGGGTTCAGAGTAGGATGGTGGTAGGTGGCGGTGATAGAGACGGACGGAGAGAGAGAGCGAATGAGAGAGAAAGACGGAGAAAATATGTTTATGAGGGAGAGAGTGGTCTATACGACATGGCAGAGCACCCTCTACCCAACTTTCTGGATAAGGAGCCTTGGAAAAGGTATGAATTAAGGTTAGAGTTACTACCTAATCCTTACAAGCTTGTTTTTTATTTACGCGTATAGAACATGAATCTCCTTCGTACTGCCTTTCCGTGCAGCCTCTCATCCTTCATTTGTACCTTTCTTCTTTCTTTTCCTCCTCCGCTGCATCGCGTCTTATCTTGGATCATCCATTATTCTTTTCCGCGCTGTCTCTGCCCTCTCGCAGGCTCTTCACGCACTTTATACAATCTTTTTTGTCTGTTCCTTCTATATCAGCAGCTCATGGGAAGGCATGCCTGAAGGATTGAGAGAATTCAGGTCCTTCTCGGGGCATGCGGGACCGTCAACATCGTCTGCTACTTGTACTAGCTGTGATAAACCTTCCCCTTGGCTTGATGTCTACTAACAAGCATCTGAGTTGTCATATTACTCACCCTGTCGGCGCCGGCATTGAGTGTCGTCAATATAGCCCGACTTCCAAAGAGAGCTAGCTGCAAGGGCGCAGCCCAATGTCCGAGTAGTTTTTTTGATGAGCTGATTTACGCCCGAGCTGCTTCAAGTGACGGGGTTGGGTGGATTAAAGATATACTGCTCCGAGATCCTGATCAAATCGTCGTGCGGACCTGAAATCATTATTGACTCCGTGCCATTGCCAATATCGCAGCCATTTTGCGGAAGGCTGGTTGAGCGGATCTTCCTTTGTTCGCATGTTATCTATAAAGGGCAACGTCTGTACGTGCGGCCGGTCTTTCGAGAGTTCTTGAGGCAGGCATCCTTGATCTGGTCAGGGGTCCCTCGATGCACTGCTGGCAAGGCTTAACGAAAATCGCCCCCAAAATTCGATGCTCTTGGCACCATATTGAATGTCCAGCTTCTGCATGATGTCGTGAAATGTGGCATCTACCTCTCGAAAGATATGTCGGTGGTGCATTGGTACCTCATTCCAAATGATAGCCTCTACTTCACGTTCGTCTTTATAGAAATGCCACCATCTGGCACTCTGTTAGAGACATATCAACAACTGGATTCTTCCCTTCCCACTTCAAAATATCAGCCTTTGCCGCTCCCTTGGGGAAGCATGGACAGCAGAGTCCCTCTTCTTTACAGTGATATCAGCCTTCTTGCGCTTGGCTCGAAATGCACAAACAGCCAGAAAGGGGATTTTCGACTAGCCACTCTCAAGGGTTGCACTTAATGAAGCGCTGAGGCCGTGGGATGCAAATGAAAGAAAGGAAGAGTGGTATGGGCATGTCCTAGACCAAGTATGCGCTGTGGTTATCATGACGCGACATGAGGGACATGGCGACATGACTTACCTCTTAGGGCAGCCATAGTATCTCCGTAGATAGTAGTTCTTCTGGGTCTTTTCGTACTTAAACCTAGGCACGTTGTAGGGTGTAAGTGGTGGCAGTGAGAGAGAAAATGAGAGAGCAAGAGAGAGAGAGAGAGAGCGAGCGAGAGGAAGAGCGATAGAGGGAGATCGAGTGTTTTTTTTTTTTTGGTATTTTTATTGATAATGATTGATGAGCACCAGCTGCAGTGGTCTGTTTTCTACTGTCATCTACTGATGGCCGAGCCCTGCGCTCGAACGACGGATAGCTAGCATCTGCGAAATGGCCTTCCCTTGTGCATCTCTGAGGGCAAGCACCAAGTCCTGTTGTGTCATTCCATTCGAACACTGCTGAATCACCACGACATTGTGAGCGATCTATGTATGCATCCAACGTTGGCGATAAGATAGATTGATTAATTTTCAACCAAAGTGCAGTCTAAATATGCCACACCCCCGTTTGGCACTCTATTGCAGCTCATGGTGATCAATACCTGTGCCAAGGCGCGTCGACGCGCAACCACCTTACTGTTCTCCGACTGGTGCCATGCATTCTCCTGCAGATATGTAAGTTTGATGGACACATGCTCTGCACGTGTGGTGATGTCCTCCGAAAGTTGAAGTGTCCTTGCCAGGGAAAGTCCTACAGTCAAGTCACTTAGTCCGATTTCTTTTTGCCTCGCCTTCCTTGAACTGCAAACCACGATATACTGACCATAATGAGTCTCCTCGGCAGATCCAGTTGAAAGACAGTACTTATATACGATACCAGACGTATCACGACCATCGCATTTCAACTGTAAAAAAAAAATGCGCATCAATCGATGATTTGGTAAGTGCATATTAGGCAGTACATGCCACTTGGGTTACAAGTACAATTTTTGCATACCTCAGTCTCCAGATGCAGGTTAATAACATTATGATACACAGTCAGACTGCTGGTCAGCTCATGAAAATGGGTTGCAAATAACACAAGAGCATGCGTGTGAATCAACTCTTCGCAGACAGCAAATGCGATCCCAAGGCCATCGTAGATGGACGTGCCTAGCAGATACAACACGAATAAAATTTATGGACATATATTATTTCGTGCGAATGAATTCGACGTTCAGGCAAGACTCCAGGGCACTTGCCTCGGCCCAGCTCGTCAATGACGACGAGGCTGTTCTTGTTGACGTTCTGTAGAATATATGCAGTTTCCTTCATCTCCATCATGAACGTCGACGCATTGAGTTCGATGCTGTCATCGTTGCAGATTCTACTAAACAGCTTTCATTGGCAGAAACGCGCGTCAAAACAGACTTGACAAGGCGCAGTGGGCCCCTAAAAATTATGCGCATCCGTTTTCGTACCCGGTGCATGATGCGAAACGCAGCGTATTCCGCTGGTACACTATCAGATAAAGCGCCAGCAAAAGATATTAATGACGCATTTAAATAAAGTATGGATACCATGCAGAAATTGCAAAGACAGAATAGCATTCGCCCAGCCAACCTACAAGCTGCCAATTTGAGCCATGACCGTTAAAAGTGCTACTTGTCTTAGATAGGTTGACTTGCCGCTCATGTTCGGTCCCGTAATGATTTGAAAAGTGTTGGCTGAACTAGCATAGGTGTCATTTGCTACGAATGGTGCAGAGTAAAGTTTCTCGATGATAGGATGTCGGCCTTGCTTGATAACAATCATGTCTGTGAACTCGGGCCGGACATAATTATTCACAGTAAGGATATATGCAAAGGACAGAAGCATGTCGATCATGGCAACGGCCTCTGACGCATTGTAAAGAGCTCCGATCTTGGATCGAATGCTACTGGAAAGATCACTGACTATTTTATCGGACATCAGATAAACCTCCGTCAAGGAATCGTTTATCTTGGCATTTTTTTTCATGAGTTCGAGCGTCGTGAAGATTAGGATCTTGTTTTTCTTGACAACATTGATAAATATCAGCGGGAGCATGCCGACCTCAAGCCGATCCACACTTGTCGAGAGGTAGTAGCCCATCGTCATACTGAACTGTACTTTAAGATTGATGTTGTACTCCTCGACGTATCGATTGACGGCCTCGAAAATGTCATTGATGGTTTCCTTGTATGTTTGACGTGCAACGTCGAGCAGTCCGTTACATCCTGCCTTAACAGCGAAACATCGCTGATTGCGCAACCCAACTGGCGTCTTTTCTTGCACCATGTTCTGCTCGATGACGCTGTCGATAAGGTCCCCTAACTTTCTGAGTCGGAAATCGGTCAGAAGCCGATGGACTGTCTTCAGGAGCCGGTTTTGGCATGAGTGCATGGCTTCCGCAACTTTCCTGATAGACTGTAGCGTATGCTTTAGGTTGATGATGTGGTTGATGCTCTGTTCGGAATGCTTGACACTGAGTTTAGCTGGGACTTGTATGAACGACGTTATGAGATGATCGACGTCTTTAATTGCCTTGAGCGAGGATCGAAGTGCATAAAAGGTATCCTCAGCCTGGGAGAGCTCTTGAACGCAATCCAAACGTGTGTTGATGGCTTTCTCGTCCGTGAGAGGCTGCAAAATATTAGAGCGAAGCAGCCTGGATCCCATGGGCGTCATGGTTGCATTCAGAATACCAAACAGCGTCTCTTTGTCGTTCCGGCTTGATAGGTTGATTGTGAGCTCGAGATTCCTAGCGGTGGCGCTGTCAACGATCATGCTCCCTTGACAGATCTGATATTTGAACAGGACAGTGTGGTTGAGAAAGGTGGCGTTCCGAGTTTCCTCAATATGGTGCATGACCGCGGCCGTTGCCGCCAAACAAAAATACTTTGTAGGGATATCAAGCAACAACGACGCCGAATCCTCCTTGATGATATACTTGTTGATGTACTGAAGCCCTATATTCATAGAAACAGCCGGTCAATTAAGGTTTTGGATGATACAATTTTGGTGGCAAAGGGCAAGTACGCAACTGAAGCTCTGTACCAACTGAATCGTTAAAGAGACGACGAGCGACTGGGATGATGATACTGGATGGAATATTTTCCTTAATAATATTAACCAGCTTTGAATTGACAGGATCCATAGCTGTATTCGGTACCAGGATCTAATAGGAAACTCCCAATGTCTCTGGTTAAACCTCAGCGTTGGCGTGATGCTTTTTGGTGGCGCGATTGATCCTGCAGCATCAAATGTACCTCAGAAGGCTCGTAGAGATTCAGTTTTTGCAGGGTTCTGACATACGTCTGCGAGTCTGCTATCTAGATGCGGAGCAAATTGTGAGATTTGTTGCTTCAGAATAAATGCTTAACAGATAACCGAACAAAGGAGTGATTAGGATACCTGACAAAGGATGACCTCGCTGGTTTTGAGGTCGCAGAAACACATTCCGACCTCTGCTCCTGCCCCTCGACCCTCGACGACTGCAACGACGAAGCTGTCTGTGGCCTTTGAGGAGATGCTTAGGCAGGAGCCCCTTGAGATACGCGAGGGAGCACCATAGGTTCTGCTGTTCTTGGTCTGAGATCGAGTACATACGCCTGAACGGGCGGATCGTCCGGAGAGAGAGCCAGTATTAGGAGGTGAGCAGGGTGTGGATGACAGGGAGCGGTTTTGATGATGATGCAGGAAAGGGCCCCGGTGCTCTTGAATATGCGGAGTGTATGGGGAAGAAAAGGATGATGGATTGGCAGACATTGGTAATGCACAATAAATAAGAAGAAAGAGAGGTAAAGAGAAGAGAAGGGGCAGCGAGGAATGTGTCCCTTTTTCCACTTCATTTTCGTGCCACCAAAAAGACAACGAGTCTTGTACCTGCCACTGCTATTGGCCAGGGCAACCTTCGCACACAACCCCCATTGAACAACTTTACACATCCTTTCTTTCTCATCCTTTCATCATTCCATTCTCCCATTCTCCCACCATATCTACACCCTTACATTCGCCCATTACATTCTCTTCCCCAGTCAGATTCTATTCTTCCCACACACTCAGCAGCAGCTGATCAAAGGACTTGTTATGGCATCCAGTTCACACCATGTATCCTCCCCAGACCTACCTGTCACTACCACCGCTTCACCTGCGCTTCCCAGGCTGACCCAGTCCCGTTCACCTCATCAACAACAGCAGCCCCAGCAGCCCCAGATCTCACCCTCTCTACGATCACCTGCGACCTATACCCGCACCATAGAGACGCCTTCCATCCTTGTACCCTCACCTTCTGCAACCCTCAAGACCGCCCCGAGAGTAGGCGTTCTTCCTCGGCCTGGAGGTGGCATGAGCCCTAGCACGCACGCAGCAGGGCAAAAACCCTCACTGAAGCATCACCAGCAACATCCACAAAGCTCGAAGGCTCAAAGGCTTCTATCATCGACGCAGCGATCCATGCCACAGCAACTTCAACAAAGTATGAACATGACAAGCGATTCTCCAAAGGTAAACAAGCTCAAACATTCAGGAAACAAAGGAACTGCTTCCTCTTTTGAAATGCTTTCTCTTCATGGCTTAATTGGTTCTCTTTGACCGTTGGCAATCTATATCTGGAGCAATACTGCTGCTCAATGCAATATTGAGTGTATCGTATGTGGATTTGGAAGTCGTGGTATCGTGGTACCTACTCAGCACATCCACGATCCCTCGTTTCTCTGTAATCATGAAACTGCATACTCTCCTTCTTTGTGGGATTGCCACACAAAAAAGAAGGCTGCTCATCGTTTCCTCTATATTCCATTCATTAGTCACAGTTGAGTGTGAGCCCGAGACTGCCGGTCGTTCAGGACAGTATACCGGCGCTGAGCGAAGAATCTGCACTAGGGCACGGGCGTGAACAGGGACAGAATCAGGGTCAGGGTCAAGGATCATCGCCAAGCATGGCCGCTGTCGGAACTGGCGTACCAATGGTCCCTTCGATGCCTTCACGGCCAGTTTTGCCGCCATCGGTGGCGACAACAGGATCATTTGTCATCGCACTCTCCTCATCAAACATATCTCACGCTGCTAACACCTCGACCCCTAAACCTCGCACCATACCCCCAACATTGCCACCAGCGAGGGCGCATGGGATTCATGCGCGTCCCTTAGTACGACCATCGTCAACTCTGCTATCGAATTCCCCAACAACCCGTGCAAGAGCGTCTTCCCACGCCTCAGAGTCTTTTCGTGCGACGCAGTTAGGCTTCGCCGGCGACAGTTTGATCAACACCACGCAGCCGCCTGTACCACGCGACTCAGTATACCCAGCTCCAGCGCTCCAGGCACCACAACAGGCACATCAGCCTAGACAGCGGCAGTCAGTGTCCTCTGTTCGATCTCCTGTGGATTCTGTAGGTCACTTCCGTCCTGCGCCTCCTCCTACACGTCATTCATCAAGTATTGTGATTCCCAGTATACGATCTCCAGTGACCGCCAGCTCTGTGCAACAGACAATAAGTGCTCCTACTGCGGAGTCAACGAGCGAGGACAGATCGAAAGATTCCACGACGCAGGAAACGTGCTCATATTCTAGCACCACAGATCTAGGTCTCGAGGAAGAGGAGGAAGAGGACGAAGAAGACGGCATTAAATACCTGGAAGGAGGAAAGCAGAAGAACTCGCTACAGAGGAAAGGCAGGAAGAGTTTAGAGAAGATGACAAGGTTATTGGCTGAGAAGAGGAAGAGGTCTCGACAACTGAAGACCTTGACATCCATGCCCTCAGAATCCTCTTCGGCATCGCCCTCAGCAGAAGCTTCCACAGCCATGAAAGCAGATATAACAGCACCGAAGCGACAGTCATTGTGGGCATCTCTCTTTGGAAACGGTACGCACTGCCTTTGGTATATGAAATAGCGAATGCTTACGCTGAATTGCAGGCTCTAATGCCTTCGTCCTTTATTGCAGGTAGCGCAGAGGCAAAGCCAGTCCTCTCTGATTCTCTCGTCAGGATCAACCAATCGACGCAGTCTTTGGTTTCTTTTACCAGCCATGACAAGGAGCAACAAGAAGTGGTGAGCAGCTCGTCTGAAATCAGTGCGCCCATCTCCCCGCGGTCAAAGGAGAGGTTATCTGAGCCCTCTGCCGATAGCGATGGTTCTGAAGAGTTGGCATCCTCGCCTAAACAATTTTCATCTGGAGAATCTATTGCAGAATCATCGACCGTTTCATCACCAGGCAGGGATGATATTCTTGAGGTCAATATCATTCGACATGAGCGGTCAAGGACTCTTCCAGGAATACTTCCTCAGTGGGATGGTAGTATCTTGAGGTCGCTCACCAGAGCTCTTAGTGCAAAGAAGACAGTGACGCCGCCACTGGAAAGCGACAGTAGTGATACCGATGTCACTGCTGAGACCGCCGCCGAGAATGACGGCACTGCCGCGGACGATGAGGATGGCGATGAGGATGCCGACGAGGATGCTGGCGAGAGCCTTGAAAGCGTCAATACTGGAAGTTTGTTATTTGAGCCACAACAGGTCGCCATGTCGGAATCCGCCAAGAGTATCTCGGAAGAAGCTCAGTCAGCATCGCTCAGTGCTCCAGCCAGGGCAGCATTATCCATACGCACCCATGTTCCACGAGAGAGAGTCCTGATTGCCGAGGCGCAGGTGCAGATAGGCGATGATATGGACGAAGACAATCCGTTTACAGATTCGCATGCGCTGACGATGACGTCTTCAGGCGTATATTTATCTGCCGTATCTAAGGACCAGCTATCAATTGCAAACACATCCGCAGGATCATCGCCCTCACCATCATTGTCGTCCCTGTCATACTTCACTGGGTCAGTGGCGTCTGGATCGACTTGGTCTCTACAAGGATCGCGACAATCTTTGATGAAGATGATTTTTAAATCAAGGACAGAAGCGGTACCTTCAGGAGGTGGAGAGGCGACTAGCGGTTCTGAATTATCCGCGGAATCTCTTTATCGCAAAGGCGAGGGCTCTCCAGGATCAGCAGGGCCTTCGACACCCTTGCAGTCGCCTCAAGTCGATCTATTTTCCGATTTCGAGTCGAACGCAGCCCTGGACACAGTTCTGGACGTCCAAAACACTGACGTGAAGCGTCGGTCCTTTGTCATCCCTGGCGCCTTTCCGGGTGGGGAGCGGGCTTCGGAGGAGACAGCGACAGAGTCAGAATCTGGATTCACGCAGTCATATGTTCCGATGTACACTGCCTCGGAGGGCGATTCTCTGGCAGTTGATCAGCCTGAGGAGCCGGCTCACTATCCTGACAAGGACATCAGTAGATGCTCGGATTTGAGGGAAGCGCAGCAGAATTATGGCAGTGACTCTAGTGAACATGAGGAGGAGATGATCAGCACCCAGCCTTCCAAGGGTTCATATGAGCGGGCGTCTTTTTTGCAGATGCAGCACTTGCCCCACTACAATCCTTCATCTTCAGCGTCTTCGCATCACTATCAACTGTCGTATTCGCAGGAGCTGACCAGTCCAGCAAGAATAGTCGCTAAGGCCAATGATGAGCAAATGGATCAGGAGTCTCTCCAGATTGGGGTATATAGGACTTCGGTGGCATCGTCACAAACTCCTACACGTATCTTAATGAAATCAAAGTCCCCAGCTCTGCACAAAACCAAGCAAGTGCCTGATAGCCAAACAAAGCGGGAACATCCATCGCCGTCGGTCCTTTTGATTGCTCAGACCTCAAAAGAATCGGCTTTTGACTCAGTATCTGTGTTCTCCGAGAACAGAGTATCTTCCGGGAGTCCCGCTATGCTTTCTCTCGCAAGTAGTAAGAGTGATATCTTAGGTACCCAGTCAACTAGCTCTCGTAATTCTGGAGCCACAGTCCCCGACAATTCGATCGACTACTGCCGCTACAAGGAGGAGGTGATCGACGTCATTGTAAAGAACCCCAAGCCGAACTGGAACCATGTGCAGGACTCAAAAGATTGGCGTCTGAAGGGTACGGCTAGAGCAATTTTTAATAAGGGCTCGGCAGCATCGTATGGCGCTGTTGAACCTCTTGTAGTGGATCTTGTCTCCTCAGGTTTGCGCTCCGTAGGACAAAACGTCTCATCACTGTCAACCTTCTCCTCCTCAGACATCGTTAAGCAGGGGACTATACCACATCCACAGCAAGCCGCCACGCAGGTGCCCCGCACTCATTCATCACAAGTCAGGACGAGTCCTCCACCACCCCCACCGCCGCGCAATACCAGGCGACCTCGTTCAAAGACACTGAGTCGACATGCGTCAATGGAAATCAGGCATCTCTCAGCCGAAATTGCGAAGGCGCAGCTTGCGAAAAGCGATGTAAATGCGACTGACACGACAGTGCCTAGTGGGGAGCAAAAGTTCCAGGGGAGTGACACCTCGGGCAGGCCGGATAAGGGGCACATTATGGAGGAGATGGGGTCTGAGCAAGCACGGAATTTCAACGAGGACTATCTTTACTTTCAAAACGACAAAACTCGACAGGACTTTCGATCCAATGCCATCATGTCGCAGGGGAGTGCGAGCAACTATGGTCAGACATATAGAAAGGATAATAGCGCTATCAACTCGTACTTGGAGCCTGTGGAACAGCAACCTCAATTGCAGCACCGACCGTCATCGACGCAGTACTACCCAAACCAGCAGCAGACAGGTACTTCAAACACCCTGGTGGCGACTTTACTGGAGCAGATTGCTTCCTTGCAGCAGCAACTGTTGCAACAGCAACAGCAACAGCAGAACTACCAATCTCTTGTCCAACTGAATGATGTGGAAGCTTTCGGATCCATCTCGACGGTACCAATGTCCATGATGGATCAGTCTGAAGGCATGACCATGAACAGTTACCTGCTTGGCAGTGGCCCTGTCAAATGTGTTACCCAGGACCAAGGCCAGCCAAAAGGACATTACGATGATCAGTCTGCGCAGTATATCAACCAACCTGGACAGGTCATGGAGAACGGTCAACACTCTCAGTATGACTATATCCAGTCATCTACGCAGCAGGTGGAAAACGACCTGTATCCGATTCAGCCCCAGCAGGAGGAGCCTCAGCTTCAGCCCCGACGCAACCATTTCTACGATGATGACCAACTGCAGTTGCTGCAACAGCAGCGCACTGAAAGAGTACGACAGCTCTCGGACGAGCACCTTATCCAAATGCCGCGCAACTCTGAAGAGTCGCTCCGAGGGTTTTATCAGCACCAGCAAGATCCGATGTTGGATATGCCCCAGGATCAGGGCTATGGCTTTCAGAATCCTGTTAGCGCTAACGATATCCAGACCACGTACGATCACGATGGGTACCAGAATCCATTCAATGACCAGCAGATGCAGGATCAGCTTCAGTATCAGCAGGGGTTGCTTCATGGACAGCCCATGACTTTTGGAGAAGGATACGACTTGATTCCCGCCCGAGATTCTACGGAGCATGGAGAGTTGAGGCTAATTGTTGACGACCGCCATATGGACGACTATTATAACCGCCATCAACACGGGAAAAATGAGGAAGTTCAGGAGCAGAAAGGGTTAACGCTACAGCAGCTCCGACAGCAGCATCAACACAACCAGCAGAATCAGCAGACCCAGATGCACAGCCAGCAGTATCGCCACTCAACAGATATCCACTACAGCAACCAGGGTAGCCAGGATGGCTATCAGCTTCTTGATGTTGCAACGACGAGACCTTTGTCGGGTGGAATTCTAAACACGAGTATGAGCCATGTAACCGGCATGGTTGCGGGGTCAGATTTCGGATATAGTACAGGAGCTCAATCATTGAACCCATTTGCACCTAATTACATGTCCCATGGGCAGCTACAGCAGAACAATGTGCGACGCCATCACTCGATGCATTATCCCCCACAGACTGCTGTTCTAACGTTGGGCACCCCTGAGCCTCAGCAGCAACAACAACAACAACAACAACAACAACAACAACAACAACAACAACAACAACAACAACAGTGGCAACAACAACAACAACAACAACAACAACAACAACAACAACAACAACAACAACAACAACAGCAGTGGCAACAACAACAACAACTACAGCAATTGCAGCAGTTGCAACAGCAGCAACAATCTTACTCAAATGTGCAGCTGGCACACCAGCCTCGGCCGCCGGTTTGGGCACCTCAGCACCTGACTTGCTTGCCATTCTCGTCCAATATGCATCGATGTCAGCTCTCAGACCTACAGCAAGAGATGCCTAATCTACCACCAGTGAAGGAGCTACTCTTGCTCTCATCGTCAACTTCAATTATGAACATGGGTGACTCACCTATGATCTCGTCATCCGGATTGGGTAGCTCTTCAGGATCGTCTTCGGCACCACTGTCGTTGCTCTCAAATGTTGTGCAGCAGGAAAAAGTCCGGATCGAGGGTAAGACGTCTTCGCAGAACGGTGCAGCAGGTTGGTCGGAGAGACCCTTTTCACCAGTTCTTCCAAAGGCCAAGGATGACCACCATTCAGCCATTAATAATTTGACGAGCCTCGCGGCGACAATGATGGCTTCATTGACACCAGAGGCTAAGACGGTTATGGAGATGTCTACAAGCGCACCAGATTCGCGTATGCAGACGAAGGAGCAGACGGAGAGGATTCGGAGACATTTTGATAGCTATCTTGCGGACCCAAAGCGGCGAAGCCGGCATTTAGATATGGAGGTGAATGACTCAAAGGATCAGATTGGATACGATGGTACGGATGATAGCCATAATGGATATGTCATTGACCGCGACGACCCTATGGATGCGACCTCGAACTCGGATTCGGAATCGGACTCGGAGGATGAGAACGAGAAGCAGGGTGTACTTATGAGTTGTACAGCGGATACGCTCTTAGCAACAGGCGCCAGTACGTTGGGTAGGAGCAAGACTATTGCCAGCACAGGGATTAGTTCCCGAGAATCGAAGGGATCTGCGCATCGGAATTCGACTCGTTTAGTTCCAAGCAACGGCAGCGGCAGCGGCAGCGGCACGAGTGGTGAGGAATATGACATATATCGGCCTGCGAAGGATATTTTGCTCCGACATCATTCGAGTTCTGGAAGTCTGCGGTCTGTGGCACGGCATGGCGACCAGAGGCGTTTGCCTCTAGAGAGCGAGCCTCAACTGAAGACTGATAAATATGAGACACCGGGTGTTCATGTGCAGCCGACAGGCCGTATTGGTGAGCATGGTGTTAGGGCCGGCATGGAGGTTGTAACTGGAAAGCAGCGGGTTTCACCGGCAATAGGGTTTGGAGTGACAGAACTGAGCTCGATATTGTTACCTCAACTACCATCTCAGCAGCAGCCTTCGCAGAGCCAACGACAGCCGCCACTACAGCAGCAACAGCAGCAACAGCAGTCTCGCAAAAACTTGCCGGTGCCGCCTGTAGCATTATCGCGCCCTCCTGTGAGTTACAAGGTCCCGGTGGGAAGTCCCCGTCTTGTGTCGATATCATCGGCATCTATGCTGACGACGACGAACGGGAAGACGGTGATGGATGAGGAAGGCGGTGACTGGGGGTTGACTGCACAGCCTCGACGGTATAACAGCGTGAAGCTCGGGATGACTGGAGTCACAGGCGCGACACGTCGTGCGATTGGACGGCCTGTTGAGCGGGGACATGGCATTGAGCGTGGACCTGAGGACTGTGTTTAGCCGTGCCTCATTATTGACAGTTGAATGCAGATCTTATCTTACCGTGAAAAACGTGCATTGCACTGTCTGCCCTCAATATGTGCATGCATTAGTCATATATCTACAACCCATAGTTAGGCATACGTATTTCAAAAACAGTGGTATGCCTATTCCATTCTCACGCATATTTGGGGATGTTGCGCTTTAACACCCCGATCCACCCCTATACCTCCCTCTACCTCCCTCCGTTAGCCTTTCGATTCAAAAGATAATGCGACAGAGCAGGGTATATTCTGTGCGCACGAATAAAAGATTTAATTTCAAATATCGGAAAGCCGATGCACAGCAGAAGCATGAAGCACAGCAGAAGCATGAAGCACAGCAGAAGCATGAAGCACGACTGAAGAAAGCCGCGAGCAAACAGGCGCGTCTAGGATAGCTCATCGATTCCATCCTCAATCATATCCGGGACACTGGAGCCATCTTCAAGCTCTCGAGATCCAAAAACGATGCCAAGGGGCCACAAATAAAATGGTAAATTGAAGATGAATTGGAGGGATGTTTCGACGCACTGTGTTTTATATTACATCTTGATATACATAGCATTCTAGTATGGCTCAAATTCCAATTGGGAGTAGTTTTTCATTTACGCCAGATCCCCCAGACACAGTCGGCCGAAAACCACCTAATGATAGCTCGGAAACGACCTCGCACTAATCAAGTCTAAAGTGGAGGAGCGAATATCTTATGCTCCTCCTCTTTCCCCTCGTTCAAAACCGCCTTGCCCTGGAAGCGTTCCACTAGGCGGACATCTGCTCTTTTCCCCACCGCCGTAGTCAACTCCTCCTAGGGTTGTTATCGCTCGAAGCCCTTGACCACTCCTCTGGCTTTCATTTATGAAGAGAGAGAGTGTAGAAGATATGTAGGTTTTATTGTAGCGATATACATATTTTTACAAGAAGGGTTCGGTGTGTGGGTTGTGGATGACGGATTCCCATACCACTGGTATGTTCTGTGGCCGGATCGCATGCAAAGGCGGTGGTGGGCTGCTTGTATTATCAGGGGTTGAATTAAAGGCAGCGGCAGAGGTATGTAAATTGTCCGAGGGCAAACTTAGGGTGTCGCTGGCTAGTAAGCTGTGAGGGTTGTTGCTCAATACCGTGTTCGAAGAAGTGGGAGAGAAAGAAACAGGGGTATTGGGGATCCACGATGCAAATGCCTTTGAGATCGAGCCGTATCGTGATTGTATCGAATCCTGTGCCAGTTCCTTCTCGGAGATCGATTTTACAAATACTGGGCGCGGGTGTGTCGAGAAACGGAACTGGTGCTCTACTGGGTCGGAGATCGGCTCCAATGGTGCTGATGGTACGATGCGGGAATGACGCGTCGAAGGAGAATGCAAGGGTATAGAAAATGGATAATCCATCGAATAGGCTGCAGGCTTTTGTGGACCTCTGTCAAATGAGTAATAAGGTATCTTTTGCAGTTCGTGGAGACCAGAATCGGTAAGGTGGTTGGAGGATTCGAGTATTCCTGCAGTAATGCCAACGTCACCGCCATCAACTACAATGTCGCCAGAACCGTTGATCGCCTCGTTTTTGCCTTGCTTCGTTATCTGACCTGCTTTCCGCTTAAGGACTACACAACGATAGTAACCAAAATAGAACGCGGCTGCTAGAACAGCTAGTGCCCCTAATGCACTTCCAGCAACAAGGCCGATGGAAGGAGTCTTTGATGGGGGCGATGTTGTCGTTGGTGTGGTGGATGGTGGAGCGGAGGAGGGATCAAAGACAAGGCTATCGGGAACACTCACAGCATATGCAGGATTATCACTCTGCCAGGATCCAGCAATTCCTGAGTTCAGGTTAAAAGCTCTGATAGTTGTTTTGTTGGCCGTATCTGTAGACTGGACAAAGGCAAAGGCGGTTTCGCCGTTGTAGCCGCCGATGGGCTGAAAGATATCGAGGTTGGATGTTGGGATGGGATCGGTCATCTGAGAGCGGATGGGCGTAGTAGCAGTGGTGAGATCCACGCTTGCGACCGCTTGTGCAGCCTATCGAAACAAAAGACCGGCGTTTTTAGTGCGAGGGTTATCTCCAATCTATACAAAATACTGCGATCTGTCAGGTATTTACCCCGTTACAGATAAAGACAAGAGAATTGGCAAAAGTTCCCGTGAATGAGTCGATGGTATCATAGCAATAGACCATGATGGACGTGTTGTAAGATTTAATGCTGGCTGTCGGGAGTGCGGAGGCGATTTTCGAATTTGTAAACGGGACTGAGAATGCATTGCTGTTGCTGGTGCGGGCGGAGGATGTCATGGACAGGAGAAATAACTGGCTGTTGAGAAATTGTATACTGGTCAGGTTTCCATAAGTCGCCGCGTCCTGAATTTCATTCGATAGAGTCATTGTGTGAATAAAGTGAGGGGTGTTAGCGTGGCTGAAAAGTGTCCAAGGAGATCATTAGTCATACTGTCTATCTGCATCCTTGCTCCTTACAATAGCCCACTGAGGTCCTTGTCGGAGCTGCAGGGCCGTTCTGTCTAATACGCCGAACTGTACTCCTGGAGCGTCAGAGTCGATGTATGCATGTATAAAAGTGCTATCGCCTGACGCCTCCTTGACAGGGAAGAGCAGTGTGTAAAGGATGATGACGCCCAGCTGTAGGGTTGTTGAACATCGATGTTCTTCCAACCACCAGTTCCTGTGCTGCTTACGCCATCGTTGGCAGGGAAAGATGGATTGTACTGCAAGCCAGAGATAGCCCCAGAACCTCCTGCAGACTTTATGACGTTCTGGCCCAGATATGTGAAGATGCCCTGGAATCAACGGCAGAAAAAGCGATAGAGGTAAGAACAGATGCCACAGCTGTGATATAGTTAGCTGATCTTTTTTATATTGTTATATTACCGTACTATCTACGCCGCATGCTTGGCTCTTCTGCGATTGTGTGATATCGTAAATGGATGTCAATCGAACTGTCGAAACAACTTTCCAGCTCATGTCCACGAGAGAGACAGGGTCCAGATTCGACTTGACTAGAATCAGCAGCAGCTCCTGTGCAGCAGCGCCCAGTGCAGAAGAGTTGAATCCTGTGGAAAGTCCATAAAGCGCATGTCCATCGCTGGCGACGCAGAACAGCTTCAGCACGCCCATGCGAGCGGTGATAGTGATAGGGAGGGTGAGTGTGGCCCGATATGATAGTGGATATGGATAGATATGGGTTTGAGGTGAAGAGGAAATGAAAAGAGAGAAAAGCAGTTGTCGCAGGTAGAAAAACACATGCGTGCTACTCATTTCCTCGGCTCTCACTTGTTACCGTTGTTGTTTGTCTGACTACCGGCGCTGCGACTACCCCAACAGTAGTGTTCAAGCCCAACCAAGCGAGTTTTGTTATAGGTAGTATACAACGATTTATTGATGTCCAAACACATTAGGATATGCAGTTGATGAAGAGGAATGGATGCTAAAAGGGTACAAGTCGGTGGGTCGATAGGATGCCCAAGGGGTCCCCCCCCCCGCTTGATTGGTTTCTGTTACCTCGCCTTGGTCATCTCGTTTTCTTTGTTCTTCTCGTTGTTGTCAATCGCCGAGTCCGTCTGCGACGCCTGGGTCATATATGTACGCATGCGATCCATCTCCATCTCACTACCTTCCAAGTGCAGAGGCTTCATCAATCTGATCTTGATCTTCTTGTAGATCTCTGCAAACGCAATAAAAATCACCAGGGATGCCAATACCAGGCCCCACTCATATGTCATGGCTGAGTGCTTGAAGACGTTGTGGTTCAGACCAGGGATGTAGACGACAGGGAAGACAAGGAGGGTACCAACAACAATACTCATCCAGAGCATCGTGTTGTGCTTCAACGTCTTAAGGTTCTCAATTGACCAGCCAGTCTCGCGAAGGGCACGGCAATTCACAGCATGGGCAAGAATCAAGAAGGTCATGCAGCAGTACGAAGTCGCACGCGCACGGAAGACGCCCTCACAAGACGCCGAATAGTGAGAGTTGCACCCAGATCCAAGGTTTCCATCGTTGAATCCAAAGATGACGATGACGAACGACGCGAATGAAAGGGCACCCATGGCCAAGCCGTAGATAAAGGTATCCATCACAACCTCAAACGAGAACAGACCTTGCTTGGCAGACCGTGGGGGCTCTCGCATGTTGGACTCACTTGGTGGCTCCAGTCCAAGACCCATGGCAGGAGGAGAGGATGTGATCATGTTCAAAAACAGAATCTCGACAGCGCTCATGGGGAAGACCGCCATGTTATCATTGTCCTTGAACGCCAAGCCGATAATTAGAACCACAATCTCTGCAACGTTTGCAGACATCAGGTGCTGGACGAACTTTTGGATGTTGGCAAACATGCGGCGGCCTTCAGCAACAGCCCTGACGATCGTCGCAAAATTGTCGTCCGTCAATACAATATCCGAGGCTTGCTTTGCAACATCCGAACCAGACTGGCCCATAGCGATTCCGACATTGGCAGCCTTGAGCGAAGGCGAGTCGTTGACACCATCACCGGTCATGGTAGCGAACAGGTTGCGGCGATGGAGGGCAGCGATCATCTTGACTTTGGTGTTGGGTGAGCAGCGGGCAACGACACGTGGGAGTTCAACCAGTCTGTCGACTTCTTCGTCTGACATGGCATCGAACTGAGCGGCTGTCATGATCAGGGGGTTGTTCTTAATGGAAACGTCCTCGGGAATGATAGCGACCTCCTTGGCAATCGCAGCAGCCGTCGAAGGATGATCGCCCGTCAGCATATGGACACGGATACCGGCCTCATAGCACTGAAGCACAGCAGGACGGGACTCGGCACGCGGAGGATCATAAATACCAACCAGGCCTAGGAAGGTCATGCTGGATTCTATTTCGTCGCGGTCCAATGCGCGGACAAGATCTGCGCCTGGGATAACTTCAAGTTTGCGGTACGCCAACGTCAGGACGCGGAGGCCCTTCTCAGCCAACAAGCTCATCCTCTCCATGACCATATTCTCGAATTCAATGTGATCATCCTTCTCGCCTACCAAGCTGTGTTCGGCATCACCCTCACACCAAGCAGTGCAGCAGGGAAGAACACGCTCAGTCGCGCCCTTTGTGAAGATGTAATGGTCGCCAGAAGACTCTTCGGTAGGGGGTGCCTGGTAGAGGACCGACATGCGCTTGACAGAGGAGTCGAAAGGGAACTCGGCGACGAGGTTGAAACCTTGCTCTACCAACTCGGGCTTGGCCAGACCAGCCTTGTGGGCAAGAACCTGGAGAGCAATCTCTGTGGGATCACCAATAGCAGACCATTCCCCATGGGTCTCTGGGTGGAGTGTACGACGGAGCTCAGCCATGTTACAGAGGGAAGAGGCCTGGAGAAGACGGAGATAGTGGTTGGAGCCGCTTCCGGCGACGCTGAGCTCCTCCTTGGCTGGGAATGCGCCGTTGACTATCTCACCCTGGCGGTAGATCTCGCCTTCGGGAACAAAACCAGTACCGGTGATGCGGTAAAAGCCATCGCCTGGGAGCCACATGCGGACGGCCACCATTTTGGACTGGGTCAATGTGCCAGTCTACGTTCATAATCAGAGATGCGCCGAATTAGTAGCTGCATTTATGAATTCTGTACCGATGAAGTAGCTGCAGCAACATTATTAGCTTCATAGACTCTTACCTTGTCTGAGCAAATATTAGTGACAGCGCCCAGACTTTCCAAACTAGATAGACGACGAACAATAGCCTTGACACTTGCCATACGACTGACACCAAAGGCCATGGTCAAGGTGACGACAGCGACCAGTCCCTCGGGAATGATGGCAATGGACACCGAAATAGCATAGATAGCAGTTTCCTCCGAGTACTTGAATCCGTGGACACCAAACACAATGATGACAAGCATAATGGCCGCCGCAAAGACAAAATATGCCATCTTATTGAGGCGCTTCTGAAGAGGGGTCTGTTCGTCGCCATCGACGCTCATGAGCGAAGTTGCGATCTTTCCGATCTGGGTGTCCATTCCAGTGCCGATGACGATACCCTTAGCACGGCCCTTGACAACAGTGGTGGAGGAGAAGACCATGTTGAGGCGATCGCCTAGGGCCTCGTCGACTTTGTCAATCACGGCCAGGTTTTTTTGCACCGGTAGGGACTCGCCTGTGAGGAGGGCCTCGTCGGTCTCGAGGTTGAAGACCTCGAAGAGTCGACAGTCGGCTCCGATGACATCTCCGTCCTCGAAGATCATGATATCTCCGGGCACGGCCTGGTTGTTGGGGATGGTGAGGCGAGTTTCGTCGCGGATGACCTGGGCCGTGGGCGAGGACATATTGCGGAGGGCCTCCATAGTCTGCTCGGCGTTGAATTCCTGCCAGAAACCGATTGCAGCATTCGTGATAATAATGAACAAAATCACACCGCCTTCAGCGAAATCCCCTGTAGCGAACGCCAGGACCTGTTTTGTCATTGTTTTGAAATGTTAATGGAGTAAGTGGCGCATTCCGTTCGCCGGAAAGATGGATCTTGGGATAAGGAAAGAGGAACTTACAGTGGCAATGAGCAGGACACAAACGAGAACGTTGGCTACCTGGCGCAGGAGCACCTTGTACCATTTGACACCGCCCTTGCCCTCGAGTTCATTGGGTCCGTGGGACTTGAGTCGGTTGGCAGCTTCTTCGGAGGAGAGACCTTCAAGGATGGAGGTGTTGAGTTGTTCGACGACTCGGTCGACAGAGTAAGAGTGATAGGGCGTCTCTGGCTCGAGATCGATGGTCTTTTTACCCATAACCTTGGCGGGGTAGAGGATAGGAGGAGATGTTTGTAAAGACGAGGCGGGGGGTCGAGGAGGAAGGGAGTGCAGGCCACGGAGGTCACGAAGGGGGGGTGGAGATGGGGTCGACTGCTGCGGAGGAGGGGATGGATTGGTGAAGGAAAAGGAAAAGAAAATGGAAAAAAGGGAAGAATGGGGAGTCGACTTTTTAAAAGGAACGAGGGGACGCTTCATTTTCCCAGCAGCAATACAGTTTCAATACAGTGGAGTAGAGTAAAAATAAAGCGCAGTGGGCCAGAGTAAGGCAGAGCAGAGTAAAGTAAAATGTTTGAGACTCGCTATCGGCCCCTGGACCGAGATACCCTCTCCCTGGCCATCAAGGGGGCCATCCATTGCCGCAGCACGCGATACTAGGGGGACCCAGCATGATTCCTTATCCATCGAGGGCTTGTCTGCTTGCCTGCTTGCCCGCTTGCCTGCTTGCCTCAACGGGCATGGGTGTGTACAGAGATAAGAAGAGGGGGAAGTGCGGACGGCACAGGTCATGGTGGGAAAGGATGTGGTCTAGTCGAGGGAGGGCAGAAACAAGGTTAGCCTTGCAGCCGAACCTTAATCGGCCGATTGAATTGCCTGTTAGATCAGACAATAAGCCAAGAACTCGGTAAGACGTACACGCTTGCCTCTTTGGGGATGGGCTGTCTTAGCTCCTGCCCTATGAGAACACTGCATACGTACATCGGACAAAGGGCAAGAGCACCACCACAACACATCTTCTAGAACCCTAGAACCATTAGGCTGCTGTCAATACCAGCGATGTAGTTCGATGAATACCATTCATGCCTCCCATCCCCATGGATCCAAGTACGCGTCTCAGCCGACATACGGGACATGTTGTAACGCCGATCTGGAACAAATAAACACGGACGGACATCGGAAGAAACTAATCAAATCTCCTCCTGAGTATGCGTGGAGGCTGCATCTTCAGTCTGGTGTTGGTAGTAGAAGCCCGTTGCGATGTGCACGAACCCTGTCTGTGTGTTCCAAAATGGCTAGTTTACCGGGATTAAAATGAATCTATTGCCTCCCAACGCCGGCTCTTGTCTTGTCTTTTTTTTTTTTTTTTTTTTTTTAAAAAAAATAAAAAATAAAAAACCGCCCAGCAGGGACAACAACCCAAATGATTTCACCTTTCAACGTGGATCAATCAATTGGCCCACCAGGCTGGTTCTGAAGATACGATTCGACGATCTAGTCAACCTCGTGCCTGAATCTATGGCTGGTTCTGAGCTATGCGGGATGAACCTTGAATATCTTGTTTTTGTATCTTTACCGAGGAAAAGCGAAATACGAACCTGCTGGCTGTTGTTCATAGCCCTGTTGGCCATGGAAGGACTGGAAGCGGAGGAAGAGAAGGTTGTTTTTCCTGTGGCTCCACCGGAAATCATCAACGGATCAACAAAGTCGCGTGTGTTTCTGTGCATCAGCCAATCATCGTGCGCCCTGCGGAGAAATCCCCATGGCATTGGCCAACCAGATTGCGCCCTCGAGCACGCGCCAGCTCCCTTTTCCTTCTGCCTTCCGAGGCACAGGATCTGTTTCGTATTCATCCGTAGTCTACCAATGTATTAACTCCAGACCACTGCCACCTGTACACTTGTCTTTATGTGCATCAGCGACCCATTCGACATAGGGGTGGACGGAGCTGATATGGCCGTTGAAAAAAGGCCAACCGACATGGAAATCACCAGTTCCCACATCCATGCCGATGTAATATCGCTGTACTATGGATAAATCCCATCGATTCTCAACGGTTCCTATAGGGAGAGAACCCGAGACCAAAATCAGGCGGCTGCTGCTAACGCCTAGCAAGACGACGCTTGGGTGAACGCGGGGCCACTGATGCGATAGTCCATGGCCTTCACTGCAAACTCTCCGAGACGTTTGCCTAGAAGAAAGTTACCCTTTATCTGGATGGTCCACTCCCACTGCGCAAAAAAGGGGCGCGCATGATAGGAGAGCTGAGCTGATCCTCAAGCGGCAGTGGGTTGCCTACCACTCCCTCGTCCGAACAGAAGTTTTGATGAATCACTCCATGGTCCACTCGACGCAAGCTCAGCAGCTCCACTGACCCCAATTAACACCTCCTCAACACCCATTCGAATCATCGGCGTTACTGCTTTTCCTCCCATGGGCATTATGCCTCCACCAACACCGATATCTCGTTCTCGAAAGACCAAGATTATCAAGGAGATCCAGAAGGCCAAGCGTTTCTGGCAAACCGCCAACGGACGCATTTCTTCGACTGACCTAAAGCCTTGGCTGGGATTTTTGGTGATGTACCGGCGAATCGGACGTGTGTATCTCTACCCTAGCCTCGCCTGTGTATGCCGCGGCAAGCGACTCCGACTATCTTTCCACATGGCCGACACTCTCTTCCGACAAAGCCCCCAGAACAGGTCTGAGTTCCAACGCATCAAAGTCTCGATCGATATCCTTCAATAGCTTGCTCTCAATGCAGTGATGTGGATCGTAGGCGGTATAATCACAAAAAATGACTACGTCAAGAATGTGAGAGGTTACAGCCTCCTCAAAAATATCCAAGTGCTAAGAAACATCCCAAATGCGCATGGCCTTACAATGCCTCATCTTATGTAGGAGTATTGCAACGCTACAACGAGTAAGCTGAAATTGCCGAACTCACATCCGACCAGTCATTGCGACGCCATTTTTGACATCTTCTTCCTGAAGCACGAAGTCCAGACTATCTTCGATCCGGACACTCGTTTCGTTCCAATGGAGTTTGATGGCATAATGTACGACGCTGTTCTGGAGGTGGACGCGTTTTTGGCACAGTTCAGGGCTATGAGACGTCGGCATCTCACATCGGCTTCGCCCCTAATCCTCCTGCCACACAGACAACGCGGAATGAGAACATGGTGCCGAACCAGTAGCGAATCAAGACATACCAAACTCCACCAACCCCGACTCAAGCACCCGCACCAGCCACTCTAATGCCAACCAAAGCCAACCAAAAAGAGAAAGCAGAAACCGAAACCCATATTCAACCCGTCGTCCAGACGTGCGAGAGCCATTCCCTCTGGGACCGTTGGCACGGACACATTCAAGTCCAGGAAACAAGCAACCATCATGGACACGACTTTCAATGTCATTTCCGGGACAGTTGTATTGGACTGCGGCACTCTTTCGGCAAAGCTGAGGATCGGTTTGTCCGAGGTCATGGATTCTGACGAGACTGAACGGGATCGGTTCCACAAGCACGTCGTTCACACAATCCAAGAGGTGGTACGCGCTGCGACAGACGCAGTCAAATACGCTCAGCGGGCGATTACGGCGTACATTGGCGCTCTCACGGCTCCCCGCCCTGGTCTGACACGATCAAACATCGACTACGGGAGGGAATAACTTGTCCAGCTTAGCGGCTTCTGCAATAGTGCCTTTTTCCAAAACATCCTCAGCGATATCATGACCATCCATGACCAAGGGGACACAGCATTAAGAGGCCCACGAGCGGATATCATGGTCAATGCCTGTGTGAGGGAAATAGCAAGGAGCTACAGATGTATCCATTTCAACGTACAGTCACCTAGCAAAACTAATTGGTCACTTTAATTCTTCTAGCCATGGAGCAAATAAATACATCTTCTCTTCAACACGACTTTCCTTCTCCAAGCACAATCGACAGCAGCTTGAGTAACCACCTTGGAAGATGGCGCCCCAGTGTAAAACTGCGCGCTGTCAAAGAATTGGCACCAAGCATATGGCTTTCGCAAGATAGAGGACTGGCCAGCCAATTCCCCAGATTTGAACCCCATCGAGCATGTCTGGTCCCTCCTTGGTACCGCCCTCAATCGACGACAAAGACAACCCCGGGACATCGCAATCCTGGCGATAGCTCTAATTGAGGAATGGAATGCTACCACAAGAACAGCTGGCAAGGCTGGTTGACACGATGACCCAGAGACTGAAATTCGTGAAAAAGTACAGAGGTGGAAATGGCAGACATTGAACGAGCCGCAACCCTTTCCTTCAGCATACACCATCCTGACATTCACCAAGGATATTTCCCTAGAGCTTCTCGACAGACATGAAGGCTTCCATAGCGACTGCATACCTTTTTAGGTGCGTTGTATATAGGTAATTTGAAAAAGAATGCGAAAAGCGTGGATGAAAATTAAAGTTGCCCAATAATAATTGTTAGGTGACTGTACAAGAGAGGAGGCACCTTTTAATGTCTGTCCACAGTAAAAGAAATGGCCTTTCCACCTGCGAGACTACATGGCATGGGTGCCTTACACCATTTTAGCGCAATCGTCTGAGACCAACATCCTTCATTCTTATTCTTATAAAAACACTTTTGTCCCTTTCTTTTTCTCTTTCCTCAGACCCACATTCTCACGTCATCACATCCTCACATTCTTGCATGCTCTTCCTTATTTCCCAACCATCTTTCGCTGTCGTTTCTGACGGAACCTTTTCTTTCTCTGCTCTACAATGGGCATCCTGGGCTTGTGGCCCTCTCTTAGAAGGAAAAGCTACGAGGCAGCTCTCTTAAACACCTTTGAGCCCGGTCGTAAGCGTCTTATCGACGTACAGACGTGCATTTTCTCCACCATTCGCTGCACATATTCATCATGCGCCGTGGACGACGAGGTACACCTAGTTGCCGAGCGTAAACTGGGAGGGCTTGCGACTTTCTCAAACTCGGTTCTTTACCTGGATGGCTCTCCAGCAGAAAAGATACTCACTCACAAGCAGCACAAGCAGCACAAGCAGCACCGGCGCCAGCGCCAGCAGCTAAACCCCTTCGATCAGCGCCACGCCGAGCCAAGATCAATCTCTTGGCCCCAAGAGAGCCAGCTCAACGCAGGGGGCAACGGAAAGGGTGCGGGAAAACGCGCGCGCAGCTGTGTGTTCGCAAGCACACTATTTCCTACCGATTGTGGCGGCCAGGTTTAAACTATTTTCTCTCTTGATACAGAAAAGTCGGTCTTAAAACTTACTAAGACAAAGCAAAGGATATAAAGAAGTAGACAGACAACACGCGGCTGTATTCAAATATAAAATTAGATTATGCCTTATTAATGCTGTACTTGTTTGTAAACTGGTTGATCTATGTATGCGAACCGCTTTTTGGTCCTGATGTAATGTCGGAGATGCGGATAAAGAAAAGAAAGAAAAGAAAAGAACCCCCCCCCCCCCCGATGGTATAAAAGGATCAAAAATGCTGTGTCTGTAAAAGCTCTCGTCTGCTGATGTTCCCGAAGCGAGTCTACTCCGATGTCCTCACAGGCACTGCATTAGGTGCGGCAGAGGTCGTTTGGACAACACTGTTACTGTTGCTGCTGCAACCGCTGTGATCGTTGGTATTCAACGCGCTCTGAGGTTCCTCATCATGAGAGGGGATCGGCTGATGCAATGGGGATGATACATCTGTCTCCTTCACCACAGCCAGCGAGACAGGCGTGCTGTCCACAAATGAAACATCTGTAGATATTGGCTCTGACGGACATGCCAGGGGAGAGGATGATAGCGGGACAGTTGAAGGAACGGGAGAGTAGCTTGCACCTAGCAAGCTGTGTGGTAAAGATTGATGATGATGATGGAAATGGTGGTGATGGTGCGAAAGATGAGGCACCGTGAGGCTTCCTGTAGACAGGCTTCGCTCCGGACTGGCGTTTCTGCTGGGAGCCCGACTGGTGTTCCGACTGACGTCGCGAGAGGTGCCTCTGCTGTTAGCATCTTCTTCAGATTCAGCGTATGTTGGCAGATGGATCCTCTGAACCATCAACCGCAGCAGGTCGTCCTCCGCAGGGTCCATGTTTCTCTCGGAATCGAACGAAACCCTAGGGGTAGTGAACGAGGTGAGATATGATGGTAGCTCACCGTCGAATCCGTCTGCTTCCTCCTCGGGATCCATCTGGTACTCGTCCTCGAATGCTAGGACCTTGAGTCCGATTTCGTTCTCAACTCGGAAGCGCTTCGTTCCGTCTGTGCCTAGGATTGAGAATCGCAGGATGTGTCCAACCTTCATGAGCCCATTGTCGGCCGAGGGATTACACTGGTTTAGATCGGATCCCATTTGCGGCATATCGAAGAGCAGCACCTTGTTCCAGTTCCATGCCTCAGTCTCGTGATTAGGAGGTCTTTCCCATCCTTCACTTTTTTGGATCTTGACCAGCCTCATATCGACCCGCTTACGTCCATCAGCCCTGTAGACCACTCGCTCCCAGAGTCCGACTTGCAGTACCTGAACATGCGTGCGTGCAGTGGGTGCTGTGATGGAGACCTGCAATGGGATCTTTGTGCTATGAGGCACTCTAACCTGGGGCATTGTAATCTTGTACTTGACCTTGTCCTCAGGACTACTGGCTGCACGACCACCTCGCTGATAAGCACGCGAGGCCTGGACAGGATGTCGACGATGGATGGTGACGGGCATTGTGACGGTGGAGGAATTGAAGTTGGTCAAGCCGGGCCTGGTCAAAGTTGCGGTGAGTCGGTAGGCAACCTTGCCGTGGGTTGTTGTCAGGGTCTCAGGCAGGGTATCGGGGAGTTCGAGCGCGAATGGGTATGCGTGCTGTCCCGACTGCAGCAGAGTGGGTGGTTGCTTGTGCTGGTGTGAAATGAGGTTCCAGGTATGCTCGATATGAGGGGCAGTTGTGTGCCGTGTTGCGGGCGAGTACGCATTGTCTATTGATATAGCAAAGTAGAGCAGAGCAGAGCAGAGTAGATATGAATGATTGGATTCCATGATTAGTAATTGGTATGGTCGAGAAAGAAAGACATGGAGAATGAACAAAGTCATAGTGGATCTGTCTCTGTCTTTCTAATAACGCTTCTTCAATCGATTATTGTCCCGCGTACCATCGATCCAGGTCACGGACGATCGGCCAGAGAACTCAAGCTGGAGGGTCTTGACTTTGATATTCTTGTACAGGTTCACATAGACAACTCCTTCTAATGTGGTGACCTGTCCGTTCATGAGAACGATCTCTGGCTGAGCCAGTTCGATTCTAAGGGTCTTGGATGAGACCGCAGAATGGTCGCCGCTGTGGCTGCTCCCGTGAGAAAAGAACGAAAAGGGTGAAATGGAGTGTGCTTGATGGTGCTGTTCAGAGCTGGCGGTATGGCTTGGAGACGCCGTTGCAGACAAGGGGCCTGAGGATGGTAGACTGGCGTCTGAGAAGCTGGAGGGGGACCTTGCACTGTTCGGAGTAGCAGGTGGGTGTGCGAGGACGGTTGCGGTTGTTGATGGGACGGGTGGTGTTGAGGATCGACTGTAGCTCTGAGGAGAGTGATCAGAGAAGTGCCGGGATGGATGGTGGTGGAGTGTGCGATGGTTCTCCATAGAGTCATAATCGGTATCCTGGTCGTCTTCGTCGAGGGCAATGCCTGCGCCATGGTGGTCCATGTTTTGGTGGTCCTCTGAGGGTGCAGGAGTGGCTCCCTGGGCCCTCATGGCTGGGGGCAGCCTGTCAAAAGACGAGGAAGATGAAGAGGAGGGTGCACACATGGGGTGTTGGTCTGGCGAGGAGAGGGGCGACTCTGCTGGAGAAGCAGTTGCGCTTGCGGTGTTGTGCCCACGGTAGAGTAGATGCATTGTGTCGCTGTCTGGTCTGTTGCTGTGTGTCCTGTGAAATGATGAAGGATGTTACTATTCCCTACAACATAAGTCTTTCCTGCTGAAGATGGCTGTCCCTTGTTTGTCCTTGATTGTCCTTGGTTGTCTTTGGTTGTCCTTGGTTGTCCTTGACTGCCTTGAGTATTCTTGACGGAAGGAGGAGTGTGTGAATGGAGGGAGGGAGGAAGAAAGAAAGAAAGAGAGAAGAAGAGAGGGAGAAAAAGAATTTTTTATTGGTTTTAGAGTTTTGGCCCTTTGTACCGCCCAATTGGTAAAGACTTTTTTTTTTTTTTTTTACCCTCAACGACGATGACATCCTCCCTTTGACAAACAGCGACAGCAGCAACAACAACAACATCATCATCAACAACAAGACTGGCTGACAGGCAGATGGTCATGACTCTGATTGTTTGTTGTGCTGCAATGGCATATGTGTATGTGTAGATGTGTAGGTGTACTCTGTCTCCTCCCGTACTGTGTCAAAGGGCATTGGCCAGCTCCCATGACCGCGGCGACCACCATTTGCCGCAGTCTCATCATTGGCCACGCTCATATTTTGCCATTGTCGCTGCCACGAGGAAGAAGGGTAGCCAGGTTGGAGGTTCTCTGTCGGTCTCTTTCCCTCTTTGTTGCATTGACATGTGTGTGTGTGTGTGTGTGGCAAAAAGAACAAAAAAACTGGGTCCAGTGGACTCGGAACCAAGCAGCATGCAGGTAAACATCGCATGTCGCATGGCTACAGATGCAAACGATAAATACCCCTCGAAGATCTCCATTGCATCGACGGTGTTCAGGGGTCTGTGAATGTGCTGCTTGTCCTACAATGGCTAACCGACGTGCTCAGTCCATCCTCCGTCATTTCGGTTTCAGTCGCCGAACAAAAAAAAAGACAAAATAAGACTCAGTGGCTCCCACGCTTTCACAGAAGGAAATTAAGCAAAAGCTACAAAGCGACAAAAGACGTGCTTCTTCTCTTCATGGCGACATTCCCTTTTGGACTCCTCTTACACCCTCAATGGGTCCAATGGCTCAATGGGTCCTCCTTTGAGGATCGACTAGACTACGGCAGTAGTCGCCATGGATATTACCGTCGACCTCACGAAGATCTGTCCTATCTATTCAACATGCAACGTACAGAGTCTAGAAAGTCATCGCGGAATTGAAAGCGCGCTTTTTTTTTTATCTTTTTTTATCTTTTTTTATTTTTTATCGCCGCTCTACTTCGGCGTCTTCGCCTTCTAGTCTTCTAGCTGCTCCGCCCAAGACTCCCATCGCCGTCCCACTTGCCTCTGCCTCCCCATGGTCGTCCTCCAGCTTCTCTTCCGCATACGCAGGTAGACCTGTCGCCTCAATCACACTCTCGTACGTCGGCAGTCCCGCCTCCGTCTCGCCCGCTGCCTGTGCTAGCGTCGATGCATCCACCAGTGCCGTCGACACCACTCGCACCACTCGCACAGGGATTTCCTCTGTTGCAACCGAGCACCCGTACGCTGAAGGCTCCGATTCGAATGTAGGCGTCGACAGCTGAGATACATCCTTCAATTGTTCCGACAACGGTGGTGCCATCTCCTCCAAGAGCCGACTTGATTCATCTCTCTGCAAATGATGGCGACTCGCAACCGTCGACGACCCACTGCCTTCCCCATCCTGCAGAGTCCCTTTCTCGTCCGCGACATATCTGGGCCGCTTGTCCTCTAGGTCCATACCAGTCGCTTCTTCGTCCTCCCCAATGATTTCTATCTCTATCGTGTCACCTTCCTGATCCCATAGTGTCGGCTCCTGCTTCTGATCTCCTTGAAATGCAGCATCCTGTTCCTCTTGCCTCCCCTCTGGTGCTGCACTTGGTGCTGCTCCTGCAACCATTTCCTGCCCTACTGGGCCCTGTTCCTCCAATGCCTTTGGTAAGTCTGATCCTAGGACAGACAGCGGCGGTATTGACGATGGCGGCGCAATCGCATAGGTATCTTCGTCGGTTGTGTACTCAATCTCGACCCTTAACGCATGACTGACCTGCAGCCAGTTACTCTGCACATCAACACAGAAATCGGGCGAAAGTACCAGCTGCAGGTTCAGCGTCTGCCTCTGTAATTCCTCAGTCGGTTCCTCGAAATAGACCTCAAGCGGTTGTGCGATCGCCCGGGTTAAAAGACGCGGTGCTGGGGGAGGTCCAGCTGAGTAAGGAGTTGGAAGAGATGCATGCTGAGATCGTGGTGAAACCGCTGACGAGTGCGCTGAGGTGGCGAGAGGTACAACCGCCCTAGGAACAGCCGCGAGAGATGATGTCCGCTGGTATCTAATATGATCATATCTTGGTCCGTTTTAGCAAGCTTGGGCTATGATCTGGTGATGCTCATAGAATACCTTGGTAGCATGTTCCTTACCGATCCGTCTCAATCTGCTCAAACACAATTTTGGCCTTGCGCAGCCTCACGTTTCGAGTCCTCGGCTTGGCATATAACTCCACTGCCAAGAGTGTGTTTTCGCAGTGCAGCAACCGCGGCACTTTGATTTGAATCTCGACCCCGCCACTGTCCAAGCCCATGGCCAGTCTTGGCTGCAAATGAACCGAGGGGTATACAATCCGATGGATTAGAACGGGTCGTCGCAAGATGAACTGCTCCGTAACTGAGGTACTGGTCCCCTGTGCAAACGTCAGCTCAAGGCTGATCTGAAGCTCATATCGAATCTTGCCGATCGCCAAATCCGTACTGTCTGGCAAATGTCCTGGTAGTGTTAGATCAATTGGTAACGAGTCGTGATATTTTCCTATTGGTTTGACTGGCGCGAATGATGACGGTGTAGGTGGAGCGGACCCGAGAATCATAGGGGTTGGGATATAATCATGCGTATGGTGAACAGGCGTCTCTGTTGCTCCTCCTGCTCCGGCCTCGTAGCGCAGTACTGCTGTGTCCTAGCACGCGAGCATCCAGAGAAAACACGAAAACAACGGCTAGCGGTATTAGCAGAACATCCATTGTGCAAAGTAGGAATATAAACGCAAATGACTGACTGGAAAGAGTAAGGACGGCGTTACCATCAGGCACAAAAAATAAAAAAAATAAAAAAAAGAGAAAAAAAAAGCACATATTACCGCGTATCCCATAAAGTCTATCCTGGCATCCTTGAGCAACAGTTCCGAGTCGGCAATCCAATCAAGTTCCACGGTTCCCTTCAATGAATACTGAAAGCCATCGTTGGAGCTGTCGTAGATCTCGACGGTATCCGATTCCAGCTCCAGGGTGGCAGTCAGACCCAAGGATGTGGTGTGAGAATAGAGCTGCTGCGACACGGCAACCACATCCTGGGTGCTCATAAACCGAAACGCAGAATACGGCGGCTCATGGTCCCGGCTGGGCGGATGATCACTGTGGAGTTGGTCATGGCCTGCTGCGGCTCCATTGTCATGGAGGTGGTGTTGAATGTCCGAGTATGATGGCGTGCTCTCGACGAACGCAGGCTCCGCAGCGTCTTGTCTCTGGTGGCATCCTGTTGACATGGCTGAGTGGCTCTGAAACGCTGTGTCCAGTATGTTTTATCCTGTATGCTGTCTTTCTGGCTCGTTGGTTGGTCCTTGTTTTGCTGAGGCTGTGGTTGCTGCTTGCTGGCGCTTGCCAAAAGGAGGAGGGGAAGGGGGAAAGGAAGGAACACAACCAAATTTGTGTTCTGTGCCTTGCAAACGAAGCAGAGACGGTTTGACTTGCTTATTCATCTCCTCGTCTATTCGCAACCCGGATATAGGACATGCTCCTCCACGCATCTAGCACACCCTTACTACAGCCACTCCCGTTGTCGGGTATCGAGAGAAGTGAGGGCTGCTATGTGAAGGACGCGCTGAAGAGAGCCGTCCACCGCATGGACGCACTCAATCGAAACACGTACTGCCACTGAATCTTGGCACGACCAAACTGGCAAAGGAAACGCAGTGGACTGAAGAAAGTCGCTCGCTGGTTCTTTGGTACTAGGGAGAGAATTGGCCCAAGACCATAACGGGGGTGAGGTAAGGCTCACTCTCTCTCATTCGCACTTTCACGCCCCCACATCCTCGCCCTCTCACTCTCCCACACCCAACCGAAGAAATTCTCTCTCTCCAATCCGAGCGACTTTCTCTCCGACAACCGGCTCCTTGTGGTCAATTGGCCTTCCGAGAAGGAACGAAAACACGATAATGAACCCTACTTATTTGTGCACGACATTTTTGCGGCCTGGCGTGCTATTTTGGCGATTACGGCATTCGACCATCGCGTGTAACGACACCGAGGAGTTTCGGTGGGCTCTTAATGATGCAACGAGAGCGGAAGCAAATTTATCCATCCCCCTTGGTCCTCTTTACTGACAGCATTGAGTGGGGTCGACCCCTTCCCTGCGCAACATTGTTTATATCGAGTACAGCGAATGATCTGCTCCACAGGACCCCCTCATCCTTTCCTACCGGCCGTGGCTCGATCCTTGGGTGCTGTCCTACATGATTCGAACTGTGATGTTAACCCTGGTGCAACCTTTGAGCTCCCCACTCTCTTCATCCCAGAGCTAAGGTTACTATCAGACAGTTCTGGGAGCCACTGTGCTCGACTGTTTCCGCTGGGGTCTCCCTGGGGCGTCTTTCCTTGTTTATTGGCGTGCTCTTGTGTTCTGAGTGAGTCTTGTCAGCCGAAGCAAGAGATATTCGAATTCTGCGGGCTCTTTCGCGCATAGAAACACTCTCAATCGCCAGCCTCATAGCTTCCTTAACTTTGGCGGGGTAGCGGGCTTCATGAGAGAAAAAAGGTGTTGATTAAGGAGAGGTGGGCGTGGTTCCAAGTAAATTGAGGAGGAATCGGTACCTGCAGCGTCCCGATCTGCAGTTTGATGTCAAGCTCCAAAGCTGTTTCAGGGACACTTCGCACTCGAAATACCGATACATACCTATCAACGATAGCTATTGCTCTCAAAGTACATCGCCCTATTTTTCTAGTTTCATCCCAATCTGGCGAGTATTGGCAGAGAATCTACAGAAAGAAAAATATGTAGGCGAACACTGAAGCAGTTTTGCACTGTAGTGTAGATCTTTAGTGTCGACAGGGTTGAGACTGCGGCCATTGTACAGATCTGGTCAGGGTCAATACCAAGAGTTGCTGCTTGGTGTGCCGGGGGATGAGGCTGTTGTCCTGTGAAGACTTGCGGCATTTGATAATCTTTTGTTCGGCTAATTTAGAAGGCATCGTAGGTTGTCCCTGTCATTTCGATATCTGTGAGCGTTCCTGTACCTATAGGCGACTGCAGGGTTGCTTGGTCATCGCGGTTGACCACGAAAGAACTACAAGCAGATGAAGATCTGGCAACTTGTAGCTAGAGGCGACGACACTCTTCGTTTAAGAGAGTTTGAAGGGTCTTCTGGATCCTCATCGACGTCCGATGGCGCGTCGTCGCATGATGAGGCCATGGCAACAGTTATTGGGCTTGACTCAAATTAGACAACTCGCGGTGGCCATTATTGTCCCTGATACAATACGGCATATTAAACGGTTTTTCGTCAATGTTGTCGACATCCATCACTTCTTTATCATTGTGTCGTAGGCTAGTAAATACAGACGGAGTTCAGTTGTGCTGCTGCCCTTGTACTTGCTCCTTTTTCTGTCGCTCTACAACGTTATTTTACTTGCATAGCCATCCCTTTCGTGCCAGTATGTTAGTGTTTGTGGTGCGGTAGAACAATTTGCTGATCAAATGACCTTTCTGCATGATAACCAATGCTTCCGTCTAATTCGCTTTATCATAGTTCATAACCCTTCTGGAGATGGATTCCGAATGGGCGTCGCTTTAGATAGTATTATTCTCAATAAATAGTTTTTGGAATTGATATTTGTCGACCGGTCATGTAAATAATCTTATATCTGACGCGAAAAGACGGACGTTACGGCTGCAGCTGTGCAGTAACGTACCGGTTGACAAACATAGGATTATTTACACAATCCCAAAAACATCGTAAGATATGCTTTAGTAGGAGGAAGATGCATTGTAAGGTACGGAGCGAAGAAGAAATGCGAAAGGCGCGGCTTTTGTAGGCGTCAATGCATGGATGTACTGCCAAGGCACCAAGCCTTTGTTTCGGCAGCCCTTGAGAGATGTAGGGAAATAAGAGGACAAGGTGTGATTGATGGCCTGGTCTGTCCCGGATATGATTGAGGATGGAATCGATGAGCTATCCTGGACGCGCCTGTTTGCTCGCGGCTTTCTTCAGTCGTGCTTCATGCTTCTGCTGTGCATCGGCTTTCCGATATTTGCCTTTATTCGTGCGCACAAAATACAGTTTGGCACGTCCCGTCTCTGTCGCATTATCTTTTGAATCAAGGCTAACGAAGGGAAGTATAAGGACCCAACTATGGGTTGTAGGACAATGATTAAAGGCATATTATGTATATATCCTAAGTCTACTGCGCTCGCCGTCGGGCTATGTTGACAGACAGGCAAAGAGAACAGATTCTTAAAGGCGATGTTTGCAAATAAATCGTTTTAAACACGCTAATCGGGTTACTTCCACGTCAAGTTCGTGACTACGCAAAGTAATGGAGATCCTAGGACGTTAGCATACATCAAGAAAGCAAGCACGCAAGCAAGCATTGTCATGCATCTCCTACCGGAATTGGACGAGGCGGATCGGAAGTTGCCCAGTTTTGGGATACGGCTGCCACTACCGCCACTACTATTTCCATTGTCAGCCTGATGGGCACCCACTGCGCTCATCGATGGCGAATGCAAAAGCACGGTGCCACCTTGACAAAAGCCCGTTGGGGAGGGATCCAGCGGATGAACAGAGTCCAAATGGTGAAGATTATGATAATAGTCGTTTGCGCCAGCGCCATGTTGTGTCCGCTGGCTGAGATGCGAAAATGCTACGGACGACGACAGTGGAGACGCTGAACTGTAATGCGAGCTCTTATCCACGACCAAAGACGTGGTCGATGACGCTGGCGAGACAGTAGCTGAGAACATACCCCTATTATGCACGCTCGAGGATTCCATTCGTATAGACGACGATGAAGATGATGACAGCGGAGATGTAGGAGAGCCTGCGTGAGCCATAGAAGATACAGAGCTGCCATATGCAGTGTTGACTGGCGGCAGAAGGTTATTGACAGGCGCCTGTGATAACGACCTCGGCTTTTGGACCCTAGATCGTGTCTTTTTGTTCAGCGGGCAACCTGACCCATTCAGCAGATGTTCCTTCCACTCTGCTTCGTCATTGCAAGGCAGGATATTTTGGCAAAGTGGACACCGAATAGTCGTTTCAGAAACAGCTAATGCAAGAAAGGTCGCACGATAAATAACTGCGATCATTGCCAAGAGGGAGAGTAGAGCAGTTTGAGCAGCCATTACGCTTACCGATACATCCCGCAGCGACATGGGCAAGGAACACATCTGCGGCCATGATTTCTCTGCAGGTCTCGCATTGCTTTACAAACTTTCGCTTCGAACATTCTTTCAGCATATGATCCGCCAATGTGGGAACCTCGATGATCTACATCAGCAAGCAGAGTAGTCATCAAACCAAATAAGTACAGCAGTTGACATAGCGCCGACCGAAAATCAAGGCTTCAAGTGCACTTACGATTTTGCAGTAAGAGCAATTGGCAAGCATGGCGCAATCGTTCCAATAGTGCACCACTAATCCTTCGTCCGTAAAAGCATTGTTTCGTTCATCGCAAAATACACAGAATCGATCTTGCGTTGGTCTAGAAGCGTTCGGTCCCTTTGGTACATCGCTTCCAGACAAATTCCCGATAGTCGTGTCCTGCCGTGAGTTTTTCGTCACGAGAGAGGAGCTCGATTTTGATTTTGATTGGAGCGGTCGGGCCGGCGTTCTAGGTGTAATTAATAGCCCTCGAGGAAGAGGCGGCTATTGTACGTCGCAGGCATTTGAATTAGTGCATAATTGGAAAGGTGTAAGTCGGATTGCAATGTCTTGTACCATACCTTAATCTCCTCTGATGCTGTAGAATCATTCTCATCCTCAGGCGAAAGTGCGCTTTGCCGTTTTACCATGGTTCTTGGAACACCTACAGTTACCACATCAGAGCTAACTTAAGTGGCCAAATCATGAGAGGAAGCAATCATTCGCGATTAAATAGCACATACCAGTGTACAGTGCTTGTGTTGCCTTGGCAGAGGACCGTAAAGGCATCTTCAGGCGCGCCTGGTGCGCAATCGCTGCATCTGACCGCTGTCGTGAGCTTTGGCGACTGGGTTTGGTTAGACCAGGGGAATCGGGCTCGACCAAGAGACTTTTCAAGGAATCCATATGAAGATTTACACCAAGCGGATTGGGAGCCGGGCATCGCCTGCTAGTCGATGGCACAGGAACGGATGAGTTTAGCGACAGGCGCAAGTCCTGAGTCGATAGTCCGGTAGACCTCAATACCGGCCGTGACAGCGCAGGCGAGTTTACAGCCGATGACCTCGGTTTCTTGGGCACCAGCTCCTTTTGGATGCTCTATGTTGCATAACAGTTAAGCGAGAATAAGAGAACGGTGCTAGAGAATAGCTGACCACACAAGCGTCTGATGCCTTTGCTCTTACCTCAATGATAAGAGGTTTTACGCCCGGCAGGAATTGCTCCACTCTTGTCTTACTCAAGAATTTGCAGACGTCAATGATTAGCTTACGAGTTGCAATGCGCACCTCGCCGTTGGTATGGCTGAGATAAGGAACCGCAAACTCAGTGATATTCTATTAGACATAATTCAAAAAACCAATTGTCAGTTGTTGAGTGAAACGACCCAAAAGCAGAGGTCATCTACTACAGCAAAAGGTCTAATGTTGCCTTACCTCGAAGTCGAGGCCGCCTGCAGTCCCCTTGCCTTCGGATCTATCAAACACACCGAATTCGTTCACGAGTCTGGCAACAATTTCAATCCTGGATTGTGCTTGCCGGTAGGGTACTGTGTTCCTTGCTGGCTTGAATACCAGAGGAAGGATGGCGTATGGAGTCGTCCTGAAACTGTTACAAAGCATTACGAGTCGGTCGATGGTTCCTTGGGTCACACGCGTGTTTAGATCCGATGCCTTAATCAGTAATAGTGAGAAGATCGGTTCCAAGGAACGGTATGTTACGGCATTCGGAATCTCGTTCTGAATGCAGAATTCTACGGTGACAGATAGGTTTACGATGAATAGCAGCTCTCGTCACAATGTATAACACAGGGTCTCATTTTGTCGATTAAGACTTACTGACAACTTGATCAAGCAGCGCTAACGCAAGTGTCACGACCTTCTCGCGAGTGTCTGTCAAGGCTATCGAAATGACTTGGAAAACGGCTCGCGCTAGTAAAGTCTAGTGTTTGCGCCGATGTTAAACGAGCTGTCCCGTCATCAAGGACTTTAAACCAACCTGTTTGTTGCCTAACCAACTTACTCGATCGTTTTGCTGGTCGTTGTCGTCCTCGTCATTCTCATTTTCCAGATGCTCCTTGACACATTCAATAGCGTATAGTCGGAGGTGGAGCTCGCGACTAATGAGGCATGAGACGACTTTGCTGGGAAATACCTGAAGCGACACAGAGAAGCTGGTTTGTTCCTGCTCTGTCAGCTCATCTAAATGAATCGTGCTGATATCATCCTGTCCAAGAATGAGCTGGCTGGAAGAAATGAATGAACGATCTTTTATGGCGGGCTGAGAAATCACTTGTTGTAGTGCTTTTGAGCCGTTCCTGGGTAACAAGGGTAGTCTGTGCGACGACTGCGGTCCTGAGTATCTAGCGCCGCTCAGCTGCTTTGAGACCCCAGTCGAGGACGATCTGAAAAGAGGCGCCGGTATCTTTCCTGAATAATCGCCCCTTCCCGCCCTGTCTAGATCAGAGCTGCTATCGCTGGGTGCTGAGGAGCTGCGATTCAGGACGGCTGGAGGAAAGATGCTTCGGCGACTGACAGGAACCCGCCGTCCATTGGTCCCGATGCTGCTGATCGGCAGACTGCATGCCTCAGCAGAGACTGATATATTGCTAACTGAAACGCTCTATAGTACCCAGAGAAGACTAGTCGTTAGCCGAATGGTCCGATGTGCGGTCGAAACACATGTAGCCCATGAGTCTTGCAGCGCTGCAGCAATAAGGTACCTTCGAAGCAATAAGTGACTTCTCATTATCGTTCTCCTCGTAAATCACGTCCGACCGTGCCAAAGAGACGACGGTGCTTTCATCTGTTGCAGTGATGACAAAGCCTCCCTGAGACAGCTGAGTGTTCATCCTTGCTTTCACAACTACAACCTTAGTCTATGGTACATATGGTACATAAGAGCTAAGTTAAAGCTATTTCTAAACAATTAGGTTGATGAATACCACCAGCTTTGACGTATTACCTTCAACTCCTGTGCCAGATCAAAATCATCATTTTCAGCAGCTTTGTGCTTCTCAATGTTCAAGGTCTGAATTTCGTCCGCAAACTAGTGACATGTCAAGCATCAGTATCCGTGGCCAGGCTTAACACTGTGAAAAACTGAAGCGATCTTACTACTCACCTTTACCGTCTCCTCGTAACCAGCTTTATACAATTTTGCAGACGCGAAGTCCTCCACTAACAAAAGATGAGAGAATATTCACGACCGTGAGCATCCAATGGCATCCAAATGCTAATCAAACTAAGAGCAACGTCTGGTGCCTACCCTTTACTGCGTCCTGCTTTGCCCTGACGAACCCCACTATCAGTTTCTCTACATCTTGATCCATGTAACTGGCTGGCTGATCCTTTATTTCCGCTATTGACAATCCCCGCACTGCATCCGACAGGTTGGGGACTTCAAGAGTCTCCAAAACTGGAATCGAAGAGTGTGGAACCGTTGTCTCTGTAAGTCCCTGACCTGGTCCATTCACGACCTCGAATTCGTTGAAATCCAAGCGTTCCGATTCTCCTTGCAGCTCATCTTCAAGTGTCTCGCCCAGCACATTCAACGCCAATATCGCAACTTGATGGTAGATATTGAGAGGATTCACATGGCACTGGCGAATGACGACACGTAGATACTCGCCCTCGACATCGACATTAATCGATTTCAACTCTCGCCCCGAGAAGTTGGAGGCAGTGTTGCTGTCAAAAGAGATGGAGCCAAGTTTTTGAAACTGCAGCACTGGCAAATTCTTCTTCCTGGCATCCACTCTAGGGACGAGATCAAGTCCGGCATCCTCGTCCTCATCCTCATATGCGCCATCGTTGTTTCCATAGTTGTTGTCATGATCGGCATTAGTGTTCCCATCAATGAGAGATTGACGTCCTGTGGCATCTGCGTTGATGGACTGAACACCTTTCCTCGAGCCCATCCAAAAGTCCAGCCTGCTCGCAATCTTGTACTGGTGGGACAAGATCTGAATCTTTCTCACCCTGGAGTGCCCACATGAGAATCGCAGCACCAAATCCTGTGGGTAGCTGCAGAATCTAGATGGCGATTTAAAAAGAGATGTTAGATGCGCATTCGATGACCACGATGCCATTCTCGGAGTATTCCTGTAGTTTACCTTGGAGTGTGCCATCCTTTACCGGAGGAGGTGTGCATTAGTCCGACAAGCTCCTCTGGTGAAAATCCTTTGTCCCATCCTGAAGCCATTTGAATCTCATACGGAAGCCGCTGGGGTGTCAGAACCATGAGATATTCCTGAAGTGCCTGAGCATTGCTCTGCCACGGGGCTCCTGTGTGGCTGTCACGGTCTCGTAGTGAAACGATCAATTGATCGTCCGCGCTATCCTCTGAGCGCTGTCGCAAAGAACCAAGGGACCCAGCCAAGAAAGGCACGCTACTTTGATAGAATATAAATCGTCAATTGGTGGATTGTAAATGGTCGCACTTTTTGTTACACTGTGAACAATAGGATTGAGGTGTAAATGTGCGATTAATGGTGTTGAGGACTTACGCTCGCGAGCGACCGATGAGCGACCGCCTGCGAGGGCGGAGACGGAGGCTCGATGCAGGCTTTTTGGAAGACTGGACATGCGTCGCTTCGTAGGTCGTAGGAGGTCTCATAGCGAGTGCGTAGGAGGAGGCGTGGCAGGAAGAGGGCTAGAGATGCAAAGTGGCACAAAGAGGATCCAGAGGCCTCACTTTGTGGTCTCTGTCGAGCGTTGCCAGCAGGGAGGAGAGAGATGGCAATGAGGACTTGGATGTTGGAGTATAGGATGGATGGATTAACAGAACAAAGAGACAATGGATTCCACTCTATTGTCATCAACGTGAATATGAAAGAATAAGAAAGACAAGGGCAGAGCAGATAACTGAGCGTGCACCTGCAGGTAAACAAAAAGGCCACGATGCATGCACTGCATGTAATAAACCATAGTCCACCCATCAAACCCGCCAAAAACAAACAAACAAATAAACAATAGCGACTTCCCATTTGTCTTTGCAGCTCATATCCCCGCCAATGGGTTGTATAAGCTACGTGGAAAACATTGCCGAGGGCACTCATTATTTTGACATTTAACGGGTATCATCCAAGGTTGTTCAAAATGGGAACAATTGTGCTTCAGAGTCACAGAGATGCCCTTTCTCGCCTCTTGTGTCGTCTCGTCTTCTTTTGTTCGTTCGTTCTTCCGCAGCTCTCTTTCCGCCTCACTGCTGCTATTACCATTATGGACCAAAGTGGGCGGATAGAGATATTTAAGCTGATTACGGTTGATCTCCCGTCATTTATTTGCTCTCTACTCTCCTCTTTTTTTATCTCGCTCTCTTTTTTGTTTCCTTTTCGTCTTGCTCTTGCACGTTGGACTAAAAAGCCCGATCGTGCGATAGTTGATAATTCTATCCTTGTTGTTCAAACAACCGAAGGTTTTGTGCGAACGATAAGTCAGCTGTATAAACTATTGATCGTCCGTATTAGGTTAGATAGTTTTTGCCGCCAACCTGACTTGATCAAGTGTTACTCAGGGGCAAGCAGCCAGCCAACAATGTACTGTGCTGGTATCCTGGAGGTTTTTGGCGAAAGGGATTAGGGCTCTATCCATGCCCAAACGAGCACTCTTCCTCTCCTTTCCCCTTTCCTCTCTTTTTTCAGGTTTCTTTGATCACCACCTCTACACCGAACCTCTATATCTGGCGACCTCATGTTTTCACAACTCTGCGATGGGCATTGGCGGCTTGTGGCCTTTCCTGAAAAAGAAAGGGTATGAGGCTACTATGCGCTTTGAACACTCTGTTCTCCCCAGTCCTTTTTATAGCGGCCCGATGCGTCAAGTAGACATCAAAAAATAATAATAAAGAAGAAGAAGAAACCGACAATGAGTGCAACGAGTAAGAAGAAGATAGCGGTGAAGCACATGCGGAAGATCAATATGGTCCGTGCTCTGTAGCAGGAACGTCTTACATTAACCCTCGATATTAAAACTCTATTCGCTGAACGTCAACAGGACTTGGACCAAGAACCCGATTTGGCGTCCGAAGCGCTCGGATGTGTCCAGGAGGCTGTCCTCCTCTCAGCGAACACCAAGTGATCCTTCAAGCAACTTGTTGGTTGATTTATTAAGTGTGTTACTACTTCAGACATCTTCAAGGAATTGGATCGAGAACCGTTAGACCATATCTCTGTGACATCTCTATTCGTGCGAGCCCCCTGGCAAAACGTGGATTGGCCAATGCATCCAGTGCATGCAACGCTTCATCGGTCGAGCACAGGACCTGGGCCTGCTGGACATAGGGAATGAAGCTGCAATAAGGACGAGAATATCATAGCCAGGATCGACATTGCTGCGATCCGCTGCCTCTCAGTTCTCAAATGAGTTCAGGTGAATCTACAGAAACAGCACCTTGGAGCTATATGAAAAGGTAAAGAGTTTTATTGACTTTAGTTCCAGCTGAGGTTTAACTCAGGGAGTAATTTAAGAGAATACAAAGTTAACAGCATTAGCTTTCGCTATAGCAGTTCAAGACTCATAAGAACAAGGGGCTATTATCAGATGAGCGCAGCATCAAGAGCCGTTGCGACTTCTCGGCCATCGAAAATTTTATCCACTTAATCCAAATCAGTAAAAACCTTCGGAGGCTCGTTTCTGTAGCGCCTATCAGCCAATCTTTCGTCTCATACTCGGAAGTGGAGCTGCTCCAGATCTTTTGACAGAGCGAGGTGCTCAATAAGATACTCAGGGTGCTAATTAGAACAACGAGTTATGCTCCTGCGCTTTGAGACGCAGAATACTGGCTGGCCGGCCAAGAACCAGAGTTCCTCGTTACAAGGCTGCTCACAAATGTAGGACAAGGTGAATCCAAACGGCGTAAGCCAGGATCCCCGAAACCGTACAGGAACACAGCAACGACGATGCCCTTGAGCGAAGTTCAACAGTACTTTATGTTCATTCGTCAAAGTGACTTCGATTCCAGTACCTACACCAAACGCGACTATCTCCTCTGTGGATCTCTTAGGACTGATAGTTTTCATCCTCAAGTACTCACCTTCAAGCTGAAGGAGCTGTAGTCAGTTCGATACAGGCGACTCCCCAAGAATGTTTTGTCCCTTCGAACCACATCCACAATCGGAGGAGTGGATTATTACTTGACCGAGGTCCGAAACACTGTGAAGACCCAGCAGGATGTTATCGACCTTTGGGAATGTGCGCCCGATTAAATCAAGGTCCTGGGTCTCGATTTCGGCCAAGCCTGTGTAGTCGGAACCGGTGCGTTGCTACCAAAGAACGATGGTCCTGCCAGTACGACGACGGGACCTGGAAGAAAGGATGATGATGTCGGCATGAGCAGCTCCTCCGAGGATACAACCCCTACTCCCGTTCCTGTCACCTATTACAACCTCGCAGTGAAACAGAAGACAGTGTACCAGCCCACGCTCATGCACAGAAGATGGATGGAAGAGCAAAAAAGCATCGCTCCAGGCGACGGTATAGAATCCATCAACGACATCGAGACCAGCTTTGCGAGCTATGTTACGGAGCTGGAGAGAGTAGAGGAACAACTGAATGAGTTTTACAACAGCAACAACCGGTTCAAGAAGCATAAGTGGGGCGCGAGAAGGGCCAGAGATGCGGAGTACAGACTCATAACGGATCGCCTACTCAAGTTGGTCGGAGGATCGTTCGGTAGAAAGAGAGAGGAAGCCAACAAGATTGTGATTGGGGTTGGTCTAGGCAAGCTTTCGACCAAGACGAGACTTTCCTCCTTGCACGAGTCCTTTCTGTCGTACTTTGTTCAGAAGGCAAGAACACTATCACAAAGTTATATAAAATCGTTCTATGTTTTTATTGACTTCGTCTTGATGTCCTAAAGGCCAGGTCCCTAGGCTACATCGTAGTTGGAGTGAATGAGTACTTGTACTTCGAAGAAGTGCCCGACGTGCAAGGAGTTTGTCGGACAGGTCGAGATCCGCAGGCAATGCTGATCAACCTGTGGCACTTTCATGCACCGCGATATTATGGCAGGGCACAACATTTGCAACGTCGTTCGCAGCCATTTAGTCCATCAACAGCGACTGCTCTATCTTCAGGCAGTAGATAAGGACAGGCACTGCCCTTAGATGCAAGATGCAAGATCGTACACAGAAACCGGGGGCAGTAGCAGCAGCGGTAGCGCAGTGGGGCAAGGGCAAGGGCAAGGACGAGCTCGAGGACGCAGGCGAGCAGCCTCATCCTTGGAAGGGGATGGACTGTCGCACTCCACAGTTCAGATGCAGTACTCTCTTGCAAGGATGTGTTCTGTGACGTATTTGAGCCTGAATTGCTCTGCACTCGATCTAGGATTTTGTTCCTCGTTCTTTCAGCTTCTATTGCCTTACAGGGCACAGCACGCTCCAGTAGCACACCAGACCAGAGAATTGCGACTTGACACTGAATCGGATCAACTCCTCTTCATCCCTACGTTCTCTCCCACTCATCACCACATACCATCATCATGTAAGTCTCGCGGCATGTTCCTCGCACCACCCAAAAATATTCTTTTTGCAGCGCCAGCTCGATACCTCTATGCACCAAACGCCGTTCCCTGGCGCTAAAGCTGATCGGTACCCATCATCACCATCAAAGAAAAAAAAAAAAAAAAAAAACACGCTATCTGGAGATCTGCTTGCAGAAACAGTGAAACGATATCACTTTACAGGGAACACCATATGGACACAGATGTGCCTCGGCATCATGTTTGATAACTTGCGCTGACTGTGCGGCATTCCCATCGCGACGTTCAATAGGTCTGGAGGATCAGCTGTTTCTCTCATCAACCCTAACTCGGAGGTCGCTCGCCGTGGCCAAGCTCTGCAGCTGAATATCAATGGTGCTGTTGGTCTAATGGAGGTCGTTCGTTCCAACCTCGGCCCCAAGGGAACCATCAAGATGCTGGTCAGCGGCGCTGGCGATATTAAGCTGACCAAGGACGGCAAAGTTCTCCTCAGCGAGATGGTACGACAAAATATATACCCTTGCTCAGCTTTGATGTGCTGTTCTTTGCTCATGTATACTAGCCTGGTCTCTAACGCGTCTCGTTTCATTGTCCCTGGATTCGATGGAAACCGATTTGATGCTGCTATCAGCAAATTCAAAACCCTACTGCCGCCATGATTGCCCGTGCAGCAACAGCTCAGGATGAGATTACTGGAGACGGCACAACTTCGATCGTCATGCTCGTCGGAGAATTCATGAAGCAAGCGGAGCGTCACATTGCCGAAGGTCTTCATCCTCGCATAATCACAGAGGGATTCGAGCTCGCGAAGAAGGAGTCTCTTAAGGTACGTTACGCTCGACCACAAGCTCCACAAAGTATAGAGCCATCCATGTATTAGTTTGAAATTTAACGATGACTTCCATCTTATTGTCGTCACTCAATAGTTTTTGGATACTTTCGCTGTCAAGAAGGAGATCGATCGTGAGCTGCTCATTTCTGTTGCTCGCACTTCACTCCGCACCAAGGTCCACCGTGCCTTGGCCGACACCCTTACTGAGGCTGTTGTGGATGCCGTTCTGACCATTTACCGCGAGAATGAGCCCATCGATTTGCACATGGTTGAGATTATGGCGATGCAGCACAGGAGTGAAACCGACACTCGTCTTGTCCGCGGATTGGTCATGGATCATGGCGCCAGACATCCCGACATGCCCAAGAAAGTTAAGGACGCATATGTCCTCACCCTTAATGTCTCCCTGGAGTACGAGAAAAGTGAGGTCAACTCTGGATTCTTCTACAGCTCCGCGGAACAGAGAGAAAAGCTGGTCGAGTCAGAGCGCAAGTTTGTGGATGAGAAACTGAAGAAAATTGTGGAACTTAAGAAGCAGGTGTGCGGCGACTCTGGCAAAGGCTTCGTCATCATCAACCAGAAGGGCATTGATCCCCTGTCGCTGGATGTCTTGGCAAAGAACGGAATCTTCGCTTTGAGGCGCGCCAAGAGAAGAAACATGGAGCGCATGCAGCTGATCTGCGGAGGTATCGCCCAAAACTCTGTCGATGATCTTTCACCTGAAGTTCTCGGATGGGCTGGACTGATCTATGAACACACCTTGGGTGAGGAGAAGTTCACATTTGTTGAGGATGTCAAGGACCCCAGCTCAGCAACCATTTTGATCAAGGGTAAGAGGGCAGGCGGTATCATGTGCGCATATTCCGTCTCGTGGAAGATGTCTTAACCGCCTTTGAACAATCTATTTATTATATCTTAATTGTGCGACACGGCTCTAGGTCCTAACCCTCATACGATCCATCAGACCAAGGATGCCATCCGCGATGGTCTCCGTGCTGTTAAAAACACTTTGGAGGATGGATTGGTAGTACCGGGTGCCGGTGCCTTCCAGGTCGCTCTCCATTCTCATCTTCTCAAATTCAAGGATACTGTCAAAGGTCGTGTCAAGGCCGGTATCACGTCCTTTGCTGAGGGCGTTTTGGTCATTCCCAAGACACTGGCCTCAAACGGTGGCTTCGACCCTATGGATGTGATTGTGACCATGCAAGAAGAGTACGCGGATGGCCATATTGTTGGTGTTGATCTTCAGAGCGGAGAGACGCTGGATCCCGTTGCAGAGGGCATCTGGGACAACTACCGTGTCGTCCGCAATATGGTGCAGAACGCGTCCGTGATTGCCACGAACTTTTTGCTAGTGGACGAGATGATGCGAGCTGGTCGCTCCTCGCTGAAGAACGATAATCACATGGAATAAGTTGGTTCGCCGGGCGGAACCACTCAAGGGACCCAGGGGTTGTGTAGATTCATCGTGTCCAGATCAGGAGACAAACAGTAAAGTCGTATACAGCGAATTTTTTTTTTTTATATGTAAAGTACATGTAAAGATGACATATGGTACAATGATCCGAAGGATCAACTAGAAGAAGGCTCAATCTTGGAAGCAATCCATCATGGCATCGAGAGGGTTTGAAGGATGAAGTCGTTGTCGCTTGCTGGCGTCTGCATCTAACAGAAGATAAGGTAGCACAGACTGTTAACAGGAACTCTGACAGCCCAATTCATTTGTTCAGGTGAGCGCATTTAAATGCACCGTACCTGGAGTCGCAGAGAGCATTTGATGCTTTCGCTTGGCCGAAAGGACATCATGTCTCGAACTCAAGATGCTCACCAGCCTGGGCACTGTTGAAATTCGTAGATCGGTTTAGTGCTCCATTCTCACTATTTGACAGCTTGACAATATAAACAGACACAGCACCCCGATACATACAAATGACCTTCATTCTTTCCAGCTCCTGAATGACATGCGAGTCTGGAGACAGAATGTTTTTTTGTATTTCTCCCGCATCCAGCCTCCTAATTTCGGTCCGTAGTGTCTATGTAAAGAGAGTCGAATTAGCATGCAGAAGAAAAGTTGGCTGAAGCAGAAGGAATCCTTGAGTGGTCTCTACCCTGTAATACTCGTGTTTGTCTTTCAACTCCTGGTATCTGGTCTGCATCGCGACAATCCGGGACCGTAAATCTGCATACTTTTGTAATCTAGACAGGCTCGGAGTCGGAGCTAGGGGTGCGATGGATGATGAATACAACGAAGGGTCATTCGAGGTAGCGGAGAGTCCCGCTTCATCCTGGTGTTGCTGCCATGTCTCTGGGAACATGTCGATCCAGTCCGACTCAAGAATTTCCTGAGCGCTCTTTGTCCTGATGATGACACCTCCTTGCCGCGCCTTCTTGCGGAGCTCATACTGGTTCGCCTCCAATTGCTCTAGCATCTGACGGATAGATTGACTGTTAAAGGTCATACGCGAAGACTTTGTGCTGATGGTATGCACTATGAGATTTGGAGGCAAACAGGATTTTAGTCGTGCTTTCGAGAGAAACGAACAGGCAATTGACCATCTCCATTTATCTGAAGCAGTGACAAACGTTTTGACAAGACAGCAGAGACGACGCCCTCCGGGATGGAAGTATGGGCCTCGCCCCTAGCGTTCAACCGTGCCCGATGGTGTCTCCAGTCAGACGGCGGTTGCATGGGTGTCTCCAACAGCCTGACCTGAGCGTTGATAAAAGCCTTTTTGTCGTGGTAGTACCGTCCCTGACCGACAAGGGTATCTCCATGGGTGGTCATGACGATGCGTTGAGTATTCTTATTATCCGGCTTGTCGTAATTTTCGGTGATGATTCCCGTATAGTGATGACACTCGGCTGGTGCAGATGGTTGCTGTGTATACGAACAAGGGAGCTATAGCCTTTTGAAACGTGAACCAGTCAAGGTCAAAATCTCTCTCCCCTGAGCCTGGCAAGAGCAAGTGGCTTTGTAGCTTTGTGGAGATGAGGTAAAGGCCTCCCCTCCCCCATCATTCTCTTTCCCTTCCCTTTGTCCGCCTATCCGTTCATCCAGCTGCCGCTTTCATCGGACAAGCACATTACGCTAACAACCTCATCAAGCATCAACACCGATCTTTTATTCGATCAAACCCTTCAAGCGCAAGCAAGTGTCTTTATTGTGGCCCTTTGGTTGACTGCTGTCGTTATTCGCCCTCACAGTCCGCACTCAATTACCCGAGCGGCAGCCAGAGTCATGTATCAGCAGTTCCAGCAACAGCCGCAGCACTCCCAAGGGAGCCAGCCCAATGGAGGACATCAGAACAGAGAAGGCGTAGACCCAATTCACATTCGACAGCTATACAGGAACGAACTTGCGACGCTGACGTTCAACTCAAAGCCGATTATCACCAGTCTGACGATCGCCGCACAGGAGAACATTGGTGTGGCCAAGGTTATTGTTCAAACAATCGAGGACAGACTCAGAACCGTAGGTGAACACGTTATTTTCAGCGTGCTGCCTTGTCGCCACGTCGTGGCGGTCTTCAGTAGCTCACGATCCCTGCTTCTTCATATTGTTCGCTTGATAGGCACCACCAAACCAAAAACTGCCTACGCTGTACTTGATCGACTCCATTATCAAGAACGTTGGCGGACCCTATCTGCATCTGTTTGGACGATCAATTGTCACTCTATTTCTGGACGCGTATGCAGTTGTGGATCCTACCGTTAGGGCCAGCTTTCAGAAGGTGTTGGGAACATGGCCCAATTGGAACACTCAGCTTTTCCCGAGAGATGCCATTACAAGAATTGAGCGTGGAGTGATGTCGATTCAACAGCAGCAGCAGCCATTTCAGCCAGCGGCAATGCATGTCAATCCTCACTTTACGGAACCGCACCCACGGGATAATGCGTTCAATGCTCAGGATCCTAGACAAATGGTAAGGAAAGCATATAACAAGCATTGGAAAAGACTGTTTCGTACGACTATTGCATGGTCTAGGGCTTCTTTTTTCTATCCATGTGTTCGCATGTACGGCCATCGAGACTTGCGGACACCTCTGGCCGGCCAACAGGACAAGGGATACGACCTATTGCGCAGCGTCGCTTGGACAACAGATCGTTGGTCCACAGAAGATCAATGGCTTCGCTCTTTCTCTCAGACCGAGATCGGCTTCTTTTCTCTTTTCGCTTTTCTTTCTTTTTCTGGCCTTGTCTTGCTTCAAGAATAAAAAAAAAATGTGGAGCGTCGGCATCGTCAGAACATCAAAACGCAATTAATCTTTGGGAACAAAAGAACACGGCCACCAATACCACCCAAGCTGAAAGGACGCCTTTGTTGAACCAAGGAAGACTCATGAAGGATACAAATCAAAGGGATATATTTGCGGATGGGCACGACTGGATGTATTGCTGTATTTAAGATAGCTTTGCCTTAGAGGTGTCTTTTTTCAGGATGGAGACTCCTACTTGCTCTTTACTTACTGCCTCTCTTTAGACGCCTTTGTCTGTCATGATCAATTGACTTCTGACCATCTGTATCTTTACTCTTTTCTGCGACATCATTGCCATGTTTTACATTGGCATGCTTCAAATTGCTTTTCGGGGCGCTTTACGTGAACTTTCTTTCGCTTTACTGATGCCTGGATATCACGTTCGAATCCATATATGACGAAAACGCTATCTGTGGCCACTCCAGAACCGTCCGGCCGAGCCCAGCGTGGATAAAGTCCTGATGCAGGACATTCAATTACTTCTCCTCCATAAGCAGCAGGCGATCATTGCCAACCCAGGGGACCAGGCTAGTGCCAAGCAAGCGACTATACTTCAGCAGGTTCGTGCTTCTCTGTTCGTTGTTAGCATAACTCAACTGTATAGAGGCAAGATGCTCCTATTTCTCATGTCGATAAAAAAAAAAAAAAAAAAAAAAAAAGGGCAGAAAACTTCATGCCTTGCATAAAAGAAATGATATCGTTGAGATTGCCGGTTATCTCTTTACCATTATAGCAAAACATGATTGCGAATGAGGATGATTCCCTTTGCATCTGCGATGCACTCCGCCTCAGATCCTAATGTGTATGTGCTTTTTCAACTTTAGTTGCTGAATATTGTGCAGACGACTCAACTGACGCCTGAAAATGCCAACATGATCAGGCAGCAGCTCTCCCAGCTCTGGACGGCCACTCCAGGTCTCCCTGGGTATCCTCCAGGGGCGATGGGTCAGAATCTCGCTATGGCGCCGCCTCTACTGCCACCTAATATGATGATGGCGCCTTCCAACAGCGTCGCGCCATCATCGTCGATTATGTCCGTTGCACCACCAGTTCCACCCTTTCCCGGTGTCGCGCCACCGCTCTTTGCTCCACACTTGCAACCATCTCCCGGATCATTGTCTAGCCCTATGGTCCCGATGGCATCTCTACCGACTCCAATGCCTATTCTTTCAGGGAACCTTCCGATATCTGGAGCGGGAATGCCCAACATGCCATCCGCGCCCGTCATGACTGGAGTTGTCGCACCACCACCGCCGCCTGTGGCATCTACCCCATCAATACCACTACCTACTACTGCAGCTGTACCTATTCTGCCCGGACAAGCGAGCGATCTGTTTGCTAGTTTGATGCAGTCGGGTCTGTTAGGACCGAACGGCACGTTGAACAACCAGCTCTTGCAGAATGCTGCCAACATGAATCGCGCCCCACAGTCACCTATGGTCGCCACGCCTCCACTTCCAAGCGCGCCTCTTGACCGCGTGGGCCAGAGCGAGCAGGATCAAAGCATCATGTCTCTTGGACTGATCGAACTTACGAGTCAGGATATTCAAAGGTTACAATGGCGGTGATTGTGTTTGTGCGAACATCGATATATGAACACAACTCCATTGACTGATCATCATGCTTGTGTTTTTCTGTAGGAGGGCGACCAGCGTCTATCCAGGTCATGTACGGCACACCGCCCTTGCAGTGCAACCAGTGCGGCTACCGATGTCCTAAATCTGCAGACGCACAAAAGAAGATGGATGCGCACCTGGATTGGCATTTCCGCCAGAATCGTCGTATGAAGGATAAAGCCAAGAAGAGCCATTCTCGAAGCTGGCTTGTTGGAGAAGAGGTATACATGGAAAACACTAATGGGCATATCATTTGCTCCGCAAGCTTGGACTCTAACTCGACTCATCGTTTTGGACCCTGTGTTTCACTAGGATTGGATACACTCTCGAGAAGGCGATTTGGGACACGGCCAGCAGCCTGTGTTTTTTGATTTCGGGTCTGGCATGAGCAAGGCCGTGAGCAAGGACGAGTTGGCGCTACAGGAAGAAGTCGCGCAGCTCAAGGAACAAATCGTATCTGAGACTTCGCTTGTTCAGGATCTACGCGGGGATGAGAGAGATACAGTCACAGTCCAAGGGGCTATGAACACCATTTCTAAAGGCTGCTCAGTCTGCAAGGAAAAGTTCATCAAGATCTGGAACGAGGCTGAAGAAGAATGGTCCTACAAAAATGCAAGCGTCGTCGATAAAGTGGTAATTGACGGCTATTTTCCTGAATTTGATGATCTGTGAGTTGGCGTGGCATTTGCACTTAAAGAAAATGACTTGTGTTTTCATGGATATAGATTTATCATGCAACCTGCCATGCAGATCTAGTTCGATCAAATCAACGCCAGGCTGCGTTGGTAGAGGCTGCATTGGCTGCAGCGGCTGCAGCTGCAACGACAGCGAGCGCAGAGGCAACTCCCCAGCAGACCAACAAAAACGCGTCGTTCCTTGTGGAGCCAAAGATGGAACAAAAGGATACCAAGGCCGACGACCTGTTGCTGTCTGATACTACTCAAGTCGAGCAATGGCCCGATATCATAAAACAACAACACTCTGTCGACCAAGAGATGACTGGAGCAGACTCCGATTTGCCGCTATCGTTGAAGCGCAAGGTATTGCAAAACTAGCTGTGGCACTTTGCTTACTTTTGCCTCGCTAATAACAAGTTGCTTCTGTTGTTAATCTGTATCTTCTTTGTGGCATCATGGGATAGCTCGAGATCGACCAGCAAGAAGAAGAGCAGATGGCGACAAAGAAAACTATTCTTGCGTAGGACTCTTGATAATCTGCTATCTATCTTGTAATAAAGCACTCACGAATAAACATGGTGCTTGGTACATTTAGTAAGAGCAATCGACATAATTGCAAAATATGCCCGCGAACGATTGCCGTTTTATTATGATGCGTCTAGCAAGGCTTCGTTTGATCTCTGCAATGCTTGTTCTGGACTGTGATCAGGGTGCTTCAATCATCTCTGTGTCCTGTTCAGCAGCGACAGCGGGGGTTGTATCTGCTGCTGTTTCCATTGTCGATAATGGCGGAGCTGTCTCTTTTTTCTTCAACTCTAAACCCGCAGGAGCGACCGTTTCCGAATCCATGACAATATCTTCGTCCTTCCCAGCTTCAGTAACGGGTGCAGTCGCTGGCACAGGCACAGTCTTTGCTTCTTCAGATCCTGCCTTTGTGGTTGTTGCAAAGGTGATAGCCCTGGATGGTTCTGACATGCCGTTTTGGTGTGCTCCATTGCCATTGCTTGCAGCGATACCAGCAGCATTCACAATGTCATGAGCCGACTGTAATTTCGTAGCCGCAGCAGGAAGTATGTCGACAGTACCACGGGCCCGTCGGCTCGATAAACCACCCACCGAAGATTTGGATACCCTTCCATGCCGCACTGATTTTGAATACCGAACACCATTCGATGCATTAGTCTCCTCATCCTCCGACTCTTCAAACTCGTTCTCTGGCACCACTCTCTTGTCCCATAGTCTCTCTATTAGCGCAACAATAAAAACTATGATAAGGCGAGCGGAACAATAAAAACTTTTCGAAATATCTGGTAAGCACTTTACGATTACTTACGAGGGACTCGCTTGTCTGGATCGTCCTGATCCTCGTCATCCGACAGATCCAGATCACGAGGCACAGGCTGCATCTGAACGGAAGGTGCACCCTTTGACCGTGCCAAGTTCTCGAAGACCTGCTGTTTGATTTTTTCCAAGTACTCAACAGTGTTCGCGTTGTCCATATTGCTTGGTTTGACGTCGAGTTCGTAGTCTGGTCCAAAGTACTCGTAATAATCATTGAAGGGCATGTCTGGCCCAACCTCCTGTCCCACTGCGACGCCGGTCTCATAGCACCACGCCCTAGCAACATTGCGCATTGTGTATCCTCCACCTCCAACCATCAGCAATGGCAGATTCAGACTCTTCACAAACTTGACGCAGTTTGCATGACCTAAAATATCATACATAACGTGCGTCTCAGTCTAATAATTCGGAGCAACAATAGCAAATTAACGATATGTAAGCAGGAGGTCTCCTCTTACCCTTCATAGACAGATTGAAGCACCCAAGCTTGTCGCCACTGAGAGAATCAGCTCCGCACTGTAGTACGATCGCGCCGGGCTTGTACCAGTCCACTACATGCTGGATCACCGGCTCAAAAATGCTCTTGTATGTGACATCATCGATTCCGTCTCTCAGTGGAAAGTTGACAGCATAGTACTTTCCTGATCCTGCGCCAACATCCTGAAGATATCATAGAACAGCGGTAGCAATGAGTTAGCAAATCCATTCTTTGCCATTGTAGCCAGTTCAACATCTCTACATTGCTTCAAACTGTACCCTGACTTCTCCTGTGCCTGGAAAATACTCTCCATGCTTGTGAAAACTGACGGTCATGACACGGTCTGTGGTGTAAAATGCCTCCTCCACCCCATCCCCATGATGGATGTCAATATCGATATAAAGCACGCGTGGATGATACCTCAGCAGCTCCAGGATGGCGAGCACGATATCGTTCACGTAACAGAATCCACTGGCCTCTGTCTTTTTGGCATGGTGAAGGCCTCCAGCCCAGTTAACCGCAATGTCGCATGAGCCATTATTCAGCCTTGCAGCGCCCTCTGCTCCATATTCACCAAAAGAATGTGAAGAATTGAGTCATACTAACTTCAATGTCAATCATTTGCGCCAGAAGAACACCAGTACTGTGGAACACTGAGCTTACCCATAGATCCCCCAGCAGAGAGTTGGCAGTATTCAAAGAGACCCTCAAAGATTGGACAATCATCTCCTACGTTGACTAGATGAAGAGGTTTCCGATTTCGTGGTCAATCTTCTGCATCTCATGACACTGAATAATTTCTCACGAATGAAAAAAATTCCTGGTTACATTTCATTTGCTCTTTGGCATAAGCGTCCATGTTATCAGGCGAGACCCGGGACAGAAAGTCGATGTACTCATCCGTATGGAAAGCCGTCATTTCTTTTTTGCTTCCGGGGCGAGCTCTCTAGCAATTGCAAAACAGAAGCAAGCTAATAGATCAGAACGATGGTCACTCGCTTTCATCTAGTAACAACTGTTCTCGGGCAATTGATCAACTGCAAACGAAGCAGCGGACGATTGTTCTCTCCGGCGTGCATCCAGGGGCGCTGCCCCTTCCAAGAATATGGCTCTTACGTAAATTTCCATCTTATTGTACAATCCATAATTCATGACCAGACTGTGGCACATTCGGATACGATGAGGCTTCATAGGGTGTCCAGGTCCATAATGATAATTGCCAATGTTCTGGTCGTAAAAGTAGGCGACGCGCTTCTTGGGCTCGGCGCTTTGTTGTCCTGCTACCTGCATCATTTCCATATCAGCCCGTCTTGCAGCCTTTTTTTCCGTGTTCCCGAAAAAAGAGAAGATAAAGAATCATATTAGCGTTGCTGGAAAGAACGAAGGACGTCTCATAAGTCCATGTGGTAGAGTTGCGCGCTACCTCTGATTCGCCTCCGCGAGCCATGTGTTCGAGTGATGTTGTTTCTTATACCGGAATCCGGCTGTGGGAGAAAGGCGTGTGTTAGGAGTGAGAAGGAGAGAGAGAGAGAGAGGAATTGAGGCAGGGACAAGAATGAAGAAGAAACAGAGCAACAGAGCGACAGATGCAGAGAAGTCGAGAGTGGGATTCGCTAGAAACCCTTAAGGAGCGTTATCGCCAGCTGCGGCACGTTTATTTCCAATCAGAATCCTTGCGCTCCATGCACCCCCATGCGCGTGCTATCTCTCTCTCACACAACGCACACGCAGAAAGCGCTAATAGGCATTGCATTTCGATAAACACATACTGACAAATATTCGAGGTGTTATATTTATGGAAGTTAAATCTCATGTCCCGCTGAAAAAAGAGGAATGGTATTCCCAAGCCCTAATAGATATCCGAAGGACGCGTTATGCTATTGTCCATTCATTCATTCCTATTCAATGATTGTTCATGGCTTCAATACGATTTTATGCCCGCAGAAAGTCAGGGTCAAGTAGATACCAAGGTAGCAGCCGAGATCAACGAGATACAATAAACCCTGCTATATGGCGTAAGATAATGGCAAACAATGATGATATTTGCTTCATGTCGGATTACTTGTTAATTAACTGCTATAGAACTAGGTTTCTAGGTGTATATGTGAAACTACCCTCCCCCAAGGCAACCCCAGGGAGGAAAGGTATGAGCCTCGGTAGGAGTAATCGATATTATTTTATAAGGCTCATATAAAGGTAGTCGAAGAAAAAAAGTAACAATCTCAGCGAGTGTCAGGCATATCGAGGAAAAAGAGCATAACTTCGTACTGTAAGGAATTGGAAAGGAAATAAAAAAGTCCAGTCTCAATGAGAATAAAACACGCTAGCGCTTATGAATGCTTCAGCTGCGTAATTACTCAGCGCTCACAAGCTTTATTCCTTTGAAGCTATGCATAAGGAAAGCCCTGGATATAACAGATCAAATCAGTCGTTTCTGGAGTCGCGACAGTGCTTACGATCTCTGTGGAATAAGTTTAAGATTGCCTGTGAAACTGACTTGCTTCTTTATTCATGACCAAATAAAGAACCAGGTCGTTTTTCACAGGCAACTCTAAAGAGTCTACGCTTAAAATAAAGGACTAGTACCGACTCATATTACGAATTAAGGTAATTAAGGCTTGAGACGGGTCTACTCCCATTTTCAACTGCAACCAGTGGCATTTACTTACCCCACACTGTCACCCGTACTTTAGTCAGGTTGCGTCCCCGTCGCACCGAACCTCATGCGACTACGGCCGCCATCCAGGGGATCTCGACTGCCAATCACGACTCGACCTACGGCTTCTAGAAAGACATAGCAACGAATAGTGTTGCTCCTCAAAGTCCAATGTCCGTATCAAGTCACGAGTGCGCTCTCTTGTCTGATCAAGTAGCCCTATAGGATACGTCTGGCTACGCACGCGTTCCTAATGGAATAAACCTTGTACTACATTCCCCATGCGCGGGGTCTATTAACCAATCGTTCAGACACGTATACTCCAAGGCTTGCCTCAGGTCTCAGCCCCATAAAGCGTATAGTCCCATCAGAGCCATAGATTCTCAGTCTGTAATACAACATCTCTCTATCCTGGTCCCTGCCCTTGCTCTTTATTCTGCATACTACTTATATGGCTGCCTTCTGCCAAGCATTAGGCCAAATCAAACAGAAATGATATGTGGATGGGAAGTGTGAAAGAGGGAAGCAGAGAGGTCGACAAGGTAAGAAACGTATTGCAGACTGAGGTTCTATGTTATGGATGCCACGGTTCTATGTATGCGATCTATGGTTCGTCCCAGCGTTCTTTGGACTCGTACAACAAGGTGCGACATGTATTTGCTAGGAATAGGACAATGGACTAAGGCAAAGTGCAATGTACTCGGCAGGTATACAGTGGCTTCCAAAATTGTCCGGATGTTTTCGGCTTTTTAGTACAGCTGCTGCTACTCGGCAAGCAGAAGCGCTAGAAGGCTGTAATTCCAGAGCTATTGGCCAATCAATGGCGGACATACTACCGACGCTCAATGAAAGTAGGTCGTATTATGGTAAATTTCTGTAAGATGTGAAAAATAGTATCCATCCGAACAGTTTTGAGAGCCGGCCCTCTAATGTACGATATTCGACTATCAGCGCTTGATGTTAGCGCCCTTGCCCTGCTAGCTACTCTGAAACGCCCTGGCATAATGCGGATCAAACTCTGGCGAACTTCCATTATTTCAAATTTGCGTAATTCACTTCCAAAACTCCTGCAGTCCTTTGATGGGTGGCTTCACCTCTTCATCTCCTCCTGCAATTGTTTACAACAGTAGCTGAAAAGACGGCTGATGATAATATCCCTACATCTCGGTTATGAGACTCTATTCAAATCGATATTCGCCTTTTGGCTCGCTGATGACGCGGTGTAATGTTGAGTGATGTTCCTGGATAGAGCATTTACGCACAAATTCACTTGTCATCATCCGCGCCATAGCTTCGTAATCAGCCATAGATATGTGTTCGCGCTTGAAGACACGGTCCCTGGCCTTTCAATAGCAGTGAAGGGACCCCCCTAGAGAAGTAGTTCGTATTTGCTTTGCGACGAAGCGAGCTGTCTCATTGCGCTGAAGTATCTATTTAAGAGCTCATACATTTTCACCTTAACGTTAGTGTAGGTTACTTTGAAAGAGAACGGCTATCGGTACGGAGTCCAGGGCTGCATGCGCGAATTTACCATATGGGAGTGATAGCCATGATCATATTTTTATGTAAGTTTTAGCAACTTGTGGGTAATGAGCACGGATGAGTTTCTTGACGCTCTCGTTCTATTTCCGAACAGACATTCCTATTGACGGTAATTTAGTGCTTTGAGAAAACAACAATAATAATGCGTTGTGGGCCAGCACAAGTACAAAGCGTCTGGATATATCACCTTAAAGCAATAGCCTTGGTTTCTGCGGATATGGCGAGAAAGGTCTAGTGGTACGCAGACTCCAGGCTATGATCCCAGCATCAACAAACACGCTCACGTCGTGTCTATCTTCGTACAGACATTTTTTAGCGATCAATGTACCACTTTGAAGAACATTGCTGTGAGAGCTGCAGGTGGGTGGCGCCTGAGCTTACCGCTATGGAGGAAAAGCATAGGCTATGCATGGAGCAAGAAGTCATGGCACTTGTACATACGCCCGAAGATACTCTGAACGCGTATACCTGTCTATTTTTCACGAAGATGCTCCGATTAGTCATCAGTCTATTGCGTTAATGGGCATCGTTGCGAGGATACAAGTGCGATGTGTCTAGACATACCGCTTTGAAGGAAGAGCCTGGTTGCGCTATTGACGATGAACCCTTGGTTCCATCTAAACCTGATCTGAGCGCCTGTCCCACGTCTGTCGCCCGCACTGACATTCAGCCTTGTGTTTAGATTATTACTTTAAAACAGTTACTGTATGCTGTCAGCGAATAGGTATCCAAGCTTACCAAAGACACGAGACCGCGTCGCGGCTTAAAGAGTGCTGCAGACCACGCAAGCGAGTGTATCCTATATTAGGCACACGCGTCCTTGAGGATAACGGCTATCAGGTCGATGCTTGCGTTAAAAGTTGGCTCGAGCTGATATCATGTTGAAGCACGTATGGAGAAAACGATGAAGCTGTGTGGCGCTTGAATATACCATAGATGTGAGCCATCTCGCGCGACCAGGATGATACTGCGCGCGCGGAGTGAATGGGGCGATTACTTGGAGGTCGCCGTTGAGATTAAAGGCTCTCAAGCTGAAAGTCGCACCTCTATTGGCGCGAGCTGAGCCAAGATCCCTTGAGAAGGAAACTTCAGTTCACAGACATGTCGATGATGGTGACGAAGTGCAACGAGGATCATGGTGAGGTCAATGAAACAAATAGTCTTGAGACTCTCCTTGCAAGGTGACGATGCCATATCCTTTGTGCTACATTTGTATACTCAGCAGTTTATTTAGCATCACTCTTTACGCTGTCTAGATGCCTGTAAATCCGCCCATTGCGCTCTGGGGCATTTCCTCCGCACCCAAATTCACACTCGGCGTCAATGCTGACACCAGCAGACCTTGTGCTACTGCATCCTGTCCAAATGACGACGACGGCGATCTGGTTCCACTGGCCGCGTTGGGTGGTATCGCGTAATTCGAGCCATCTACCATTGATATTTGAATCTCTCGCTGGTCATATCTCTGCATTTGCTGTTGTTGTTCCATTGGCTGCTGATAGCACCTGTTTGCTACAGAATACGGACTGGCGGGCGGCGGAACTTGCAATGGCATCATTCCTCTTTGACCATTGATCCCGCTCAAGGTGTTCGAATCGTTCGATACATTCAGAGGTGAGCTGCTGTCCACACCCATATATGAAAACGGAGACGACGGCCGCTGTTGTTGCTGCTGACTGTCCAAGTAGCCCATGGCCGAACCCTCGCTCGTGACTGATGTGAGAGAGTCCATATGAGCGCGACCCTGTCCAAATGCGCCTTCGCATACGGCCATATTGTTCTGCGAAGAAAGTGATGGCTCTGAGTTCATTGACGCAAAAAATGACGAATCTTGCTGCATGGAGGACCGCAATCGCTGCTGTTGTTGCTGCTGTTGTTGCTGCTGTTGTTGCTGCTGTTGTTGCTGCTGTTGTTGATACTGATCCCGGTACGGTAATTGCTGCGCTGGTTGCTGAAGCGGATGATACTGTGCTTGCGAATGTGCTGTTGTCAGCATCTGCCCGCTATTTGCCTGAAATAAGAACGGGAACACCTCACTCTTTGTCGTTTTCAGTTCCTCTGCAGTTCTCTTTATCAGCGGAGGTGGGATCGCTGTTAACTGTGTCTCATCCCGTTGTGACGCCATTGCTGCTGCCGCAATACTCGTATATTTCCTCTGCTCAGTCGCCCCAGTCTTAGCCTTCACGCTCGAATTACGGGACTTGCGTCTCCGGACCTTATTGATATCGTGGATCCGAGTGTGCTCCTTCAGGACATCGGAGCGTGAGAACTGTTTGCCGCATCCTTCGTGCGGACAAACAAAGGGCTTTTCACCGCCGTGCGACCGAACGTGACGAGCAAGATGTGCGGAGCGGGTAAAGGTCTTGTGACAGTTAGGCCAAGGACAGAAATGGGGCTTCTTGAGAGGAGCGACGTCGTAAGGAGTTTGAAGTGCCGAGACGGGGGTGACTGTGGACGGTGGGACAATGGGGGTCATATCCATCATCACCATCATGGATGAGCCCATTTGTTCCATCTCTGTAAAGTTGAATTGAGGCGTAAAGTATAAAAAGGGCGCATTAGTGATCATTGTTCCGGGGAAAATCAGGGTTTGCGCAAAAAAAAAAAAAAAAAAACAAGTGTTCATACGTACCGTTTTGTCCAGGAAGCGACATTCGCTTGTAATAAGGTCCTTCTTGGAGACGTGGCGAAGAATCTTGACGGGTGAGATCCATGCCAGTCTCAAGTGTCAGTAAATGGCTGTTATCCCTCTTGACTGCACAGTTTGCTGTTATCGGAATAGTATCCTCTGCGGCTGGGGAAACCGGGAGCTGTGGCACCGCAGAATACGAGGATACCATGGCAGGATCTGACGTGGATGTGGAGACCAAAGGTAGGTTCAACGGTGTGCTTGATTCAGTGAGAGGTGTGGGATACGGATATGATGCATATCCAGATGAGGGTGACTCATACAGGAATACTGGAGCTGAGGGGGGAAAAGGAGCAGTCGGTGATTCCTCGCAAGGGAGAAGAACAGTCGGTGTCACTGTGGTGCATGCGAGCGGTGCGGACTGAAAGATGGATGTCATATTGCCTGGCTGGGATCCGGCCATGATATGATTATCTTTCGAGACTGAGTTCGTATGCGTCTTGGTGTGCCGAGTGAGTTCGTCGCTGCGAGAAAATCGTTTGATGCACCCAGGGTATTCGCACACATGTGTCTTCTCTCCGGTATGTGTTCGAATATGTCGTTTGGAGTGTTCAAGACGATAGAATGACTTTTGGCAGACAGGGCACTGGAACGGTCGCGCTGGCTCATCCGCACCATAAAATCGAAAAGATTCTTGACTGGGAAAAGGTGTGGGCAGCTGTGATTGTGGGATAGAAAGATAAGATGGCTGAACCGCATTCGGAGAGGCGATAGTTGCGGCCGAAAAGTTGGTCGGTGTTGAAGTAGTATTTGAAATGACTGTGTTTGCGGTTGACGTGAAGCCCACGGAAGAAAAGGCCATGATCTTGCCTGCAGCGATCAGGGGCCGAAGATCCGACGTTGCAAACTGTGGCGTGGATTTTTGTAGAGTGAAGGGGAGGCTGGACTGAAGATCGGCAACCTTTGGCACTGATGTCGAGGTCGAGAAGAGATAAGGATCTGAGGCGAGAGTGCAGATGAGGCTATCTGGGGAAAGTGATTCCGACGAAAGAAGCTGGATCAGATCTGGCAAGAGTGGTTCGGGCGGAGGGGTGTAGGGCGGGATGCAGTGTGAGGAACAAGGAGAGGAGAGAGTCGATTCGGGAGAGAGTGGAGGAGATGCTGATGGTGATCGATGGTCGGAGATGACCTGCGATGGGTCAAGGAAGGGTGGAAACTCTGTTAGGCTGCTGTGGTGGATACTTGGCATTTGAAAGGAAGAAAACGTGGTTTCTATGAAGGAGGGGGTGCCAAAGTCAAAGTTCGCTGGTTATTTCTTCTGCATCAAACCATAAAACCGGTAATAAAGTGCAGTGAAGGCAAGAGCAGCGAGGAAATGAAAGTGTGAACCAGAGTGCGAATGAGGAAACAAACAAAGAAGAAATGAACCTTGAACAAAGTCAACTTTAAAAAAGTATCGCTCCTGGGCCGGTTCTTTTTTCGTTTAAATCAACGATGGGTTACGGCAAAAGGAAGAAGCAGTAGGAAGGAAAGGCGGTAATGGTCGGATGCAAGTGCAAACTGCGAACTATGGGAAGGGGGCGGTGGTGGGCGTAGCCAGGGAGGGGTCCGGGAGTCTGAACGTCAAGCAATGAATTACCGATACTGTGGATAGGGCGAAGACCGAGGATGTGAGCAGTTTTGCTCTGCGTACGGAAATAAAAATATCCAATAGGTTCAAACGGGGAATGGACGTCCTGTGTATGTGTGCAGTTACAGATGTCTTTTTAGAAGTGGGGACACCGGAGCATCAGGCTGTGTTATATAGCCAATTACGGAGGGACTAAAGCGGAAAAAGACCGCGCGCGGTCAATTAGCAACACAAGAACCAGAGACAACAGAAGTGCCGCCACCAATCCTGGCCCTCGACATTTCGATCATTTATTGGATCCCCCGGCTCTGTCTCTCCGCACTCGAGTCTTACTAAACCTACAGACAAGCCACTCGTCCATTGACTGGTTGCGCCGAAACCGCCTTTGTTGCGACACTTGGAGCAAAAGAAGATTACAGAAGGTCCAAGATCCTTCCCAGCAAGCTGGTCCGTTTCATACGCATCTGATTCTGGCCCAGTCTGGATTCTGAGTACAGTGACACATGCAAGGTAAAGTGAGGCCAAGTAGTACCGCGGTCTTGGCGGGGTGTGTGCAAAAGGAGTCTTTATTTTTGAAGATGGAATAGCTGTCGAGAAATAGGAAACAGGCTGTTGAAGAACCTACTTCGTCGAAGGGTAGAGCTCATCGCGAGGGATGATCTCCGTCTCGTGTGAGGCGAGCTCCTCCCACTCCCTCATATACTCGTTCTTCAGCATGTGCTCGACATAAGCAGCAGCGTGCTTGCCTTGGATCTTGGGTCTCAGTCCATAGGAACGCAAACGGAACATCACAGGCGCATACATGGCATCCAAGGCAGTGAAGCGACCAAATAGATAACCCTCGTCGCTATCCTTGGCAACAGCCTTGGAGCGCAGACCCTCCCAGATGCTGGATAAACGGTAGATGTCCTTCTCAACCTTCTCGTTGTAGAACTTGGGGTCGAACTCACGTCGTTCGCGAAGGTTCATGGCGTAGTTTCGGATGGCGCCAAAGCTGGTCGCCATCTCTGCGGAAAGTGAGCGGGCATAGGCACGCTCATATCGGTCGCTGGGCCAGAGCTGTGGATAATCTATGTAGACGCAGGGTATATTGCTACGGCGATTAGATTCCCATCCAACAACATACTTTGGATTTCCACAAGGTCTCAAGCTGTGGGCCACTTTATCCTCCATCCCAAGCGAACCACCTGCACTATTTCATCCGATACATCACCATGCAAGGTACCGGCGCCTCCGCAACACAGGCACGATCCTTAGGCCTCTAGGCTTTCCTTGTACTCCATCTCCACATATCCCATTCATTATTTGCAAGCACTGAGTTAAAAGGTTCCCACACCCATGTAACGCCTCTCCAAATCCCCTTTAGAGACAAACCCCCACCTCTGTCGTTCCTACCCTTCATTTTGTCTCTCCTCTCTTTATTCAGTTGGCGTTCTCATCTATCAATGACGACCCCTATTCCCAAGAAAGAGTGAACACAGGTCGCAGTTGGTCCCACTCTGTGTCTCATCCCATACCCAGTTTTCTTCCATGGGCAGCCATGGAATCAAAGTCCTTTGGGCGACTGAATAAGCGTACCTTCAGCTAGATACTCCATGATCGCAATCGATTCAAAAATAATGTGCTTTTCGCCACCAGCTCTCTTTGACACATGAAGAGCGGGGACCTTCGAAGTAGGACCCGCGCGACGCATTAATTCGTCGGCAGCAGGCAGGCCCAGGTCTGGAATCTCCGGTGTTCCAACGATCAGCATCACGGTCTCAAACTCGATCTTCAGAACCCGCATCGCCAGCCAGGGTCGGAGGGACCAGGACGAGTAGTTTCGGTTCAGAAGATAGAGACAGAGATCGAACGACATGGCTCTGGTTATGATATGAGGGTATAGGGGGTTTCTTCCAAGAGCTGAGGACAGTGGGCGCCTCAAAGGTTGATTCGCAGTTCGGGATGGGGATTCGGAAAGCAAAGGAATGAGTTGGGCATTCAACAACCGGCCTCGACAGGACCTCTTAAAATTCTCACGCTGTTTTGGATTCAGCGGACTCTCTTTATTGCCTAGAACCGTTGCTTGGATGACACTAAAATGTTCGTTAAGATTTAGGAAGGAAAGAAATCTATGACAATTTTCTTTAAGTTATGCCACTCCGAAGGTAGTTGTGAAGGCAAAATGGCTCCGAAAAGTGCCTATTGGCATAGATATATCCTGATCGAGGGGATACGGATCGGTCGCTGGGAGAGTCCTCCCTGGGTCACCATGACCGTGATGGGTCCCGAGGACAGTATAGCCAGGATAACTTGAACTCTGTCTAATGCTTGCTGGATATCATTTATTTACTAGTAACGTCCGCGCCCAATTCAGAGGAATACGCGGGCATATTATTAATACAACGAGCAAAGATAGAATGGCTGTAACTTACAAATTGTTCATGGAGCTTTCAAGCCCAATAAAGCGTGTTGTTCTAGCGATGTCCACGCGGCTCCTACTGCGGTTTGAATGTGGTATGTGGTGACTGATGGGCTGGGGTCTGCTGGCGTTTGACGCTTCTGACCCTTGTTCGCTGCGGCTGGTGTTGACGGGTCCTAGTCAACTGCTCGTGGACGGACCCAGGACTGGTGTTGTTGTTGTAGGACTTTGCAGAGGCATGTATTTGTCAGGCCTCTTTTGATCCAGTAGTTGTGTTTGGCATACGTGGGCTATGTCCCCGCTCCCCACTGCATCGCGATCGGACAGCACACGGTATCCGGGACAACATTTAGAACGAAACGGCAGCTTGGCCAGGAACTGGTTACAGTCCAGACGGAGACATTTTGCGCTTGTATAATACTCATGTGCACCCAGCACGACATCCCAAGCTCTTTGCCTAGATAGTGCAGGGAGATACGGGAGTATACATTAGACATTCATCATCTTCGGAACAGCAACAAAAGACACGCATTAGGACTTACTCTCATGACAAGTCGTTTTTCAAGCGCTGAGTGCTTTGATGCTAGTCTGGTTTTGAGTGTTGAATCAATGCAAAGAACTACATTCTTCCAAGCTGCCTTCCTCCAGCCCTCCGGCCCTCCGGCTCTCCTATCCACCTGCCATGCACAAGATACCCTTGATGGAATAATCTAAATATGCAACCTGCACTTTTTTTGCGTCCCATGTCTTTTTCTCAACCATTTGTGTCCAGGAAAGCTGAGCAAATAGTCCAGAACATTGATTTCGCTGTTAATCTTGTTGATGCTCAGAGAACTGCTGCCGTCGCTACTGGTGGGGGTGGGGGTGCTGGACACGTTGGCACTGTGGCTGGATGCTCGGCCGCTCGGGTTGGTCATATTTTTAAAATAGTTGTCAAGTGTCCCCATTCTGAAGCTTGGGATCCGGCTTTCCAGCTCATCCACCCCTGCACTTCGCTTCCTGTCTTGTAGTAGTGAACAGAACGTTATCGCGGGTTTATAAAGGAAGGACCTTCGTATGGTGAGAATATGATGTTTGTTGGGGTGGGCAGAATTCAGTACGGAGGCCGTCAAACTATTTGGTTCCCCAGGGTCCAGCTCTACTACGTATAATGGTATTATCGGCTGGGAGGCGATCTTCCGGATTATCGAAATACACCTTGATGTTGTCAATCAGCTTCGATCGTTGCCGCCAGTTGATTCCAACACGCGGGAGGAGGGGGAGAGGGGGGCTCGACGTGCAAAGTACTATGTTGCGACGAAAGCAATACTTGCGCTGCGTCCACAAGTGGCTCCAGACCCACTCCTGCAATGATGCCCTACCCTTGGCTGTCATCCAAATGTATGTCACCGTCGTCAATGTCAGCGTCGTCCAGATCAACGAATCCATCCTCAGTATTGGAGCTCTCGTCCAGATCAACGTATTCACCCTCGATGTTCAGATTGTCATCCTGCGTATCCTCATCGTCAGTATCATCATTGACATCATCCTGGGTGCTATCCTGTAGCGCTTCCCCATCAGTCCTCTTGGCAATTTCCTCTGCGGCTCTATTGGCGGTTCCCGGGCGTAAAATGGAGGTGTTGTAGTCGAGGATGTTAAAGACAAGGGCGTTGGTTGAGACTGTTTGTGGCATAGTCTAGTTTATCCTTCTACGCAACGATGCATAGTTCGGAGCGGTGTTTTTATATTCTAAACTAGTAGAGCTGCCCGTGGCACACGCCACGGGTCCGAGACAAAAAATAAGGTAGCTACACTATTATAAAAAAAAAGGCTTTATTGCACGTTCAGCAGATTTCTACAGACGATATTTCGGGTATAAACGCCCTCCCTTCCATCTATGGCGCTATTTCCGACTAGAAGCTTGAAGTTGTCTCGGTGTTTGCAATGCGAGAAACCGACATACAGTTGCCCAGCACCAAAGACGTGCTGAGGAAGGTAAACACCAACGTAATCAAGTGTTTGTCCTTGCGGCTTGTTAATGGTCATGGCAAACGCAGGCTTGACAGGAAACTGGCGCCTAGTGAACTTGGTTGGCGTAGATCCGTCGTCCAGGGTCGTGAGAGGTATGCACGGAATAAGCACCGTTTGATTCTTGAAGTCACCGTTAAGAATCTCGGCACTGATGTATCTCCAACGGAGTGATCGAACAATCAGACGGGTACCATTGCAGAGACCGGATTTGCCGTCCATGTTTCGAAGGAGAATGATAGGCTGGCCCACCTTCAACAGCAACTCGTGGAGAGGCATACCTGGAGGATTATTGCACGTTGAGCTTTCCATGATCTGGAGCAGGGTTTTGAAAGTCGAGTGGACTGTACGACCTCCTGTCAAGACCTGAGCAGCAATTCCAGATGAGGCAACTACGATCACGTCCCTCCTCGGATGTGGGCAATCAGAGTGTTGTACAAAAAAGACTTGTCCGCTTCTCTTGGTCCATTAATAAAGAACACCTTTGCCACACCTTCGTCCTTGTTATCCAGCTCTGCTGTAATTGCAGCTTCACAGTGCTTTTTGATCGTCTTTGCAGAGATCCAGGTCATGAGCCGCCTTAGCCGCAAGCGCCTCAGTGTCGAGCTCTGCATGTTGTCCAAGTTTGTCACTGTTAGGTTGGCGATCGGTGAGGCTTCGAAAGTCTCGAGGCATCTCTTCATAGACCGCCAGACTGGTCCCAGCTCCCTTCAAAATCTCGCTGACGTGGGACAGTGCAGTGCTCTTGGCATCCTCCAGTAATCGGGCGATCTCCAGCATTCGGGCGATCTCCAGCAACGTACGGAAAGTCCTGAGATAGATCATCAGCGAACGATTCCCGTAATTAGAGAGGATTGAATGGGCTGCATAGATGTAGAGCCATGGCGAAAAGATGGCGTAAGGTCGCGGAACTTTAACGCCTGTTACCAGATCCTCAGTGAAAGGCCGCCATGCAAGGGGTAACGCATCTAAATCCATTGCGTTATTCCGGCGATTGTAAGCGGTAATTATGTCAGCGCGCCTGGTGAGAGGTATAAACACATCCCATAAAAAAAATAACTTGTCTTTCGAGCGTGTTACTGGGCTTCTTAGGGCAGTCCTTTAAGGCGATTCTGGAGTGGCCAGTTTGGTCGCATCTGCATGTCCGAGACGCTTGGAGAGGTCCTGCGGCAGGGGCAGGTGCCAGGTCCACATGCTCTGGTTCGTCCAGATGGTGATTAGCACGCTCATGCCGCTGCTCATTTTCGCGGGCGCACTGGGCGGCATAGGCGAGAATTAGCGCTGCACGCCTGATGAGAAGTACATCAGCGGTTAGTTCAGACTGTTTTGTTAGTCCACCCCATAAAAAAAAAAAAACCTGCCTTTCGGGCGTGCCACTGGAATTCTCAGGACAGTCCTTGAAGGTGATTTTGGAATGGCCAAGTTGACCACACGTACATGCTCGAGGTGCTCAGACAGATCCCGCAGTAGGACTATAAATTCGATAAATTCGTGCCGAGTCAGCATGGGGACCAATATCGATGTAAAAAGTAACAAAGACACACTTCACATACGCTTGGTTGTATGTTGTATCCATGCTTTCGGCAGTCATTGTAAGAGGGATGCAGCGGTTGGAGGAGGAGCAAAGGGAATGGCTTTGAGCGATAAGGGTCAAGCAGTGAATATGTAAGGATGAAGGGTGTTTGGCAGTGGTGGATGTGGGAGGAAGTTTATTTTTGGCGAAGCAAAAATTGTGTTTGGTAATAAAGAGCAAAGAGCCTTGAAAAGGGCTATCGATCCATGAGCCATCGAGATCTTAACATCAAAGAAAAAGCACTGCAAATTGATATGTCTATTTGTTAGATTCATTGGATGTGTAAAATAGTCTTGAGTAATTCGTCAAAGCTATCGAACCACCATCGATATCATCCATCATACCTAAGACTGAGTACCCACTGCGGCTGTTGCGGTGCGGAATGAGCGAGGGACACGGTGACATGAAATACCTTTCGGCCATGCGTAGTAGGTCTGGCGGTCGTGGTTTTTCTTTCACTTTTCGCACTTAGGAATGTTGTAGCGGTTTCAGAGTAGGATGGTGGTAGGTGGCGGTGATAGAGACAAACAGAAAGAGAGAGAGGTGAGAGAGAAAGACAGAAAATATATTTTTTTATTTATTTATTTTATTTATTTTTCTGGGTCTCGAGTCCATCGAATCTACGCGACATAGCAGAGCATCCTCTATCCAACTTTCAGCTTGTAGATAGTAGATTGCTTTTTTATAGTAGATTTTTTTATTTTGTGTGGAGTAGTAGTCGTATAGAGCACTGGCTCCCTCTAGTATGCTCATACCTCTGTTCTCGAGTGCAAAACAAAAGCGTCTAGACGCGTCCCGCAGTCGGCATCATAGGCCTCCCAGATCAGCCTACGGTCGCCCGTGATCTTCATGAGCACATAGTGGTGTCGCAACATGGTTTTTCCTTCTGCCCATACCGTATAGTCCTCGACCTGCTCTTTATCTAATGAACCTCCTGCACCACCAATAATGGTGTACACCGTATGATCGTCCTGTCCACGCATGTAATTATGTTGATGACCTGAAATCACTAGGTCGACGTTGTGCTTCTGAAACAGGGATACATACCGGGTCCGGACAAAGGATCCCCAGTTCTTCTCGCCCTTGTCCACCCACGCGTCCTTCTCCCAGTACTGCGTGTAGGGTGAGATATGAACCAAGACGACCCTGAACCATGCCTGCTTCGAGGCCTCCGACCTCAATTCCTCCTCGAGCCAGCGATCCTGTTCACGCGCATCGAGGTTCGAGTCCAGGACAATGAAACGAACGCCAGAAAGTGTATAGGCGTGCCATGTGCGCTTGCCCGTGTATGGGTACAGTCCCTGAGGATCAAAGTCATGGTTGCCATGAGTGTAGATCAGAGGTGTTGTCTGGCCGATTTTGAAGTAGGAGAGAGGTGAAGCAAAGTCCGTCTGCCAGTTGTCAAGTGAGTTATAGTCCTGAACCGCATCGCCTGCATGGATCAGATAATCGACCTTGTGGTGCTCTGTCATTGCTTTGAGGACCTTGAAAAACTGCGCGACCTCACACTGGTTGTCAGAGACGGCTCCAAAGCGTGCAATCTCCCGATCTGCGATCAGAGGCGGGTTTGGGAGATGAGAAAAGGTGTAGGATCGGAAGAGATGTGACATGGCTCTTGGAGGAACAATAGAATAGGTGATATTGCTGTTGACGGTCGGCATCCCGGAGAGTGTTGCGGTATAGACGACATGGGTTTTGTCCAATACAGTAAATGATGTCGATCCATGCGTCTCATCCAAGTCGACCTGACCGCTATGCTGAGCGGCTGAGACCCAGGTCAGACCCATCTCAGGCAGTTTGCAGTTCATTTCCCAGATCACCAACACTGTTGAACTGTCCTTGACAAAGAGCATTGGATCCTTGCGATAGGAGCAACGCTTGACGTCCCAATTGAACGCCCAGTTCTTAAGCTTGAAGCCAGCCAATGCAGACCATGTCGACATGTCCTGGAAGTAGAGGTAGAGTAAGAACAGGTACAAACCGAGACAGACCACGATCGGATACCGGATCTGTCGTCGACGTCTGGGGATGAATGACAGGCCTTTCTCGACCCAGTCCTGGATACTGTTGGTCGGTCCTCCGTGGAGCATCATAGGATGGCGACTGTGAAATCTGGATCCCAAAGGCCCTGATCCCGTTGCAGAGGGTGGCGTGGTTATAATTGTCGGCGTAACAGCTGTGGAGATGGGAGCGGGTGCAGGCATGCTTTGTCGGCGCTGGTGCTGTGTTGCCATACCAGTCTTGCTGGCACTGAAACTAGACATTGTTGCTGATGCCTGTATATGTTAAGAAAGATGAGGACAAGGCCAAAACAGCGTTCCTGGACGATGTGTGATGCCATACAGACAGGGTCCAGTGCGGGGTTGGGAATATGCTTACTTTGGGCTGGCCCTTACAAGGCGAGGTCGATCGCTGTTGTTTCTTGGCGATGATGTTGCTGTTGCTGTCGATGAAGTGGTAGTGTCGGCGCGGGGATGCGATGAAGAGGGTGCAAAGGAAGATGATGGACCGATCCCATTCGACCTCATCCAGAAGAGGAAAAGGGAGCCCCTTTGAAAATCCATTCAGGGCTCTCATCTTCCGTGGACCATTCACATAGCATTCCTCTCTTTTTCAAGCGATATTATTATTATTATTATTATTATTATTATTATTATTATTATTATTATTATTATTATTATTGCTGGTATTGCACTACTGCAGTTTGTGTTCCGGATGTGCGGGCCCCGGTAGTCAACTGGAGACCATCAGGATCTACCGGTAGGATCAGTGCTGTCCGAGGCGCAAACACACACCAATACTCATGGAACGAAGGACGAATAGCCCTTAAATTGCTCCCAGTGTGCATGGAACATTGAGAAGGAAAGGATGTCTGTGTATATGTTGCAGCCAGTATATATATATACCAGCGCCATGGCCATTCGCTTTCACGTACAATAGATGAGACAGAGAGTAGAGATACACATGAAACAGTGGCGGCGTATGCGAAAAAAACAGACGCGTACCCGCGTGTAGAAAGGAAAGAGTTCACGCGTTCCGGAAACTGGATACTCTCCATACAAACAAAGGGATTCATCCGCATGCCGTGTAACGATCTACATCTCCCGTCCATGACACATAGAACACAGCGATGGAGTACTCGTACACCCTTTCTTCCCAAGCAGCCGTCTTCCTTCATATCCCGCCCGGACACTCATCTCCACTTACCATCAGCACTTTGTGTAGAACACGGGTGGGCTGTATCTACTGGCATCTTGCACATGAAATAGACTATCGCCTCAATGCGTCATCTACAATGCCCCTGCTCAAACCTTGTCCATTCCCCCACACACTAATTCGATGGGAAATGCTTATGGAGCGAAAAGGGTTTTCTCCTCTCGCTCCTGAGAGAATGGCATCTCCTAATGAAAGATGAAGCCAGGCAAATACCAATAACGGTCTACCGTGGTGTAAGTCTATATGTACATCTAGCCACCTCTTCTTCATCTGTCTACAGTACCGAAACCTTCTCTAACCTATCCTTCCTTCACACAGACAAACCTACCCACCCCCTAACTACATCACTTGATCTATATCAATGCGACACCTCTGAGGGGCTCCATTCCTACCTTCCTTTCTATCCCTTCCTCATCTCCACGACAACTTATCTGAGCATATCTATTTCATGTACAACCACAACACTCCAGTCAGTAATAAGCACCATCTTCGAATCAGACCAAATGTCCATCCTTCCACAAACGACTCTTATCTCCCAGTCCATGTCGTTGCCTAAGCGACGTGGCTCCCCTGCCTTCCCTGTCCGAAACCTACGCCGATACATCGCGCTCCTTTCGCAACAGCTCGCCATTGGCGCGTCCATGATAATCAGGCATCCCTTCACACCACCTCCGGTCCCAACCTGGCCCCTACATCTAGCGCTCTTTGTCGCCATGGTTCGTGCTACCGCGGATATTCAAGAGCACATCGTTGAAGACATTTCTGATATCCGCCATCTCATCGACACATTCTTCCATTACCTACCCAAACTGCCCCAAATGCGACTCGTGCCGTTCAGGATCCCCATCCCAACTCATGGTCGAGGGTTCCCTGGAGAGCTGCAGCAGCTCGAGCTGTCTGAGAATGGGCATCGTACCTTACCGGGCCAATGGATTGCAGACTCGAAGGTGTGGGATCGCATCATGAAGATGCCACTGGCAAAGTCTGCCAGGGGCTCAAGAGACCCGTACGCAGCAAGGGAGGGAGAGAAAGTGATTCTTTATACGCATGGAGGTGGATACTTTATTTGCAGCACGGCAACCCATCGTGAGCTGTTATGGAGGATCTCTCGAGCCACCGGTCGGCGTATCTTTTGTAAAAAAAAAAAAACTGTGCTTTCTTTGTGTAGCATGAATTCAAGTTTAAAGCATGTTTGTTTAACATCGCATCACTTTGTTATCGTTATTGTTATTTCATGTATGCAGCTGTGGACTACCGTCTAGCGCCAGAACACCCCTACCCGGCTGCCTTGCAAGACGCAGCACACGCGTTTTCACATCTAACAGACCCCAAGGGCTGTGGCTTCGACCGCAAGGACGTCACCGCTGCCGGAGATTCGGCTGGAGGCGGATTGAGCGTGGCTATGATGATGTACCAGCGGGATCATCACCTCGCCATGCCCTCCAAGGCCTTCCTTCTCTCCGTAAGTAGCTCATTCCACCCCACTAGCAGCTCAAGGAAGAGGAACAGGGGCAACAGAAGTCATATGTCAGACTGTCTTTGGGTCCCTTTTTTTTATGTAGACGTTGGATATTTGCACAAAGTCCATGGAAGAAGGCACTGACTTTTTGCTGCAAATGCTTTCTGCTTTCTACATATTTCTCCGTGCATTCATTCCTCCTCCTCCTTTATTACTGTTTTCCCGTCCTTCCAACGTCATGGATCGCGTATGAAAAAAAAAAAAAAAAAAAAAAACGTCCTTAGCCGTGGTTGGACCTGACCATGACTTGCGACTCGTGGGTTACGAATTCCATGGACTACCTCCCAACCCCGCCCAAGATCGAACACAAGTTCAACCCAATCTCCTTCTACTGCTCCGGCCGTGATAAGATCAAAACCCTGGCTCGACACCCGTACATCTCTCCGCTCTGGGGCAGCCTCGAGGGCCTACCACCGCTGCTGATCCAGTGTGGAGAAAAAGAGCGTCTACGTGACGAGTGCATCCTATTCACCTACAAGGCCCGTGGGTCCTTTACTGCTTATGATGATCTGCCTGTCCCGCCCAAGAGCCTGGAGGGTAGGGGACTGAATCCGAATGTGGAATTGGACATGTATCCGGGGATGGTTCATGTCTTTCAGGCGATCCCATTCTTGCCAGAGTCAAACTTGGCCCTAAAGAGGATGCTGGAGTTTATGCAGCGCAAAGAGACAGGGAAGGAGGAGGCCGATGCGACTGCTGACGTTTCTGTTTCAACTGCAACAGTAGTGGTAGTCTGTGCTACAAAGGCACTACAGACTGATCAGGAACGACCCATGATGGAACGACTGGTTGATATGATGGTTGAGAGCACAGTATGCAAGTCGATGGAGGAGATTCCACTGCATCTGCAACTGATAGCGGATGATGCTCGACTGGAGGGCCTTGAAGGAGAGGCAGTGACGACCATGTATATACTGTGAATTTTACTGGAAAACGTTTGTCGATTCGAACTTGGATAGATACAAATGAGACTAAGTGAATGTCACCCAAGCGAATATCAGGCGATGACAACTAGATTGCAATAGCCGCCGATAAATAGAGAAATGGAGACAATGTCGCCGGAATCTGCTTCTTTCTTGCTTCGATTACCTATTCCTTCTGCAGATGCGCCGATTAGTTCAACTTACGCTCAACAGTGGAGACCGGGCTAAGGGAAATGAAGTACAGCCAATTTCTAGGACATCCAAGTTCAATTGTAGCAATCCATAAAAAAGACCCTGGCCTTTCTCCGCTTGGCTTCCGAGCTGGTACATGTGAAGAAGTTCTGGACCCAGTTCGTGGCCGGTGCGACCATACTGCAAAAGATAACACTGTATTCAGGATCCGAATCACGACATCAGTGTAAAGCGAGAGTCGCAGGTCGACACAAATGATCCCACTATCGTACCCCACTCCCTCCGTTCGGCCGTCCTTAATACCCCTCATCGCGGTACTTTAGTTTACACCTAGTCACTTATAAGTAATTTTCAAACTTCATATTCGTCCTACACCAGCCCTTCGTTCGAAAAGATTGCCAACAGATAAATGGTCCATTACTCGTTCCCAGATCACTGAGATTTTGAAATGTAGTGAAGGCAACGCTCGAATATCTATCATATCTTCAGACCGTTTCCATAGCGCGACCATAGATGCGCATAGAAACCCCACAATGCCCCTGACGCCATATGACACGTTTTGTATCTTGCTACTTGTGCTATCTTCCGTCGTGCCTGCGAGCAGAGACAAGGCATGTCCCTCTGGCAAGTCTCCTTGCATTGTCTCTGAGTTAACTATCGCGACAATATGGCCCTCGTTCAATTATTGCTATTGACTCGGAGTCTTTTTAGAGTATCAGCAGCTTACAAAACGCAGACGAGCTCCATTGAGTTAAACATCATCATGCTAGGACTAAAGCGCACATGATAGTCATCATTGACATACCCTCTGAGCTTCAATGCGACATTGCAAGTGGGCGCGATGGTATCTCGCGGCGTATCGAGATCATATAATGTGGAGTCATGGGGCCTGGTCTCTAGCTGCCGCAGCTGAAGGAGGGTATTGTCAATCCTGTACGCTGCTTTGGCTATTGCGCCGAGGACGATCTCCTTGGAGTTCATTTGGATGGGCGATTTGGAAAACACGCAGGACAATGTCAATAGAATCAGGGGTCGCGCCCCGTCCGGGTCCTTTCAAATTGCCGAGTACTCTCGGGATTGCTCCCTCAATCATACGGTCCTATCATTTGACGGAAGAAAAGCGATGGTACACCCGTTAGTATGTAGGGCGGGATAGGACAAGACTAGTTGACTGCCGTTCTTTCAGGACAGTGATGCAGCTATACGTGTCGAAAAGAAGAGCTGCAGTTCTTAACCCCCCGGCTCTTATCCGGGTGCGTCACCCACTGCTGCTCAAGTGTGCAGATTATCTAAACAGGACATATAGAGAACCAATCTGGCTAGAATTGTGGCGTTTTTTAGGCATAGCAATGTATACAACGGAGCATAGCACAATGAAAATAGCTGCCCTCTAGCTTTGTTTGTCTACAGGTATAATAGAGTCTTCTTATGGCCTCAAAGCCTGGATACGATCTGCCCGCAGGACTGGGCTGGTCTTTCCTTGTCCGTGAGCCTCTGTCGGCTGTTGTTGCATGGACTCGGTATGATCGGCAAGCACAGCTGGGGTGGCGCTGTAGTTGTCTATGGATGTGCTGCTTTGAAAAAGCTAGTACGGTGCTGTTAGTAGAGCTGATTCTATGTGAGTTGAGGTCGCGGCTGACACTTGTGTAGAGATCCCACGTTCTTTTCGGTGGTCTGCACGAAAAAAAAAAAAAAAAAAAAAAGACACACCAACAAGCTGACGCATCGTATCTGGCCTACTCGGCACTCTAGTACAGGAACCACACAGCAGTCAACCCATTCATCCATCCGATCTGACCACACTCACGCGACATGCATATATGAGTCCTGTAGTGGAAAATGCATGCGACTGCATCAATTTGCTCTCCAGGGTATGAGTCCAAACATCCCCGTATACTCTCTCGATAGCGCGCTCAAGACACGTCCACAGCAAGCGTGGATACGGGCCAATCAATAAAATACTGCGAATACGCGCGCTAAGCACGTGTTGATATTCAAGAAAAAGGGAAAAACAAAAAATATCCATCGTATTACATGTAGGCGCATTTGCGCTTCTGCTACGATATCTATTCATATGTAACGAGAGGTTCTCGTGGATGTAACAGCGAATTGTCTTTGTTTTTGTCGTTACAACGCAAGCATTTAGGACATGCGGTCCTGACAGACAACAAGGCGCAAGATAAATCCGCCAACTACTGTAGGATCGACACGCCCGAATTGGCGCCACCAGAGATGCCAACCGTCTCCAGACGCGTCGTATTCCCATTTAGATCACATTTTCTAAGCTAACGTTACTCCAAAGGCCTATGGTAATCGACAGTTTAATAAACACGGCGTGGCAGTTTTGACCGTCTTGCCGCCCATTATGATCGTGTTCATCACCATTTGCTATTATTGTCTTTGCATCAAAGCATTGCTGTTTTGTTCTTTTTTTTTTCCAAGGTATGGACAAGAAACCAAGGAATATAGCCAATATTGGCACCGCAATACTACCAGGACCATGCTGCATAACTAAAAATACCGAGAATCAAAAGTAAAAGCGTTCGCGCATATCAAGTCTAATGAGCGAGGAACAAGGGGGAACGATAAGGACCGTAGATGGCTGGATGGAACTCTCTGTTCCGTCAAGAGAGAGACATATGTCATATAGATCGAGCTGCATCGGCATACGTTCTGAATCTGACACTGTGGGATGTGGCAGACCTTTGAGGCTTTGTGTAACCCATTTTTTCCCGCCGTTCACTTTGATAATTTTGAGATAGCGCATTAGTCGATAACCTGACGCTCGATGCTTTGCCTTCGCCCACTTTTGAATGTTATGGATAATGTTTGTGCGATAACCTCGGAGGTTATTGACTCTGCAACAAAAGCAAAAAATCCCATTTCCAGTGACATAAGATTACACTTTTGGTAACTTATCGAATCGCGTCTAATTGCTCCACGTATTTTGTGGGAAGAGAACACAAAATAGGGTTTCTTACGGTCTTAAGCCGACGAAACATGGCTTGGCGTGTTCGAGAATGCTAATGCTAAGATGTAAAAGAGAATAACCCATATCGGAGTTGGTCCTGGCTAGCTCAAACGTGTGGCGAATAAATGATTTACACTCTCTGGTACGCATACATTCACTGGCAAGAATGATGCTTTGATGACAGGTGTCCTCTGCAGTTTATGGAAAGGAGGTTCATTTGGAACCATCACAGTGACAGGATGTCTGCAGCCACCATACTCCTCTTCTTACGCATACCCATCGAGAAGACATCTCTCGACAAACCATATTACAGAGGTTAGCCAGGTTAACTGCGATAGTTTCCCTGAAGCAAGCATCTATTTCTCTATTCATCTGGACAGAAGGCAGATTAGGTTTTAACGAGGAGTGTCAAGTAAGCGTGGTATTAGAAAAGCGGTTATTCGACAAGTTCCCTTCGACAATAACCTGGACATGACGGTCGACCAAAACAGCAGTCGACTTGCCCTTGTTGTGACTTTTCCATTAGCCGGATTATCGATGGTACGTGTCTTTCCTACCTACTGTGTCAAACAGTTCGACACAGCCAGGACCAGTGTTACAAATGCCCCTCAAATGTCCGTCATAGTCTCTATACGTCACGAGACATTATCGCGCTGGTCAACCTCCACACAATCGACAGCAGCTTGGTGCCCCAGTGCACAGCTGCGCGCTGTCAAAGAATTGGCGCCAAATACACGGCGTTCGCAAGATAGAGGACTGGCCAGCCAACTCCCCAAATTTGAACCCCATCAAGCATGTCTGGTCCCTCTTTGGTACTTCCCTCAATCGACGACAAAGACAACCCCGGGGCATTGCGACCCTGGTGAGAGCTCTAGTGGAGGAGTGGAGTGATTTACCAAGAACAGCTAGCAAGGCTGGTCGACACGATGCCCCGGAGACTGGAATTCGTGAAAAAGTACAGAGGTGGTAATGGCGGATATTGAACGAGCTGCAACCCTTTCCTTCATCATACATCACCCTGACATTCACCAAGGATGTTTCCCTAGAGTTCTTCGGCGGATATGAAGATTTCCATTGCGACTGCATAGCTCTTTAGGTATGTTGTATATAGGCAATTTGAAAAAGAATGCGCAAAAGCATGGGTGAAAATTAAAGGACTACAGTCACCTAACAAAGCCAATTGGTCAACTCTTCTTTCAGCTGGATGAAAAGTAATTCACTGCGGAAATTATCTGCATTATTGTTCACAATGAAGGATGTGGAGCTTGGTACGTTTGCTGTCGAGCACCTTCGCCTGTCAGAGAGATGTAAGGAAGGCCTCCGCAAAAGTGGAGCCTACGTTGGGTCTGCAGCATCTGCTTTGCGAACGCTGTTATTGCGGTATGCTCATTACACTGCTCTGTTAGAAACATGCATCTCCGGTATACTTGGAGGATGCACCATAGGGAATCGATCAAGTTAATCTTCGACCCCTCCACCTAGATGCTACCCCGATGAGGGGCGAAGTAATTGGCCCGCATATTTGCAGCTACCACGTCATGGCGCGGAAGTAATAACAATAGACCTCTGGGCATTTTGCCGTAAAAGGTTTCTCTGCCGCGATTTCTCCATGATACCCACAAGGAGTAGCCAAGCGTATCTGGTCTGGATTGGGCTCTAGTCCCACTAATCCTTGTCTGACGACATTCTGGCGATATGGACATCGTGCCATGGACAGCAGAGGGAAAAGAAAACAAACAACAATGATAGCGTTGGTGGAAACCATTTGCAGAACACCCGAGAGTGTGGGGTAAACTAGCGAACTAGCTTGCTCTGCGAGTCCAGGGTAAGTAACTTTGATTGGTAGTGAGTTCAGAATCAGGGTCAACTCAATTGGCCAATCAGCGTGCAAGATTGCAGTCCGATCATTTTGTGTGAACAGTTCTGTCGTGTGTACAAGTAAATAAGGTTTTTGTAACGTTTTCTTCTACTCCTCTTCTTTCTCACTTCCCATTTCTCCATTCCAACATGACATCCTCCACCATCCCCATCATCAACGACATCTCCATCCTTTACTCCGAACCAAAGATCGAATCTGCCCGCGCGCGATGGGTCGAGCTCTCCACCCAGTTCGAGAACCTCTACGGCTGTATCCCTGACTTCATCGCCCGCTCCCCCGGCCGCGTGAACCTCATCGGTGAACATATCGACTATGCCGGCTTCGGTGTTCTGCCCATGGCCATCGAAGACGATTGCCTTATCGCCGTCGCCATTGATCACTCCCAACCCGCCGTGAAGCTCGCGAACCTCAACCCCAAATATTCCACCCTGGTGTTCTCGCCCATATCCCGTCAAGACGGCATCGTCTCCATCAACCCAGAGGCCCACATCTGGTCCAATTACTTCTTGGCCGGATACCGCGGCGTCCTCGAGGAGCTCCGTGTCGAACAACCCAAAGGTATGCTCTGTCTCATGAGCGGAACTGTCCCCACTGGCGCCGGTCTCTCCTCCTCCTCAGCCATCGTCTGCTGTGCCGTCATCGCGACTGTCAAGGCCCAAGAATCCCTCCTGCCCCAGGACAAGAAGTCACCCTCGGCTCATGAGCTCGCCATTCTTTCCATCCGCTCTGAACGCTACGTCGGCACCATGGGCGGTGGCATGGATCAGGCCTGCTCCATCCTCTCAAAACCCAACTCGGCTCTTTTCATCGAATTCCACCCAGTGCTTAAGGTCACCCCGGTCCATTTCCCCAAGACTCTCCCACCCATCGCCTTCGTCATCGCGGACACGCTCGTCACCTCTGACAAGGCTGTCACGGCTCCCGTGCGCTACAATCTCCGCGTCGTCGAAACCCGTGGCGCGGCCAGGATCCTGGCCCTGGCTTTGGGGATCCCGATCCCGGCGACTGGCAAGCTGCACCTGAAGCAGGTCTTGGATGCGCATTTTGACAAGATTGGCTACGAATCTGCTGGCAAGACCGAGGCCGAGACTGACATTGAGAAGCTGACAGAGATGACCAACGTTGTCGAGCGTGTCTTTGGCACGGAGGAGATTAAATCCGGGATCTCGTTCGCAAAAATGTGCGAGCTCGCAGGACTAAGCGAGCAAGTATTCACAAAACTCTATATTCAGCAACCGATCCGTACTGAAAAGTTTCATCTGTACCGCCGTGCCAAGCATGTCTACAGCGAGGAAAAGCGCGTGGTTCAGTTTAGGGATATCTGTGAAAAGTCGATGCGGCAGGAACAGGGCGTCGTTGCTGAGACGCTGTTTACGCAACTGGGTGAGTTGATGGATGCATCGCAGGATTCATGCCATGCGCTATTTGATTGCTCGTGTAATGAGCTCGAGGAATTAACGGCCTTGGCCCGTCGTGCGGGTGCGTATGGATCGAGATTGACGGGTGCTGGATGGGGTGGAGCGACGGTTTCGTTGGTGGCCGAGGATAAGGTGCCCGAGTTCATTGAGTACTTAAAGAAGGAATTTTATGCGAAGCACCATCCGGATTTGACTAGAAAGCAACTCAACCGCGCCATCTTTGCCACCGCGCCCTCCAGTGGAGCCGCGACCTTTGTGGGACATCTTTAACCCTGCTCGCTTCGTGTATTTAGTCTATCAGTCTGTTTGTGCATTCAGGTACAAATGTGCTTGTAAATAAATATTTATCGCCAGTCAACCAATCACACCGCCTTGAACTTTCGTTCAGTTCAGCCTGGGATCTTCCTTTTCCTCTTTGATACTTTCCCAACCACTCTTCCTTCAAAACCGAAATCGTTTTCAGCAATGGATCTCAAGCGCATCAACTCTCTTATCCGTGAGATCCCTGACTTCCCCAAGCCAGGTATCCTCTTCAAAGATATCTTCCCGCTATTTCAGGACCCGATTGCTGTCGAAATGGTGATCACTCACATTGTGAACTACATCAACACCTCCATCGACAAGAAGATCGATGTCGTCGTCGGCCTCGATGCCCGTGGATTTCTCTTCGGCCCATTGATTGCCATGCGCCTTGGTGCTGCCTTTGCCCCCGTCCGTAAGGCCGGAAAGCTCCCTGGCTCAACCATCCAGGTTTCGTACGAAAAGGAGTATGGAACTGTAAGTTGTTCGTTTCTAGTCAGGAGTAAATGGAAAAAAAAAAAAAAAAAAAAACTCCAGCTTTCTTACAATTCCTTCCATTGCCTTTCAACAATGTTTTTTTCTTAGGATATCTTTGAGATGCAGGCAGACTCGATCAAGCCCGGTCAGAACGTGATTGTCATTGATGACTTGATCGCTACCGGTGGCAGTGCTGCCGGTGCTCAGGAACTGATTAAGAAGTTGGAGGGCACAGTCCTCTCCTTTATCTTCTTGATTGAGCTTGAGTTTTTGAAGGGTAAGGATGTCCTCAAGGCCCCCGTCTATTCCATGATCAAGGCATAGAGATCAACGGCCAGGAACGAAGTACATAATGGAGGAGCAAAAACCAACTAGGGACATAGAAATAGTATCCAAGCAATACAAGAACGGTGCATATCCTTAATTACTGCATTTTTTAAATGCTTCCGCATTGCGGAGAAACTCGTTGAGCGACAGTGCTATCATTTCAAGCAGCATATGAAGGGTGAAGTACTCGGCAGTCGCTTGATACGTACTATATGGACGTTGTGCCGGCAGATTTACTTTCTACGAACATAAAATAGGGTATATCCGTGCTCCGACTAGTTCGACATTCAAGTAACGGTTGCGAAAAAAAAAAAAAAAAAAAAAAAAAAAAAACGACGACGACGATGTTAGCTTTCTTCGTTCAATTGAGAATGGTCCTCGTACCGATCAATGATAAAAAAACTTACCACGGCCACGCTCTTGTCGCACGGTGACACTCGCGAATCGTCGAAATTAATCCAGCTGTTCGGCGACTCACCCCTCACGCAGGCCGTATAATGTCCACTGCTCACCTCACCCGAGTGGTTCGACACTGCATACAGATCATACACCGCCGGCTCCGCTGTACCTGTCGAGGTTCGTTTTGGTAGATACTTTGTCAGGTCCAGATCCTGAATCGGATACTGCACCATCGCCTTGATCTTATTCTTGAATGGCCCATCAGACGAAAATCGTTTCAACTGGATCAACAGCACATCCGGGACACGACTGATAGTTAACTGCTTGGTTGCCTTCCGTGGCTTCTGACACTTGGGGCAGTTCCATGCATTATCGCCTTCCATAATCTCAGGCTCTACAAACGCATTCAAACATGACAACAGCGTCTGCGACTGCCGTCCGCTCGTCTTGGCCATGATTGGCAAGGCCAGATACATGAAGGCATTGTAAGTCGTTGATGTCTTGCCACACTTTGTACATTGCAACCGGTTCATGAACTGGCCCTGAAACAAATTCACCACGATCGAGTTATCTCTTCTCAGATACCGCTGCCACGCAATCTCCGAGGCCTCATACTCGGGCAAACTCTCCATTCGAGCCTCATCCGCCTCCGATCCCTCGTCATCCCCCGGAGGCGGTGGCCTGGGCTCGAGTTTCAAATCCTCATGCAGCCCATCTAAAAGGAACGATAAAAACTCTTGCGAATCGTGCTGTTCCGTGCCCTTAAACTGCGGTGCAAAGCCTCCGATCGCATAACGGAAACTCGTCGGTGACACCACTAACGACTGCCCGCTCCACATGTTCCTGATTAGATCTGAAAACGCATCTGCGAGTTTTCCCTGCGTCCCCAGAGGGTTCTTCACATTGATATGGCGTTTGAAACTTCCGTCCAAGAAATACCGCGACAGCGGTGGTGTTGCGATCAAGCACTGGATCACCGAGTTCATAAAGCAAGTGTTGCCGAGATTCGTCAATCCAGTTTTGCCCAGCTGCGATCCTCCGATCTTTGAAAATCCAGATCCAAATTTTGTATAATCCTTCAGGTCGTTCATTCCTGGAGGCTGTGGAAGCGGTCGCATGGGCTTTGAGGGGATCAGGGGTCGGATCGATGATGTTGAAGGCATGATCGAAGGCAGAGTTGGTCCTGACGACATGGGTGCCTCTGATAATCCGATCGACATACTGGTGTCTGAAATCGGAATCTTAGCTGGAACTGGTGGTGAGGTCGCGTGCTGTACTTGAGATCTATCGGTCGCTCCGAAGTTGTTCCAGTGGTCGTCGTAAATCGTTTGGCGCCTCTGCAGCTTGCCCGCATCGCTCCTGTAAGCCCGCGGAGTCGGTGTTACGCCCTCCAGCTGACTTTGCCGTAGATCTGGCGGATGACCTCCATATGCTCCATCACTGATGGCACTAGCACTACTTGGCGGGGCGGTGTTATAAGTTAAGTGGGCATGAGGGTAGGACGAGGCGTTGATATTGGTATAGGGCGTCGCACGCGGAGGATAGGCCATGTTGGGCACGTTCGATCCTATCCTTGCGTTCACCATCGATTGAGGACCATCATCGCGTTTTAGCTAAAGGGCAAGGATATGATAAACGGTTAGATGCATAAGAATTGGAGATAGTCCCATGGGGATTCTGGCAATTTCGTTGACTGTTCGACATACATAATCGTCAAGGTTCCGTCGGATGATATTTCCATCGCGCCGATTGATACCTCCACCTCTGGAAAGCTTAGCGAATATAGCACTGTTATGGGACGAATAGTCGTAAGGGATGGCTGACAATCCTGGCCGATGCTCAAAGTTGTCCATGGACGTTGCGGAGGCCTTATTACTAGCATCCGAAGATGGGGGTGTCGACGGCCCTACACGTCCCGTACCCCCCACGCCTTCTCCCTGGACCCATTTCATCCCTGTGCACTCGAGCCACGCATCGAACCCGCCGATGAGAAACACAGGCCTCCGAAAAAGCGGTTTCTCGAACTCCAGGTCGTGAAGGGCTCTGAACAGATTGCAGAGTGGCCCTGAAGTCGGTATCTCTGTCGAATTTTGGTCGTAGTAAATCACAAGACTAAAAGATGCCCTGTCTGCAAACAATTTCCGCTCCGAGGGTGGGTTGTTGAATAGTCCCTGGTCCGCAATGGTTTTCGCAGAAACACTACAAATTCAGATGAGTTGTTGCGAGTATTAGTGCCGCGTCCATGATCATACTCGACCAAACCTCCTGGCTTGCAATTTTTGCCCAGCCTTACCCATCTCTTAGCGCAGGTGGTTCGATATTGACGATTGAAGGCGTCTTAATCCTCGCATGAGCGTATTGGACCTGCATACGCACATCAATCAGCAACAACGACGCTCCGTCTGGCTGCTTCATATATTCCAACAACCGCTGAGGCTTGATCGAAAGTGGATACTTATAACTATCGTCAGAGGCTCCATTGCCTCGTGATGTTATAATCTGGACATTGCTCGAAACGGCTGGTAATTGTTCAGAGGCCTTTTTGACACCTTCACCTTTTCCGTTCGCAATTACTGCTGGAACAGATGCTGGGGGTATCATATTGTATGCTAGTCTTGGCGCAGAAATAGGGTTACTCAATGGCTGAAGCGGCAATCTAGGTCCTGGTATGATAGGTACTGCGGCCATACTCGTTGGCGCCGGTGACGTCGATGCCTGTGGTCCTGAATTTATCATACCGCCTACAGATGAAGTGATAATTGGTTGAAAGACTGGCGACGAGGCTGATGGCGAGGAAGAGGTTTTGTAGATTGTTGGCTGAAGAGGCTTATACGATGCGAGCGAGGTAGCTGGTGGAGCCGAGGGAACCATACTGCCGGGAGCGGTCATGGACATGGATACCATCGATACTTGAAGTCCTGCCATTTGGTTAGGATTTGAGTACAAAAGACTCGATTGCTCAGACTGTGAAGTCGATATCTGAAAAGCGGATAGAGATGTCTCTAGTGTCGAGGATGATGATTTCAGTACCGACGACGATCCTGCTATCGGTACATGACCATCATGTCGCGCCGACGAGAGAAATTCTGGTTTTTTTGGGCGTGGTGGTGGTTTGGGACGACCGGCCTTGGCGGCGGCGGCCAGGGCAGATGCCTCGACATCCTGAATTTTCTCATACTTGTCCAGCAACATCTCTTTGATCTTTTCCGTGTCCGGAATCAGCGACACGACCCTCTTCTTAATCGCCACGTACTCTGGATCTGCCTTTAGTTTTTCGAAATCCTTGTCAAAAGCCACAGTCTCAAGGACAATGCTATCAGTTGAGAAGAATAAGGAGGGCTGGTTAAAAATGCTCGCACATTCAACAATGAGTGATGCTCTCAACGATTATGTGTAGCTATCCTGTCACTTTTATTCTTCCCAATCCACTGAAAGTACTGTGTTCGGACATCTGTTCTCTGCGTGCATCGACGTATGAAGTGCTCTATCGATTTTGCTTGCCCCTGTTCCTGAAAGTTTCTCGCGACGAGAAACAAGTCGAACATCAAGTATGATCAGAGCCCTCTTCAGCCCTTAGCATTGTTGGCGTATATGTTGCTGTTTCTGATATCAAATCCCAGTGGGTCACAAGCGGCGGCATGAAACATTCGACAAGACTCTGTCCGCTACATATCGATAGCCTATCAATTTGAATGCCAAGAGCCGCCCACTCACGTTGTAGCCTTGAGGTACTTGACAAAAGCTTCCTCCCATTCTCCTTTTACCCGTGCTGTCTCGGCCTATTTCATTAGGAGGGCGTCGAGAATCATCATTAGCGATAAGCATTCAAGCATGCGAACAAGGAGGAGCCTTGGGAGACTGCTGGAAGAAAAGGCCCGCGGCAATTTTGAGAGCGATAATGCCCATTGCCCTGAACTTGAGCTTACATTATTAAGGATGCCCTGGGCTGAGCGAATATACTGCTTTGCGGTGAAATTGGGGTCGCGCTGGATGTTCGCGGCAGCAACAAGGTCCTGGAGCTTTTTCTGGGGTGGGTCCAGGACCGTGGTTGTGGTTGTGGTCGGCAACATGTCTGTTGATGCCCTCGTTGTTCCTCGCACAGTAGAAGGGAGCGATGGGACACCAGGGCAGCCGAAAGATGAGACTGAGCTGGAAGGGAATAGAGGGAAAAGGGTAGGTAAGGTAAGGATGAGAGCGTTGATGAGGATGAGAATGAAGGTAGGGATGGGGATGAAGATGAGAGTAGGATGAATAAAGAGGGGTGCGATGGGTGTGATTTAAATGCGGTCATGGCAAAATAGCCATGCCCCGTGCCACCAATTTTATTACTCCTCTTCCTGCTGGAGTCCAGTCGTCTACTTGTGGTGCGTCAGCTTCCAGGTCTTGACACAGGCATCCGCACCAGTCGACACCACCCTGTCCTCGTCCACGAATACGGCTCCAGAGACACTCAGCGCATGTGCGTTCGCAATCAAGATCTTCTTCGTCGGCTTCTCGCGGCTCCACACATACACATTCGTGTCAAGCGATCCGCTCACAGCGTACTGTCCGCTGGGCGACCAGCTGATCGAGGTCACGCGCGCCGTATGGAAGACCCACTGCTGAATCGCTGTCTCCCCAGACACAACATCGTACACGTAGATCTTGCCTGTGCTATCGCCCGCCGCTACAAGGTTGCCCTCGGGGCTGAATGCCAGCGCAGAGATCGCACCCCTGTTCTTGACCAATGTATGTACCGCCGACAACTTGGTGCCCTCCAAGCCCATCACATAAACCTTTCCGTCCTGTGCATACAAATGTATTATGATAATAAAGCAGCGCGACGATCAGCAGTTAGTTTCCGAGCTGAGTCCTTGGCCATGTCGTCTAGGCTCGTTGTGCAGTGATCGGGCTTTGTGATCGTATACCACGTACCTGGCTGCCGATAGCAACGACCGATCCCTGAGAATTAATTGCAATCGCCGTGGCATTGTATCCAACTGAAAGCGAATCCATCTTTTTACCATTCTGGATAATCTGAATCTCGCTCTCTGTCGCAATCACAATCGTCTGATCGTCGCTGGCAGAAACACCCTTCGGCAGAGTATTGGTCGAGATCACTAACACATCGCTGAGGCTGCTCCTGCTCGAGATGCGGAGGGTGTCATCCATACCTGCAGAGATAAGTTGGGCGCCGCTGCCTACCATCTGCATGACCTGATTTCCATGGCTGGCCTCATTTAAGGGCGTGGCAATTCCAGAGTCCTCATCCCAGGACATAACTCGGCCATCATAACTGCCGGTGAACAACGTCTTTTTGTCCTCCGAGATCGCAAACGCCGTAATCGCCTTTTGGTGACCCTATATATTTAACATAATATGAATCCGCATAAGCTCGCTGGATGCAGTATTTGTAAAGACTTGCATTAAAAAAAAAAAAAAAAAAAAAAAAAAAAAAAAAAAAAGGGAGAGAGAGAGAGAGAGAGAAAGAGACGGTAAAATACCTGGACGACACGGGAGGTCTTGCTGGTGCTAGGATCCAAGTAGTTGAGGTCTCCAGACAAGGACAAACTCAGAAGGTGGTTGTCCTTCCATATGTTGCCAACCTGCTGTCCGTGAAATGTAGACTCCTGCGAGGAAAGGTCGAAGGTGCTATATCGGCCAAGAAAGAAACGAATGTCAATCGTCAGTCTACCATTCATAAAGAACCAGGTACTGCTGAATGTCATCGCGCGCGATTTACCTGACGGCGCTAGATGTTTCTACATCCCAAATCTTGGCAGTCTGATCAGCAGAGGAGGTCAGGATGCGAGTATTGTCTGGAGACCAAGACAGCGCAAAGATGCCCCCGCTGTGGCCGCGATCCGCGGCAGAGAGTTCTCTTAACTTATCGCCAGTCTTGCCATCATAAATGAATATCTACGGAAGATGGGTGAGAGGGAATATTGTTAGAAAACCATAGGGCGCAGCCACCTATTAAAACTAGAGCACTACATGTCCAACGCATACCTTCCCATCGGCCCCAACAGACGCAAACATGTCGCCATTGCTGCTGAACTTGACTTCCTGAACAAAGCGCGTGTGATCTTGGATGGATTTGTTGTAGACAAATGGGACACCGTTCGAGAACACGAGCGTGTTATCATCGCCACCAGTGACCGCGCGGAAGGGGCGCATCTGGCGGATGGCGACGGTGTTGACGGTCTTGGAGTGACCCATGATCTCTCCGCACGAGGATCCAGAGTCGGCTATGAAAGCGTGTCCAAACCTACATAGTGCATTCAATGTTAGTGCATTCAATGTGCGCTTATAAGCCCTCATGGGCGCAGAAACAGTGCGATTGCTTCACACAAAAGCAATTGAGAAACAGGGGCACAGACAACAAAAACTGTCATACTTTTCTCTCCCATCGCCTACAGCAATGATGCGCTTGCTCTCTCCGTCCCAGGCAATGTCATTGATCCTTCCGCTGATAGCCTAGTTGGATTCATATTGCAAATATGACAAACAAGAACACGGGCGCAGTCAGGGGCTATAAGAAACTTTCGTGATGATTTTGTGAGCACGCGGACGTACAACAACGAACTTACGTGGCTCTCCAACTTGAGAATCTGCTCATCCCCAACAGTATCCCACACTCTGACATTGCCCCTTTCGTCTGTGGAGAAAACAAATCGATTAGAACAATCGTCGACCGTCCATTGCCCACGAATCATATATGTGAAATGACTCGGTGTGGAATGCTTACCTCCCGAGGCAATGTAATATCCAGAAGGAGCGTACTTGGCCACGCTAACGTTGCATGAGTGCTGCGTATATTCTTTGGCAATATGAGGTTTCTATTGGAGGTAATGCAAGCACTTTTTCAGACAACGAACGATTTTACACGACACGCAAGACTGGTGCGTTATTTTTTTCAGTCACTGTTGATAGATCTCAGTACCTCGATGTTGCGGATAAAGACAGACTTTCCATTGGTATAGAGGATGGACTCTCCTTTGGGATCTGCGTCCAGGTGGACAGTCTGACCACGAGTGGTTGTGGGAGCACAAGCAAAGATGGAGGCTACGCATGAGGATGCAAAACAAGACAGGGTCAATCGCAATTTCCATCTCAAGGGCACAAAACTAATGGAGGCGCTCTTGTCGTAGTTTTTCATGAACAGAAAGACGACCTACATCGGACGGCGGACATGGTTATATACTCTGTCGTTTCGAGGGGAACAATTGAAGAAGGACCTGAAGGTCAAGGTGGAATATTTATGTCACTGTTCAATTGCAAGTCTTATTATCCTGTGGACTAAAATGTAAAAAAAGAACTACTACTACACAGCTGCAAGGATAGTCACAGGCACGGTGCTAGGTCTCAGGACATCCTGGAGCGACGTTCCGTTGGCAGTATCCCATATCAAGTGGTGGGTTCCATTGAACGAGTGGAAGGTGAACTGGTACGCGATCACGAACTTGGCTGCGACATTGGCTGCAATGGGGACGGTGGTAATTGCGGATGTCGCTACTGCAGTATCGAACCTATGCTGAAGATGGGTCCGGTCGCATAGGCAACGGCCTCAGTGTAGAGCCCAACGATAACAGCGCCCCCGTGAAGCGGCGGTACCCAGACATGAACCAGATCAACTGGGACTCAATAATTGCAATGTTGGGACTCGCGGACAGTTCTTGCGCCGCGGGATGACCGGTGCGATAGCGACCATTTCCTGCTTGGGCTGCTGCGCGTTCGAATTGGCTCAGACAACAACAGGAACCATGGAGCTGTGCGTAAGGACAATGGTCCTGGCTAAGTGTGCGGTCTGCAGAAGCAGAGATACCAGAGAGCGGCATCATTGAAGAGAAAAGAGGAAGGAGAAGACATCGAGCGAGGTTAAAGTGAAATGAAGAAAGCGTCGTACGCATTTTGACTGACGGGGCCATCGGCGCAGTTGTTAGGATCCTTCCCTTGTGCTTGGAATAAATAAAGTTCGTCATGGATGATGTCTGGTCACCGCTTTCGTGCGAACATAATAGAAAAGACGTTTTTACCAAAGACCTACACTCATATCGATCACCAACACAAAAAAGAAGCATGATCTTAGCAGCAGGAGCGCCACCGTCATCGACATTCACTTCCCACAGTGGGGAAGAGGAATCCCTGGATACCAGGCAGGACGGTCATGACATCGACATCAGGGAGGAGGAACTAGAACCAGAAGGACAGCGGATGACTCGGCTGCGAGAGCTCCTCAGCAAATCACTCCAGGAGACCCTGAAGGCATGCAACTACAGGGCCATCTGTCAATGCTTCCCGACCCTTGCTGCTGCCAACCCAGAAGAACTACGCAACGCACACGAAAAAGTCTTCCAGTTTCTGAACGTTGAAGTCGAAGTATGTCTTTAAAGAGCGTTTCGCTCGTACGCCATTTTGATCGTGGTTCATGAGCTAACAACTATGTTTTGTATTCAATAACATCGACAACAGAACGAGTTTGAACAGATTATTGAGGAACGGAATGTCGTGTTCAAGCTGAATGGACTCGACAGACTTATTGCGGACGCCAAGAGTAAGGGAAGAACTGCTGGATCACGAACAATATTGGAGCTGTAAGTCACGCCAACCTTGGCCCAGCATCGTTGGAAGTCATGGCGAACATTGGCGCTTTATCTAATCCTCCTTTGGTATTGCAGACCTCCGGAAATTGCGGTCCGGGCACGCACTGTACCAACAAAAGAGGCTGAAATCGAGCGACTCAAGGCAGAACTGGAAAGGGTAGCAATCAGGAAACACAAGATGTCTTTGTAGCGGCACTGGATGGAATTTTAGCTGACAAAGGCATTGACCTATTTTGCTTGATATTTAGGTACGGCTGGACAATCGACGACTAGGTAATGCTCTGAACCATGTCAAAGCAGAACAATCGAATATCAAACTGGAACTTCTGGAGACATACAACGATTTGGAAGAGGTATGCTGTAGCTTGCCAATGCCCACTGCTTACGTTGCTATAGATCAATCCGACAGTAATTCCTCCCCTTTTTATTTATCGCTTTGTCATTTAGGGTGCCACTGTAGCTTCTGGCATGCCTATCCACGAGATGCAACGACTGCTGGAGGCGACACTCCGGCACCTTAATGATTTTTGAATATGCCTATTTTGCGCTAAAATAAACGATTATCGAGTATTCAGGCGGCATCCGTTCCCTATGCTCGCTGTCTGCGCCAATTGACATCGATAGTAGGGGCATATGTCCTGATTCCAGCGCTTTGCATGTTGCGGATCAAGACTGCCAAAAAAGGAGGTGATAAGGGAGTGGTCTGGGGACAAGAGCGTGGAACCGTGGTTATCGCAACACACAGGGCGGAATACGGGTGCCGCGATTTGATTGTGTAGCCACGCTGAAAATGATGAACACTTGGATTCAAGCACTTTGCGCCGTGGACCCTGTCCGCTTAAGGTTGCTATGGACGATATGCCGAGGCTTTGAAAGACGTACCTGCCCAAAACAATATGCGCACATCCGCAATGACCTGTATTTGTCTGTTGTATCGACAACTCCATGCCGCCGATGCTTCTTCCGCACCTTGCCATAATCCTGTCGAACATGCCTCTTTATCCGGCTGCTGACGCCGGCACCTGCTGTGCCGATCAAGTGGATAGAGGAATTAACTGACGTTCCTTGGGACACTTCTTAGAGTAGTTAAATGCCTAGCCCAAGGTCTTGGCGATGTAGTGCCGCTCGCCACGCTCAAACAGCCGTCAACTCAGTACACTGTTGGATTTTTTGAAGGAAGAAAGGACCACCATGGTTAGCATTTACGCTATTAGATCCAAGATTGTCTTTCACAGCATAAAGACACGCACTTGATGCTCACCATCATACTTAGACAATGCATGCTCTTTGCTGTTTACCTTTCAACCGCGCAAATATGATCCTAAGCTCGCTTCGATCGTAACGCTTAGTTGTGGAGTTGCTTTACACGGGTCTCACTCGTCCCGGACAATCACAACCGCATCAACGTCCTCAATTATTCGTGCCAATATCGCGACGCTTCCTTAGCGGAAAGCGCGTTCTGCGTGGCATGAGTAGCAGGGATGCTCGTAGCTCTTGTTCTCGCAATTTCATGGTTCGTCTCGTATGAGTGATCTGGTGAGACGAGGCAGCTTCTGGTCGACCAATTCAGCTGCAGAGGGTGCAGGAGCGAGGTCGTACTGAAAGTGTCTTCTGCTGCTGACGGAAATGAGGCGCCATCGCTGCCTATGATTTGTTTATTGCATAAACATTGATTAGAATGTATTCTCATTGAGTCTTAAAATGAAGAGGACAATATGCACTGCTTTTTTAACATACTCGATGGTGTCTTGCAACGCATCATATGGCCTTCAATCGCACTAAGGATTTGCAAGCATATGGCGCCCATTGTCCACACATTATAGCCAGTACCTTCGGGCGTAATCACTCAGTTCTGGCTTGCGTTGGGAGCCCCAAACCCGATAACATCAACACGCCGTGTGTCATTCTTCGCCAAAAAGTGGCTCCAGTCCGATACGATAGCATCTTCTTTCCGGGTACTGAGGAAGCCTTTCTGTGATTATTATTCTGAGTTGTCGCTATCCCCTGCATCGCTGTCAGCAGCATCCACCAGGTTATTCCAGTGATATGGCTCTTTTTGACCTGTTCAAAGGTTTCAAAATATTTACTGTGATGAACAGAAGTAGACATAAAACCGCCTCGTTTGGCCAGACAAAGTCGCCATGAATAAAGAAATTTATCACGTGCTACGTATACATGCACCGCAACCCGTTCTTTTTTGCCCAAACAACAATGTGTCGTTGATCCTTCACTTCATCCTTCTGTTTCCTTCCGATTCAATCTTCTTCATCAGCGAGTTGTTCGACCAAGGCCATGTCTAATACCCCGCAGGACCTCGAGGCTCTTCGTGCTGCGGTACTTTTGTCAAGAAGCAAACCGCTGCAGACGACCTCTCTCGCATCAACGTTTTCGTCAACCTCAAACACCGCAGCTATCAGCATCAACAGCATGCGCCCAGATACTAGGCCAAGTTCGGCTTCGCCATCTAAGACAACAGCAACATCAACTGACTCAACCACCAAAGCCGCCCTCACGCAAGCTGACATCACAGGGTTACCTGAGGTCGATAGGGAGGATGGAGAAATCATTGACGAGGAGAGCACCAGCAACAATGGCACTAGACCAGACTCTGGCATGGTTAGAGCCCCAGCAAACCCATCAAGCACTACAGCCTTCACGCCGCATCCTATGCCTACTCGACTCATCCATCCTATATATCATTCAGCTCAGGAGAAACGCCCAGGGCATATTCCAGTCATGATCAGACCTCTACCACTGCACCCACCACCTCCTGCACAGAATCATGGAGCCGTTACCAAACGCCAGAACAGAAGCTTTGATGTCGATACAACACCGGTCACCCAAGATGCCGACTTCACTGCCCTTATGGCGGAATACCAGCTTCGAAGAGCAAAGACCGATATTAAGTTACCAACCGCGACAGCAAACGTGGAGAAAGATGCCTCGGACGACATACCAGGACTCGGCACGATCAAGAATCCAGGGTGGTCCCCAATGGAATCAAATGCACATGAACGAAAAAATCGCTCTTTTGCAAACTCCGGTCCACGTCCAGGCGACCATTTTCGCGCGCCAGGTTCTTTAACCCATCGTGGAGGGCGAAGAGCTAGGTAAGTGGGTTGATATCGAGTGGACGGATGCTTGCTGTCTTTCTTTGGGGCCTAATCTTCGACGTTGTTGAATCGTCTGTCACAGAAATAGGACGTGTTCGCTGGATGTACCGCCGCCACATCGCGCTGGCCAACATCCTGAACTCACAACCCGTCTCAACCAGAATACCCCAGCGCAGCAGAGTAAGATGCAGCACGTTTGGATGAACAGAAAGAACATTCGTAGTGCAGCCTTGACCAATATTGATCGCGAACTGACACTCCGATCCATGTTCCGACATCCTGTTTTTTATTAGCATCAAGCAAATCTCAAATCTACGCACTCGTCCATCAGCTCATGGATCATGGCATCAGCTCTGAGCAGTTTATGCATATAGGTATCAGTCCCAAGATCATTCAGGATGTCGCTTATCAAAGGGCCCCTCACCAATTAGTCGCGTCCACCATGCCCTCCCATCCTGGTTCAAGTGCATCTCAAGTTATGGGCTTTGTCGCCAATCAGCAGCCATCTGCACTTTATCCCAGTTCTGTCGCAAACTCTTCGCTGCCCCAGTCTACACAGTCATTACCGCAGCATCCTGCATTGCCGCCCCAGCAAACTTCATACGCGGAGCAACATTCGACACAGAATACCTTTACAGCAGCGGCTATCCAGAATCAAGCACAAAACCAGTGGGCACCCCTCTTTCAAGCACAGATGTTTCTCGACCAACAGCAGCAACAGCAGCAACAGCAAAATCAGCAATTGTTCTCCCAGATCCAACCCGCACTAACGTCCGCTACGGATAATGTGGCGTCGAAGCAGCTGGAGATGATCATCGCTTTGGCATCTCAAGTCTTGCCTCAGGACTGGTACAGCTTGCTGCAGAATCGTGGCATGGATGCAAATGGCGCACCGGCAACTATCGATATCTATCAACCCACATATGGATCAAGCATGGGCGATCCCCCGTCCAGCACTCCATGTAATGAGGATATAGCAGCTGAACAGGACCATGACAGACAGATGCTACTGTCGCAGGAGGCGCAATCACACGAGGAGCAGATGGACCGCGCCTTGGAAGAGCGGAATTACCTTGCAGAAGCAGCCTACAGAAGCAATGAAACGCTTGCCATGTCAACAACTACTGGAGTCGCTCCCTCTTATCCACCACCGCCGCCGTCGCATCCGCCGCCCTCTCCCCCTCCTCCACCTGCAGCGTCCCCCCCATCTTCTCCATCTGCGGGAATACCCCTGACATCTTCACCTACGCCGATATCTTCGGATTTTCCACCTGCTGAAACACCACCATCTGCTATATCTGATCAGAATATGGACAGTGCATCAAAGGATGACACACCCATTGAAGCCGAAGTGCAAGAAGGCTCGACATCGTCGCAAGACGAGATGGATATGGAGCTTGATGACGATGCTGCACAGACCACCAACATATTGAAGGGCTCCTGGAAAACCATACAGGACGCATCTCCTGAGGTTGCGATATCGCAGCATTATCCTCATCCCAAGCAGCCTACCGCTACTCGCATCGATTCCGTAGGTTCTTCCTCCTGGATAGAACCCCGTTCTGCGCCCGCATCGTTGGCGGGTACACCCACAAGGCATCGCAACACCGGAGATCAACGGCTCACTTCAGCTTTATCTCGATCTCAACGCAATGGAAGGCGGGCCACTGCCATGGACTTTATTCAACAATCTCACTCACCCGTGCCGTTCATACAGGAGCGTCAACAGTCGTTACTAATTGATATCGACGAAGACAGTTGCAACGACGACGACGATGATGATAATGTTGGCGATGAAGTGGAAGAACACAGCAAGAGCGCAGCGTTAAACATGATCCTTAGGGAGAGAGAGGAGGCCAATCAGAGGCAGCTCAAAGAGAAAGAAGATGTTATTCAGAGGCAGTTAAAAGAGAAAGAGGAGGCCATTCAGAGACAGCTTAAACAGTTAAATGAGCGTATTAAGGCAAAAGAGCTGGCAATGCAGTCTTCAACGTCGACATCACCATCGAATCCCTCAACACCCAAGACTCCCCTTGCATCCCAGTCAGCTTTGAATTCCCCTGTACGGTCACCAGGAAGCCTTTCCAACGTGGAGGAGCTGACAACGGTGGCCACATCCGTGGCAAACGTTTCTGCGGCTACAAGTGATATGGAGGGGCTCCGCCGATCATTAAGCGAGCATACCACAAGACTTGAACAGCTTCGATTCCAGCAGCAGGATTGCGAGCAGGAATACAAGACTGCGACTGGCGAGCTAAACTCGATAACTTCCGCCAACACAAACCACATACAGGACCTGGAAAACCTCAAAGGAAGCGTCGACCAGGCTGAAGCATACGTGGAGCTGAAGCTGCGCGAACTCGAGGAGGCAAAGCGTCGTCTTGAGGATACGAGAGCACGGATTGAGCCGCAGATTGCTCAGCTTTTACGTGCGGAACGGATGAAGGAAACCCTGCGGACTCGTATACAGTCAAACCGCGAGAAAGCCACAGAAATTAAGCAATCGATCGTCAGCCTCCAGCAGGACATCATCCGCATGCGGACCCGTCTTGTACTCCTTGAAGTAGGATCAAAAGTGTCAAATTCGCAGACGGTCATAGCTACCTCGATGTCTTCCAAAGCGCTTGCTGACAAGTCGACTTCCGCTCCTGCTTCCCCGACGAACTACACTCAGGACCCTGTTTCCGCGTCGGGATCCGCGACATCTACAGCCGCAGCTTCGTCTGGTACTCAGAATACTTCTACGCTTGGTAAGATAAGGTGGACGCACTGGCTGCATATTCTGTGGAGGATTTTGTTCCTGTGAAGAAACGAGCTGACCTGTGGCGTATTTTTTCCGTCAATAATAGCGGTCAAGCGTGGAAATGAGTCGCGAGATCAGCAATCCCCTCTTTTAGCAGTTAAGAGACCGCGCGTGGATGTCCGCGAGATATTGAACAAGAGAATGAAGGAACTGGAGCAAGAACAGGCGTTGCTGCGAGCAGGACTTGTGTCTACGCAACCGAATAGCCTCACTTCGACGAGCAAAACTCCGGATCCAAGGGCCGTTCATTCCACTTTCCTCTCAACTGTCGCTCCAACCCAAACGGCGTCGCTAAATCATTCAAACAATGTAGCCACCGCTCCGCCGCCACGTGTCCTACTGGCGCCTCTGCAGAAACCAGTAGCCCCATCGGATCTCCAAGCCGCCACGAGTATTCCTATCATTGGATCCGGCAAGCCTCCGAATACTCTAAAGGGCCTATCAAAGCTCGACCGGTTTCTGGCGCAAGTCATGAACATGCCGGTGACTCCTGCATCGGCTCGTCCACTCGAACGTACTGTAGGAGCTTGGAGGCCAGTTCCCGGCATCAAAAGGCTTTTTTTGGCTGATACCTGTATATGCGATCTCAGCCAGTTGTGTTTGCCCTCAAAGCTCGATATATATTCGGCCCCTGGCTCGCGAACAATGTCTCAGAGCGGATCGACCGCTGTACGATCATCGACCGCGATTGCACAGAGAAAAGCGCAGGAATACGAGTCGCCCTTGACCATGTTCCGCTCTTTCCGTTTTTCGCCACGGTTTCAGGGAACAGTTCGTGGTGGCTATCGGTCACTTACATACAGCAACAAAATCGATCCAAACAAGCCGATGTGCATCTATGAACTATCAGGCGGAGCTTGCAACGACGACTCTTGCGGCTCCCAGCACGTCCGAGACTACACCATGACGGATGAAGAGCTGGTGACTGATATGGCTCGCTACACTGAAGGAGTGACTCCAGAATTGCGCAACAAGTTCATCAAGATGCAGACCACCAAACTAGCCGAACTTCGAGCATCGGGGATCGACAACGCCGATCAGCTAATCGACTGCATCATCCAGACCCATCAAGACTTCCTTCATCAGCACAACCTCGATCCTCACCAGACTGTCAAGTTTGCTGACCGTCTCCCTGCAATCGGTGGGACAGCGCATGATCCGGCGCCGAAGAATAGTTCCAAGAACTCACCAGGTTACCGCGCCGTGGATCGAATTATTGGGAACAATGGATCTGATGTGCGGAAACTAGACGACAACCCTATTTTGATGAGAGCAGTTTCCAACTTGCGAGGATCGTCTCAAAAGATGAAGCGCTACCACGAACATGTATCGGCGGAAAACTATGAACGCCTGGTGAGCGCTGAGCCCCACAATGACAGTATTTGGGTTGAATATGCAATCTACCAACTTTCAGATGCCGCGGACGAAAACAAAGACACCAAACTTCAACGCGCACTGTCTGTCCTTTCGAACGCAATAACCATCAATACGACCTCAGAGAACCTATGGAGTTTTTACATGGACCTGTACTCCCTCCATGGAACAGAATTGGAGACCCGAGAAATGTTCGAACAATGCCTACGATGTGCTCCTAGAGCCGAGCTCATTTGGTTCAGGTAAGCTGAGGATCTGCATCAACAAAAAATATCACTGTGCGCTGCTAATTATTCGAACGAAGGGCTTATCCAGAGCGAATACTGATATTAGAATACTGGAATATTGGAATGCTGTTCATGAAATGACTAGATACTACACCTGGGAGAAGGGCCGGGACGAACGTGTGTATGTCCTGGATCGCATGCTTGAGAGAGCCTGCGAGAAGCCAAACGGAGAGGAACTATTGGTATCGAATCGCGACTCCCGCTTCACGCTCGATGTTGTCCTACAAATCTTGAAGACAATGGTCTCTGGAGACTATGTGGAGTCGGCCAAAAATTGGGTACAAAACTTCTTGACCTGCGCCAGCTGGAAATCCGTTGTTCCCTCTTCGCTCTCGTATGCTCGGCCGGACGATGTTTGGCAGGAGAACGATATGGTGGAGAACATTGCGGGGACTCTTGCGGCAAGGCTTCTTACGCCGACGGATCTTTGTATCCTCTGGCTAGCGTACGTGTATCTAATTTGGTTCCATGAGTTACCGGAGGAACTCTTTTTCGACTATCCAAACGACTATCTCTCGGATAACCGGCTTTTTGAGATCCATTGGCCTACCACAGAAGAACTTGATCAGGAAAACGAACTCCATAGCATTGTCCACGACATCTTTCTGGGTCTGACTGTCTACTTTGTCGATTGCGAGGCTCGACCATCGCTTGTGGCGACGCTGAAGAATTTCGTCGGATTCTTGATGGCGCGGGGTCAGCAGCAGGAGCAGATCTTAGAGCTGGTGAACCCTTCAAAGTTTCCTGGATCACAGCCTGAGATTCGCGATCTGTTCTGTCAAGTGCAAATGGTAAGATCATGTTATTATTATTTTTACCAAACTTCATTGACATGGGCTTGTTACTGACTGTATGATTTCACTTTATAGCACTTTGATGAGCATGAACACGCGAAGCGAGATATGGAGCAGGCTATCCGGGAGTCGCCTCATCAACCGTATCTCTGGAACCGGTTCGCTCGTATGCTCCCTGATGTGGAAAGGGCAACATGTCTTCAACAATGTGCCCTCGCGTTTTTCGTGGTGGACCTGAGGCATGAACTTGCTTTCGATCGCTCTGAGCTTACTCGTCTTCTTTACCATGTACTCCTGGGATTGGAAGTTCCAGGCGATTTCGTTGCACCTCCAACACGACTGGACATTGCCACGTACAAGAATAATATCTTCTTGTGGCTGAACTATTTGTGTCTATTGGCCCTCGAATCCAGGCTCAGCAATGCATTTACGCAACTCGACTCCGCATTCAAGTCAGCTCTAGATGTCCTCCCTGTGGATACAAGGGCAGTGGTGCAGACGGAGTAAGATTAAGGACTCTTTCGCTTTATATCAGTGTCAGCCTTATAGTGTGCGATATGCTAACTATCGTGCCGTTATTGTTTAGACGCGCTACACATTTGATTTTGAGGGAGCTAGACAAGACTTTGAGCATCACGGCCCTTGGTAACATTATCTCGACCGCTGCCAAAGACATAAATGTCACCAAGATGAATCCATATGACCGTGCGGAAAATGCAGAAGTTAGAGTGCTGCCGATATTGGATTTTTCTCAAGTGAACAGGGTCGTTGAGGCTGTTTGGGAGCACACAGCCGAATGCGGAAGCGATTTACGTGTAGACATTATCGATTCGCTCCTACGATTTTTTCCCGAAAATCCGGACCTTTACCTCTGGTAAGCACCGGCTGTTGTGAGATTGTAATGGGGTGCCTCTGCGACATGGATTTTGTACACAATGCGCTAGCTCATACTATGTGATCCAATCCTGGTGTTCTAGGATGGGCGAGGCTGAAGAATTGGCAGGACATGCGGACGGGTGTCGAAAAGTCCTTGTGGCATGCTTGAAGCGCTTTCCATCGTCTGATCGCGTCTGGAAACGGTTTGTTCTTTTTCACTGCACATATGAATGAATATTCTGTTGCTGAACCTGTTGCAGACTATAATTCCAATGCCCAACCACCCTTTTCCTCTGTATTTTGTTTTATTTTCATGTATCTTTCTAGGATGCTAGATATCTTTGTGGACCTTAAATCTCAGTCAGGCATGGACTTAATCGTCAAGGCAAGCCTAATCTCGCCTTTGGCGGCAAAAGTCAGCAAGATCGCGACATTGATCGAATGATAAGCACAGGTATATTCTTGCTTGAAATTTGAACAACATAGTGTCCCCCATCATACCCTTTGAAAAAAGTTATTCGATCAAAAATAAAAAGAATAAAATTTATTATTACGATACTATTTGAAGATGCTTCAAAAGTACCTTTTATTATTGTTAACTGTGGTCTGAAGGAAAGCTGCAAGTGGGGAAGAAAGCAAACAGCAAGCTGCCCGCTCCGACTATACCGCAACAGATCCGCATTTTGTGCGCGAAAGTCGTCCTTTAGCCACGGTCGTTTGACATTTTAAGAAATTGACATCCTCCCAGCCGCTCCATCACATCGAACCTCAGCTGTCCTAGATAGTGCCCCTACACTTGTTCATCCGCGGCGTCGTTGGTCTCTTTCACATCGGGTGCTTGTCGCTGCCTCAGGGTAGATCCCATAAAATCGTTACTGCTACGTCTGTGCTCTCCACAGCGGTCCTGTCCGGTATCACTGTGCGCATGGTGTCTCGATTTTCCTGCGCTACCACTCCAAACACCATTCGAACACTCTGCTTCCCTGCTTCTCCCATTGAGTCGCCCGAGAACATAGCAACTTCGTCCAGTATTTGCAGTTGAGTACGCTGTTGCTGGATGTGGTGCAACACTGCTGGTGATGGTTGTCTTTTTTTTTTCTTTTTTTTTTTATAACAAATTGTCTCTCGAGTCAATTGGCTCTACGAATCCATCAGACTAACTAACAAAGATCTACTATCGCTTTTTTTTTTTTTTTTTTTTTATTAACATAAATCCCCATGAGCACAAGACGCATGGTCCGCAAAGGCCTTGAAGCCATAGATGCCTTCCATGCACGGCAGAGCCGCATCCCCTACCAACTATGTTGGCTTGAGGCGTCAAATTCATAACCCATGTCGCATAGCTAGCCTAACCTAACTCCTGCGTGACCTGTTGCGCGATACACGTCTCCTAATCCAGATCCAATGTTAATAAAGTTGTTTTTAAACCGAATAACCCCTCCATTATGTCCAACTTCCCTCGCCCCAAGCAATGCTGTAGCACCCTATAATCCGCGGTCCGTCTACCTTCCTGGATCTCCGTTGCAAGTAACCGTCTCCCTTTCAAATCAGAGAAATCACCAACACTACGTTGGTGTCCCCGATCACCGTTGCGTCCTCCGGCGCGTTTGCTCATGAAGGTGATTCCAACTGACTTTTCCCAGGCGACAGTGTCCTCGCATCGTTTGTTCCATATCTTGGTCCTGCCAAATTCTTCGATCCTGCTCACGAACTTTGTCACCATGATCGTCGCAATCCACTTAGTGGTGGTAAATAGCTGCTTCCAGGTCTCAATGAGTCCCGTTGGCACCAAACCTCGGTATAAGTCCTTGACCTCCCAATCTGCCTCACTCTCCGGCTCCTCTTCTTCCGCAACCCGATATGTCCCTCGCCTTTCCGCCGTCCCCTGAATCCACTGCATTGACTCCCAGATAGCCTTCGTTCCTGTTGCCGAGAAGTTGGGACAAGTCGCAGTGAAGGGCTTGTCCTTCCGTTCGGCCTCCTCTCTCTCCTGTTCCCATTTTCGCACTGCCTGTCTCCATGCACGATATCCATTCAACTCCACTTCCTCCACCGCGTCCCTCCACTCTTGTCGCTGGTCGCACAAGGTAGCTGAACAACGCCAAAGATGATCGTTCGTCTCTGGTTCCCTCTCACACCTACGACATATGTCCGTTTGGTAGATATCTGGATGTCGTTTCTTCATCGCCTGCAATGTCGGCAAATCTCCATGCAGCTTCTTGATCCTGTGCGAACGTAAACGACAGTCTTCCAGGCTGGTGTATAAGCGCTTTGGCGGGTTGTTATCGTGTAAGATCCGTAGCGTGGGCGCCCATGCTACCGACCGCCAATCCTTGATGTAGGTCCTCGTTCGATGCTGCAATGTCCACTGATAATGGTGCCGTACCGCGGACTGCAACTTCAGTATCCTCCTCAAGTCCAGGTCTGCACTGTGCGTTGCAAACTGTGCGTGGCATTTCAAATCATGGTGCTGCGTTGCGTCTAGCCTCCATAGTCCTGTATCGATCCCATGTGCTGCCTTGGCAACAGTGTCTGCAGCCTCGTTGCCACTATTAACATAAATCCCCATGAGCACTCAAAGATCTACTATCGCTGTCCAGGGACGTGCATATAAGGATCGTGCACATAAAGAACGTGCACTTATAGAGCATGCGATTTAAATAATAGATATATAGTAAGTATATTTTTGAGACAAATATCAACTGGAGAGATGGCCGAGTTGGTCTAAGGCGCCGCGTTAAGGCCGCGGTCTATTCGTAGGCGTGGGTTCAAATCCCACTCTCTTCATGATCTTTTTGCTTTTATCCCGAGAGTAGCTCTGCTCACTTGGTACTATAGACCCGCAACCCAGAGTTACTTGGCAACCTGGGTTGTCAGTCTTATTTGACAACCCATGCGGAAATCCATTTGCTACGTTGAGCATGCAAGTAATATTTTTCCTGTATTCAAACGACGACTGCTTCTCGAAGGAGTCTGCCGTTTTCGTTCAGGTTGCCTTTGTCTTCGGCAAATGCACCACGTGTTTTACGCGGATTTCCTGCAGGAGTTGTCAAATAAGACTGGCCACCCGGGTTGCCATTATAGATTATCTTCTAACAGAGACGAGGAACGCATGGCATCGAGGAAACTCTTCTCTTTGTACTATGAGGAAAGGGAAAAAGGGTGCTGAGTTGTAGTCGTGCAAGCAAAAGCATTAATAGAGCACAGATCAAACGTACTATTGATGGACTCCTTGGTTGGGCTATCTAGTTTTATGTGGACACATTATATGCCGAAGAAACTTAACCAGAATGTGACCAAGCGCGACAGAGATCAACTGTTCTTCTCCCGGGCTCACTCGCATATTGTCTCTGTGCGACTTTGGATGATGCGTCTGTGCGTTTGTGCAGCAACGTGCATGGGCCATCTTGGACCAACGCTGCGGTGTATGTAGCTGCTTCGCCCAAATCCTCAGATTCCAAGTCATCTACTGATTGCCCATCCGCTGTAGTCTATATGTGGACACCCTCTATGGAGACTTTAGTTAGTTACCCAGCCATCTTCGCGATAATGCCCTTGACCGTGCATCACCTTGATCACTTTGACCATAGCTGTTGCAAGATTCCTTGCAACAGATGCCGTTCTGTGGTTCGTAGTGTATACAAAGGCCTTTGCAATGAGTGCCTGTCCCAGTGTTACTGTCCTCCTGATGACCAATGATTGTACAATGAATTCCTTTTAAACCAAAGCGCACCCCTTCCCAGGCGCAAGGGGTCCAGCTCAACATATCTCATCAAGAAAGCGAGAATAAACAAAAAAGAGATCCTCACGCGCATCATAGACATTATACCTTCCAACCTTCCAATGTCCATATCTTAAAATCCATATTTTCTTAAATGCTATTGCGACTCAAAAAAAGGGGGGTTCTCTCATTGGAAAGCTAATCATGCGAATGATCCATTCAGCTTTAAATGCGGATACACCAATAATACCAATAATGAGATTGTTGTGCACTGTAGCCCACACAACGGATGCAGGTTTTTTTTGCGTCTGTAGAAAATCTGCTATCCTTTCTATGGATCCGGTAAAGCGTCATTGCAGCGGCCCCAAGGTCGTGGAGGTCTAATTCGAGGCATTTAAGCCAAGTTCCAATCGGTCTAACTCAAGTGATCCAAGGCTACTTTCCCTAGTCCCTATGTAGGTAGCCATCAAACAGATCCCTCGTCAATAATAACATCTGAGCCGTTCTGTGCAATCTGAGTCCTTTCGCTGTGCCCTCTACAGATCTTCTCTCAGGACAATGACGACGAATTTTAGAGGTATGTCAAATATTACAATCTTGCGCTACAATTATGGCAAAGAAACACGCAGGATAATTTTTAAACAATTAAGCAAAGCACTCATAGATAAGCTTGCAGAGGGAAAATCCTTACCATTGACTGCTACTGCGTCTTTTGTTCCAGCGCCCGACAGCATTGTAGCTAAGGATGCTCTGTTTATACAACTCTAACTCTATTCTTCAGTAGAATGCATATGTGCCAGTACGGAATGACCCCAGCACGAGCGAATGTGACTCTAACTCCCATGTTACTATCGAGGATCAAACAGAAAAGTAAAGAGGGATCATGAATACAGTCAATGAATATAGGAAAAAGGCAGGCACATCCAGAATGGATTACCACTCCTTCCATCGTTTGGCTGAGGAAGAAGTACACCTTCCGGCTGACTCTCCCATATCATTCCACTAGTATTCACGCACATCGAGGCACCATAAACACAATACGCTGTTTCTGCCTTAGCTTGTGCTTCTTTAACGCTGTTCAGTTTTTCCTCAGCGGTACATGCAGCGGCACTGCTCATTAATGATACCAGTGGATGCTACGCTCAATTATACTTAGGAGCTAGTATCTGTACCTCAAACACAGCAGTACATACAAAAGTACACACGGGGTAACATGCGACCCATCATCCCATCCCGCCCCTCGACTAATGCTTCTACACACTGTCATCATCCAAATGCTCACGTTAGACCCTAGTGCGGAATGCAACGATGGGCCATTAGCCCCATAAAGATACAACGGGAATCCTCACGACGCACTTACTGGGCAACACCCATGAGTTGTCAAAAAAATTGAAAATGTGAATGTTAAACCAGGGGCCCCCTAGCCTGAATTGTCCACTAAGAAATAAGAAAGGGACAATATATCCTCTGTCCATCCGGAAGTCCATTTATCATGCTGAACACACAAGCCAATTCCCGCAGGAAATCGATGTAGCTCGTTTAGCCTAAAAATCGTGCTATAACCTAACTAATACCTTTCCTGTGTTCGCACCTGCTTCATGAGGGAACCTGTTTCTTGCGCTAAATATTTTGAATGAACTTCCTGCAGGGATTGTCAGATGGAAGAATATAATCTCACCCCCTCCCCGTGAGATTATCCAAAGCACGCAGTGAAATCTTCTTCTCACACCCTCTAATCTTACACCCTGTTATTTTATAGATAATCTCACGGGCATCCTTCCTTTATATAAAAGACGCTTTATGATTAATACCGTTATCACCGCACTGCAATTTAGTGCGTGGCCCAGGTGTGTCAAGAGTGCAAACTTTAGTATATATCTCTCTCTCTCTACCAGTGCGCACTTTTGTACACCTCTCTCTCTATACCAGCACGCACTTTTTTCCTTCCGCCCCGACCACGCGCCACCGTACCCAATATGTAATTGTTAATAGATTGCTCTTGCTCCTATCACACATCTAGTCCCATCACCACAATTCGTTTAAGGGCCCGGTCTTTTTAGCCATCGCTTCCTTGATATAGGCTGTAGTTCAGCTCCGTTCTCTGATACCAGGTGTGTTACACTCTTGACACACCTGGGCGACGCACTAAATTGCTGATTACCAGTAGTGCGGCGATAACGGGGTGTCATACTAGGTCTACATATAGATTCACATATCAGTTTCCTCATCGCTGGAGAATCTACCCCTTTGTCCAGTCCAATAAGAGGCAGGATTGAGCCAGATTCCACTCTGAAGTTGAATGACGGGGTGCCATGGAAAATAGAAAACAGACAGTCGTTTGTGATCATATTGGAGTAGTACTTTACGACTCAAAATCACTATCGTGGATCTTTGCAAAGGTTTAATGATAGATTTAGTATGTTATCATGTCGTCAGTGCTTCGCCTAGCTTCTAAAATATCCCAGTGCACTGTTGACACTGATGCAACTAGTATATAAACCCTATCACGCATAGAGCTAGATAGCAGCATTCGCCTAATAAAATATCCTTTTCACCCTAGATCCCTCGATACCCCAGATACTCCAATCGTTTGCATGCCGACGCATAGGGAGCTACCTAGCTTTCACTGTCGTGGAAAATGGTAAGCAAGGCGAGACCATGCGCTTTTCCGTCTCTACATCTACCCAATTTTTCGTTGAGTGCGACCGAAGCAAGTGGTTATTTTCTGACTTGGTCAATGGCACAGGTCTGTCCTCGTCCCTGACCGGGAGGCCCTGTTCAATGCGATGCTCCTGTGTCTGGATCGCCGCTTTCTTGTCCAGCAGTCCCTGGACACAGTTATAGAATGTACATTCGTTTCTCTGTGCCTTGATCATTGTAGTTAGCGTAGCGTATAGTGGGATGCTGGCGAGGAAGGTAATTTGCAACAGTGATGTTGGGCGTAGAGTGTTAGAGTGTGCACAGAGAAAAAAGTTGCGAGAGAGAGAGTGCATTTCACCATGTCCTCCACCTTGCATAGAATATATAACTCGCCTCATAGTCTACAAATTCTCTTCTTGACCATATCCCCATGACCAGGCAATCTCGAGCAACGGCCATGTTGTGTCATTCTCTCTCTTCGTCCAATTACTTTGCGCCCATCTGCAGCTCGTCCTCTTTTCTCTTTCGAAATGTGCAAGGCTGTTTGCATGCAATGATAGACTTTAAGTCAGGATGGTTAGGAGTTGTCTTATGTAGAAAGAAAACAAGAGAGAGATTGCTAAATCGCGATGGGTAATCAATGGCCATAGGCATCAGCAGTATCAGCAATACTACATATTCACCAGAGTCCGTTATATAAGGCTATAGTCTATGGTCTATCCAGACCGGGTATCCGGAGAATGTCCTGAGATCCGTTTACTCATAGACTAGACACTCATAGACAATTGCTCTCAGTAAGCTCTTGATGCTCATCTTGCGCATTGTCCAAAGCGCCTTTGCAATTGAGGAACATTTGGAGGTACCACCACCTGTTCGCTTTTTCAACCTTCTTCCATGATGAACTGAGAAGTGCATTTGGACTTAACTCACATATTTGACGCTCCAAAACTAGGAACTAGGGAGATTCATTCAATTGGGCTGTAACCGTTGGATTATTTTCCGATGCACACGACAAGCGCGACGCGTATGGCGCTGCACGAAAGGTCGTTTGTAGCAACCGGCTTCAGAATAATACCTCTGATTGACGAGCAGCTTCACTGCATACCGTGGCAAGAGGCAACAGGGTAATGCTGTGTAGGGGGTCTAATAACGAGTTCTGTAACTTCTACCATTAGTTCTATTTACAATAGGAGACACCGCGCGAATAGGACTCCGGCGAGGGCGTGCTTCTTTAGATCGGAATGTATTAACATAAAGGTAAGATAAACTAGACGAAAATGGAAGGAAATAAATATGGGGATCTGTTTAGCTAAATGGTACGAGCTAGGACTATATTCCTTTGGGAATGACTGGGGGTAGTTGCAAGGAGTTCGCATATGTGATATCCGATGAGATGAGGAGTCGTGACAATGAAGTCCTCCCCTCTGGAGTCGTTGTATGCCGATATCCGCTGATCAGGCCTCCGTTGTACCTTTATAATGCCGCTTCACGAGGGTAAGCCGATGACAGATGTTCAATAAGACGATCGGTGACCGGGGAAGCGCTGCAGGGCAAGTATAATGTCTAAATAAGAGCGATTGACGGTGCAAAGGTGGCGAGTGATCAGGATCGGCATTCTCTGTTGACTGTATCTCGTTGCGTGGGTTGCCGACGGTGGTAGTCAGTACCTGTCGTTGATGCAGTGTTATCCGGACAATCTGGACGAATGCAATGTGTGATACAAATGATTTTTGGAAAGAAGACTCTGGCTCAGTGGTTCAGGAACCAGACCGTTTATTCTTTTATTCTGGGGGCGGTGCTCTTCCCCGTGATCTAATATCAACTTTGCGAGGGCAACCGAATGATTCTCATTTACTACCATTTGCATAGGTCGATCGAACTGGGGAAGCCCTCCGTGAGTCTTCTCTAGCATCACTACTCTCAAGCCTGGACTCAGCCGAAATCATTGCGGTCTATTCCATCCGCAACAAGGTCCGTCGCAGTCAACAGGAGTTCGTTGTGGTTATGGTTGGCCATTCATATTTTTGCACCTGCCTCTTGCTGCAAAACACGGGGATTGTGTGCAGGCGCTTCTTTTGCGTGACGCAAGGGGACAGCAGGCGCAGGTATAGGATCAGTCTCGTTCTCAAGCGCTGGTTCAAGGAGCAGTGGCAGGATCTGGAAGGTTTCGAGACGAAAGTTGGTTCAGAGCTCCTAGTCGCCTATCCGCATTACATCGCCTCCACCAGGACCGAGGATCACCCACCAGGACTGAGGGTCACCCCGCCAGCACTTGTACGAGGAGTGTGCACACCTTGTTCTCTACAGAATCCTCGACACCGCAGCCAAGGAAGGAGGAGCGACTGAGGAAGAAGCGGTACGCAGATGTCATAGGGATCGCGAGAGAGCTAGCCATGATGGGGATAGCTGATCCAGTAATTCATGATGAAGCGATACAAACGCTCAGCAACCTCTCAATCTCGCTGAAACGGAGACAGGGGCTCATGGAGCTACAGGACGCGTCTGACAACGAAGCAGGTCTTGGTGTCACCAAAGACCCACTTGTGATGAAGCCGAAGCAGGTCTTGGTGTCACCAAAGACCCACTTGTGATGAAGCCGAAGGGACGTCCAAAAGCCAAACGTATCAAGAGCATCAGCGAGATGTCGCAACTATCCAAAGAATTCCATCCCGCTGAAACAGACCTTGAACAATAAACGTGCTTTTAAACGAGGCCCTACAGATTATCTCCGTGAGAATATGGCGCTCACCTCCCCATGAAAAAAAAAAGCTCGAATTATTCTTACCTGGGTGTGAGAATATATTATTCCTTATCAGATAAGACT